CTCCTTCATGCAAACATCTGGGTCATCTTTTGCATCTTCATCTGCCACAAAGCCTACATCGAAATTATTCTCCTGAGGCTGATTATGCAAATACTGAGTGTGTGAACTAACTGTTTCTAAAGCATATCGCTCTTCGTCAATGATATAGTCCATACGCTCAGGTCTACCGTATTCATCAACTGCATTGCCGTGCCCGTCTTCGTAGAAAATTGGAAAGCTCATATTGTAATACTCGGTTTTTAATGTGAAAGGAAGTAAAAAAAAGAGCTAACGGTGCTTTCGTGCTTCATATACACATACTTTGTACGACAAGGCTCCTACATATACGACATTCAATTTGTCAGCAAGCGAAATCAGCCAATGGTTTACGTGACAATAGAATTTAACGAACGCGAATTTTACTCTTGGCATCAGTGTCAATAATTTTTGGAAATACTGTATAACAAAGATTAACTTATGATGCCCGAAACAATTTCAGATCCATTATCCTTCCTTTTGAATATGCTACCTTCAAAGAAACCACGCTCCTTTCAAGCCGCTCTCCCATGGACCATTCGTTGGCCAGCTATATGCGCTCTTCTTCATGAACTTGACTACTTCCATCATCAGAAGTGTCCACCTTCTTCGCCCCCACACCTTGGGCAAAAGCTCCTCAATTGGCTTCCTCGTTGTCCTCACTAGTGTATCTTACACTTGCCCCAACATCATTTCTTCAATAACTTTTTTACCCTTGATCTCATTGATACCCTTTTTGGTATCTTATACTCTGCATGTCCAATGCAAGTTTTAATGATTTATGATTTATGATTTATGATTTATCATATATCATATATCATATATCATTTATCATTTATCATTTATCATTTATTATATATTTTATATTGCATATTTACTTATATAAACAGTATAAATATCCCCAAAATTATCCATGAAATAAACAATATCGAAGAATCATCTAAGAATCATCTTATCTTCAGATCACAATAACTTCTATTTTATCTTATATCTTAAGCAACAATTGCTTAACAACATTTTTATTTTACTTTTTTACTTTATCTCACAAGACTTAGCATTATATTGCTCTATATTGATCTTATATTAAGATCTGGTGGTCACTACAATACCAAATTCTACTTATAAAACTTATTTTTAACCTTACTACTAACACCTTTTCCCCTTACTAACACCCAGTAACATCATAAGGGTTTTTTAGTTGCCAATTCTTCATTCTTTTTTGACCTGCCTCGGGCGAAGAAGATATATTATTATCGTGCACCCACTTGAGGCTTTAATTGTAAATAAAAGACTGTTTAATCGTATAACAAAGATAATAATCCCTCAAAAAGAACGTCAATGCGTTATTTGCTATTCTAAATGTGCTATTTTACTTAAAAGGTTAGCCTTGAAAGATGGAGACAACATACTTTCAACTTCTCATATCACAATTTATCATACAAGCTGAAGCACGAAGAGACCCACTAGAGGCAAACGCAATATTCAAGTGAAAAATATAGGTCATTTTGTTCCCCTTCATCGTCTGAGATTTAATATTACAACAACAATTCTTTTCGAGCTTAAGTAAACCCTTTTCCCATACTTGTCCAAACATTTCACAAACATTTTTTCAAGCTTAAATAAAAGAATAACGTCTTTTTATCCATAAATAACCATGGTCAAGTTACTGATAGCAAATAGAGGGGAAATTGCTGTACGTATTATTCAGTCAGCAACTGAGCTTGGCTTTGAGACAGTTGCTGTATATACAAATGATCAAGATAAAAGTCACTGCCAGAAAGCAACAGAATCCGTGAAGATATCATCATTTTTGAATATTAAGGAGATTATTACAGTAGCTCAAAGGTATATATATATGTATATATGCATATCTCTAACAATAAAAACAGGGTTAATGCTACAGCCATTCATCCAGGATATGGATTTTTATCTGAATCAGCGGATTTTGCAGAACAATGCGAGAAGGCAAAAATAATCTTTGTTGGTCCCTCACCTCAGTGTATAAAAGCGGCGGGTGATAAAGTCTCGGCTCGACAAGTGGCAAAGGTTGCCGGAATTCCTGTTATTCCCGGTATAGAGCAGTCAATATCGTCTACAGAAGTTGTCCAATTTGCTGAGGATAATGGAGGGTACCCTGTGATACTGAAAGCTAGAGACGGAGGTGGCGGAAGAGGTATACGCATAGTTCACTCCGACCAGGAAGTGCCTGACGCTCTAACGCGCTGCACAAACGAATCGCCTTCTAAGCAAGTATTTGTTGAAAAGGCTGTCATAGGAGCCAAGCATATTGAAGTTCAAATTTTGGGAGATAATAAAAACAATGTCATTCACTTATTTGAAAGAGATTGTTCAATACAGAGGAGATATCAGAAGCTGTTAGAGGTAGCAAAGAACTAATCCGTTCTATATAACGCCTAACCACGCTCCTTTGATAGGTTGCACCTTGCCCATGCCTTTCTCCCAAGCTTCGTACCTCCATCCATCAAGCAGCTATTCGATTGGCCCACCATATTGGGTATAATTCAGCAGGAACAGTAGAGTTTCTTGTTCTGCCAGACAGTGACGTGTTCTATTTCCTTGAAGTCAACCCTCGTATTCAAGTCGAGCATACCATTTCGGAGCAGATTACACAGGTTGATATAGTTCAGGCTCAAATAAGAATAGCTTTGGGAGACACTTTGGCTGATTTAGGGCTATCTCAAGGAGTTATCTATTCTCCCAAACAACCAGTTGCCATACAGGCTCGTATTGTTTCCGAAAATCCATTAAACAATAACATGCTCTCGGTAGGCAAAGTTAAAGTAGTTCATTTCCCGCTTGGACATGGCATTCGCATCGATACATGGATACATCCAGGATGTGTTGTTCTTCCCGTAAGAGTACAACTCACAATTGTCTGCTTATAGTCCTTACTGGTTTGTCTTTTAGGTATTTGACTCATTGCTTGCTAAAATAATAGTTACCGGTCAAACGTTTAAGGATGCAGTTTCCAAATTAAAGCTTGCTCTTGAAGAAACCACCATTACTGGAGTTGAAACAAATATTAGTTTCTTGATTGCGGTTCTATCAGATACCACTTTCACTAGCGATAGTCTTTCACAAGTACATGTAAAAACGCTGGAGGAAAAAATGGATAGTCTGGTCCAAGTTACAGCTCAATTGGATGAACAGAGAAAAAGAATGGTATCTAACAAGCGAGACACAGAGACTGCTACTACAGCAACGGTACCTTCAAGCGTACAGTTTAAGCCAGGAGATGCATTCAATATTGAAATAGCTGATGGCGAAGAAGCAGCTGTTCATTCACTACAGATAGATTCTATTTTTATCAATAACTTCCCAGATGAACTTGTAGCCATCACTCAAGCCTCAACTCATAAGCAACCATTATCTATTTCGATTACTAAAAAATCAGGCATCTCATCTACCATGCGTAGAAAAGCGAATTCTCGTCATCAAGCAGAAGTGGGTGCGCCACTAACTGGTATGCTAGTCGAAATTAATGTAAATGAAGGCGACAGAGTGCAGGTTGGCCAACAGTTATATGTGATAAGTGCAATGAAAATGGAGACTGTTGTCAATAGTCCTGTATCAGGCAATGTTAAATATATTTACGCTAAAGTGAATGACTTGGTAGAAAGTGGTGATCTAATTATTGAACTATTGAAGCCAAAAGAGAACAAGTTGTAGTAATAAGATCATTTTTCTTAACATAATAACCCAAAAGGTGCATAAAGCTGTATTTTCTACATATTTATAATGCTGTTTAATAATGTATACACTGATTTCTTAATGACTGATATTCACTTAGATAAGTTTGCTATCTTTTTCATCTCTTTCTCTAACACCCATCGGACGAATAGCATGACCGTCAGATACTCGTGGCTTTTCTCCTAAAACAACTATACATAAAGAAATTGTTAATCTCTCTTTTCTCAATTCCGAATTATTATTACCTCTTTTATAAAGAATCCAAGTTGTTACCACAACAAAGGGTGCTGACACAATGATCGTTGCCAACCTTCAAATGGTCAATTGCTTGATTTAACAGCTCATAATCTATAATTACCTTCGACCAGCTGGAGATAACTTTGTTGACATTACAAAAGCAAGGGAAAGAAAAATTGAAATTTCATTGGCAGCGATCTTTTAGGGAACTGATGAAAAGTGTAGCTCAGCATACACACACACACAGCAAAGAGATATTTTGGTAAATGTGTGGCATCTTTTTTATCCACTTATTTATAAAGCAAGGTTTTATTTAAGCACGTACATATTTAATCTTTTGTTTTTTAGGTTTGGCAGGTAGTTGTGGTACTAATGGGTTATTTGCCTGCATTTCTGACAAGGTAGGTAAACCTTGAGCCTTTCTTTGCTCATCAACGTCTTCTAGTGTTGTCAAGGGGGATGTAATTGTCTTGGGAAGACTGCTTTCTTTTTGTACAGCGGGTAAAACTTCAGCAATTGCCAAGAATAGCTGCTTACGGCTTGTTATCTTTGAATTACAGTAAAATCTATCATTAGTCTTCAGCTGTACACGAACTCGACCAACATTTGCCCAGTCTCTTGGATGACATTTATTCTATCAATGTTGTTTAATAAATAACTCTGCCTTTTTTTTTCTTTCTTTCTCTTTACCTCATAGACAACTGTTAAACCAAAGCGTTGCACTGCTAATGCCATATGGTAAGCATGAGGATTACTAACAGCCTTTTCCTTTGCAATCTTTCTTCCCTCTTGTACAGACTTGTCAGCATCAATATAACATGGATAAACGCATATCCAGCTAAAAATATAAATGGTTCTTAATGTACTCTTTTAAACTTTTTTTTTCTTGCTTTACTCTTTATATTCTTCTGGACTTAGTCTACGAACACCTTGTGGTCCAGTGGCTACAGCAATGTGGTCAGATTCAGGTGCAGGTGTAGGTGCTGCTCCAGTAGACATATTTTGCATCATCTTTTGAAGTTCTGCAAAATTAGGCATTCCAGCTGGTGTAGATGAACTTGATTCTGTAGGAAGAGGAAAGTCCATGTTGTCAACGTCCATGTCTTCATTTTCATCTAAAAAGACTGGATTCTTTTGAGTCTGTTTTAGCTTGTTGAGCATTGACATTTTGGTATGATTTCCAAGGAAAGAAAGAAATCAAGCTTTGACCAGTCACACTAATTTTATACTTCTTTGACGTATAAAAATAAAAAATAGTCCAGCTCTACTTGCCTATTTCATTAAGCACTAAATATTATATATGGAGAGAGGCAGTAACTATACAGGTAGAATATGTATACATATATACTATAAGCTACACCAGAGACTACTAGATCAAGTAAGTTGTTTTGAAAAATAAATAGAACAATATAAATGCATAAATCGATTGAAATAATCTGCTTGTATTATCATTATTCAAATAATACAAGTGTGATAAATGAAATATATAATAAAGAATTCTGCAAAGCATTATTCCCAAAGATTCATTTCTTGGAATAAGCATGCCAATTAGAAAAATTTAACTACGCAAAGGTTACGCAAAATCCAGTATAAAAAAGTCCACCTGCTATTTTCAATTGCTGTGTTCTTTTGCATTCGCAGCATAAATATGACAACCACATTGAAGAATCAGACGCTGATGATCGGAAAGACAGGCTCTTCTGTTGTTTCTTTTCAAGTAAATAAACGAATGAAAGCATAATGCGCACTATGTTAACTTCGACATTACTAGGAAGAAGATGCCCAATGTCCTGTGTGTAAGAGTGACAAGTATTTAACACCTAATCTTAAGCTTTTGGTCTCTCCTTGCTTTCATAAAATGTAAGCTACAAGTTTAAATGGAATGTACTCTCTCACACGTTCCTTTCATTAAGGTGTGAATCATGCATAGATAGACTTTTCAGTCATGGCCCTGCACCTTGTCCTATATGTCAACAAATACTACGAAAAAATCAATTCATGTCTCAAATCTTTGAGGATTTAGCTGTAGAAAAAGAAGTTCGTATACGTAAGAGAGTGGCTAAAGTGTAGGTATTATCATCGTAAAGATATGTAATAGATACTTACTATTACTAGATTCAACAAGCGATCTGAAGATTTTCCAAGTCTAAGAGCATATAATGATTATTTAGAAATGGTAGAAGATATAAGTATGTCATTTGTATAGATATATAGTCATTCAATATCACCAACATATTCTAGCATTTAATTTAATGAATGAGGTGGACGTGGCGGAAACAGAGGCAAGAATTGCTGCATATGAACAGGAAAACAAGGAAAGTATTGCAGCTAATCAAGCAAAGAACGTCAATGAGCAGAGATTTAGAAGTTATCAAAGTGAGCTGGAAAAACATGAAAAGGAACAAAAGCGAGAAGAGTATTTACAACAGCTGGAAGAAGAACGAAAGTTAAAAGAACAAGAAAAGGCTGAGTTAATTGCAGAACTGGCATCCACAAACAAATCTGCTGCTGCTATCCTTCAAGCGCGTCAATCAGCCTTAAAAAAATCTTTATCTCGTGTACAGCTTCAAACAGATCCATCCTCACGGTTGTCTATGCCTTCATGGATCACAACAGCAATGGACACAGATGCTGAAATGAGAGAAGCAGAAGCAAGAAACTTTGATCCATTGAACTTACAGTATGAATACACTACTGACTTTACAGTTAGAGAAAGTTATTTGGATCCGTAAGTTCTTCTTTTACAAGCTTTATCCATTCTAATCTTTATATGTTATAGTTCTACTGATTATCTCAACACTAACAAGCAAGCGAAGGCTGGTGGATACCAAGCCAAGTTTGCTCATCAACGCGCCTTGATTTCCACATATACTGGAATTCTATGTGAACCAGTTGAATACATGTAAATAAATTTTCATTACGGCATTGTGCATATATTAAATAAGCAAAGGGGACACTATAAGACTATATTATTCCCCCTTTCTAGACTAGCCATTACTAATATTTGGATTACACCTAACCGCTTTGTCAATGAGTTCATTATGAGACGAGCGTTCACTGATTAGATTATTCTCTACATTTCTTTTTATTTACATGTCAACGTCAGAAGAAAAACTTCCGAAGGAGGCCACATCAAGTGGTAATGGTATAAACGCTCATTAGAAAATCAAAGACATTAATAATCAGCATGTAAAAGACACAAATTTACCATGTGGCAGCGCGACAGTGGATGAAAATGGACATGCTCCTAAAGAGTTTAGAACCTATCCTCAGGCTTGGGTTTCGTTATTCCTTCTTGTGCTAGTCAGAACTGCAGTTTCTGTCTTTCAATACACGTTCAGCGTCATACCCGACTCGACAAGAAAATTCTATCACATCTCACTTTCGGCAGTCAACTGGCTTGCGAATATTCAGTGTATCATCTATGTCTTTCTTAGCTTTTTCACAGGCTGGATTTTTGAGAAACTAGGTGTCAAACGCTCCGTAAGTGATTTCCAACAGAAACTTTCGGATGCTTATTCTACAGTAGATCATAGCTTCTGGCTTCCTTTGTACTTTAGGAGGCGTCATCAGATGTGTTGCAGTAAAGCTACCCACGCCGTCTTTTATGATAACTATGGCTGGGCAAGTTGTCGGAGGAGCAGCCTCCCCTTTGTCTCTTAATATCATGACAATGGTACAAGCAGAGGCACGCAAATAGTATTGGAAGATCTAAAATTTGTTTGCTAGTTTGCTTCCACTTGGTTTACAGAAAAATTACGTGCAACGGCTGGAATGCTTGTTGGTAAACCAAGTTTACTTGTAGTAATTCAAAATGCCTTAAATTTTTTTTTAGCGTCAAACTATGGTGCTATTCTAGTGATGTTTGTCATACCGGCTGTCACGGTAAATGAAACTTATATCCCAATGGTGGTAAGTTTATGAGAATTTGTATATATTGTAGAGATTAACGGCTTAAAGTTAAACATGGTGGCAGGACTTGCTCTGATAATATTCGTGCCGCTTTTATTTATGCCAGAACGTCCACCAACACCACCATCAAACATCAGCCAAAGTGATCGCCCTCCTTTTATTGAAGGCATAAAGATACTATGCAAAAATATTAACTTTTGGATACTGTTTTTCATCCACAGTTTCAATGTTGGCTTAAGTATTGCATTCTGTACTTTATGTACTCAGATACTGACACCTCATGGATATACTACTAAGGAGGCAGGTGCTTTGAATGCTTTTGCCTTTTTTGCAGGAACAATAGGATGCTGTAAGAAAGATGCAGGGGACGTCCATCTGAGATTAACTCTATTCCTTTTTTGTAGCCGTCGCTGGACCTGTCTTGGATATGACAAAGCAGTACAAGCTTTTTCTTCGGTTGGCTTCCCCTATGGTGTTTATAACTCATCTGTCCTTTTATTTCATTGGTATACTAACAAATTATACAAAGCGAAAGCCACTGATATTGTATGGATAGTTCGCCCTGATTCATTTTCTGCAATTTTATTTGCATTAACTCTTAATCAATTTTTCCTATCATTTTTAGTACCAGTTGTAATGGAGCTTAGCACAGAAGGTAGGCATAATCGTTCGTCAGCTGACAAAAAGAAATAACTTCTTTCAGTGTCATTCCCAGTAGCTGATGCTACTACAAGCTCTTTACTCTGGCAAGGAGCACAAACATTTGGGTTTATATTTGTTGTCGTCATGGATGCACTCCGTGATGCGAATGGGGTACCAGTAGATAATATGGACAAGGCTCTTATCTTTGAAGCTTCTGTTGCTGGGACAATTGTCATTCTTTCTTTCCTCTTTTATGGAAGGTTACATCGGTCAGAGGCGTCTGCAGGCACTGGCATCTCTACAAAAATGTAACCCAACTAGACAATAGATATTAATAAAGCTACCTATTTTTCCCAAAGTATAAATATTGTAGTAATTGACTTGTGTAGATAGGAAAGGAACGTCTTTGCTGTAAAAGTATGAGAAGTCTTCATTTTATGTCAATTTTTATACAAGGAAACGGCAAGAAGCATTCTTCATTCTTGATTAAAGAAGGCATTACGTACTTGGGCAGTCCTTTTTAATAAAAAAAGTAAAAGTAGTATTTAGATAACCCGAAGGTTAACTTTGATTGGTCCAATCTAAAGTTAGGACAGGTTATTAAAGTTGACAAGCTCTTGTCAAAGAAGGCAAGCTGCATAATGGCGTAGCTGCATTAAGGTAGGAATGAACAAAAGCTCTCATGTCACTAATAACTCACTTGATTCTTGGTATTTTTTTTTTTCTTTAATAAGCTCATCAACTAGTGATGAAAGCATGCTGTCATTGTACATTGAATAAACGAAAGAACGAAAGAAAGAAAAAAAAGGTCGGATAAAATAGTCTCGTAATTTGCTACAAAGCATGCGGTGTAAAGTAACTATATGTTGTGATCCAAAGGCGCTTACTACGCTACTGTTACTATGGTCACTAATGTACTAGACAGTTGATTCTTGGTCACACTTAAATTGACAATCGATCGTTAGCAATAGTAGCTTGCCATAAATCTTTGTATTATTTCTAATAAAAGCAGCTATTGATACATTTCAAGATAAACAAACTTTAATGCATCATTTATTTATAATTTATGCTTTACATCATTATATATATATAAAAATGCATATTATAAATAAGAAAAGCAACCATCAGTCTTCTTTAAGTTGCATGCTTAAATCATCTGACATAACGAATTAGGTGATATATACCCGGATGACTTCTAATTAAAGTACGTCCTTTCTTGTTTTCAGATACAAGTTCCCATTTTACAGTAGAAAATGCTGAATAACAAGATGCGCGTTGTTTATTTTGAGTACATCGTCAGCAGTGCATGAAATAACGCAAACAGGCCCTTTAAACAGCCCGGTTGAGTGACGCTTTGATCCGGTTTTTCATACCACGCAAAAGAGTTCAAAACTGTTGTTACGCACATTACTGACAAGGTTGGTTTAGTACTTTTTTTTTTTTATTTTGACGCGTTTATTTTATTGGTAATCATCAGGCTACTAGGAAACATTCCGACGAGCCGTTCTTTGTGGTTTAAATGACAGAAGCTGAAATAATATACTAAACTCCCTAGTCATTGCGTCTGTTCTACATTTTTTTTGAATTTTCTTGTACATTGACTGACATGAAGTGAAAGAACAATCTGTGAATGTCTAAGAAAGTTTCTCACGAACGAAACATTCAAGATAAGTGCATTTCAGTATTTTTGTTAGATGACACAGGTACTACACCCTGACTTTGTGGTACAGTGTGGAAAACAGAGAGCAAACATTCAACGAACACCATAGCTATAAATATATTCTTTGATAGGGTTTTGCGTGATATGGTAGTAATTCAATGGCGGAATAAAAGCCTGAATGGCTTCATCTGTCAAAACTGTGCTTCGTTAACGGAGGTTAAAAGTGCTTCAATAGCCGGAACTCCAAAAATTCTAATGGAGAGGAATCCGGAAAAGATAGTGAATGGTGGGGGTGCTACGGAATTGATCATCTTTTTCTTTAATGTGCTACGAAAATAGCCATATTTAAAAATTCGGGACTACCTCCGCCTCTCCCGCGTATATTAATCACCTTTTTTTTCCCATTTTCTTTCTTTTTACACTCGATCATGTCATTTAACCTAAGCTCACCTTTTAGCACTATGAAAACATTTTCTCTAGGCAAAAGGTACATGGATAACTTTACTATCAACCAATCCCTTAAACACTCTTTATATTAGCTGTAAGAAGGCAGCAAAGAACTTGAGTCAATTATTTCACAAGAAGAATCAACAAGATAGAGTATTCAGCCGCGTAGTCAAAAAGATAAGCCCAAGTAGGTCATATGAAATCTAAAGGGGTTACCCAAGGCGCTGAGAGGGCATCTTACTCTCCTTTCTATAGATTCTGTAGAATTGAATAAAAAGACAGAAAATCAGCAAAATGAGACACATCCTATAGCTGAGCACGATCAATCCATTGAACAGATAAAAGATACACTGCCACCGACTCCTCAAATAACAGTTTCAATAGAGAATACTAGCGAGCCTAAAGATGACCTCCGTGAATGGTTGACCATTCTAGTCAACAGCCCACTATTTGATTCAACAGAAAATGGTGCAGCTAAGCATAGTTCAATATTTTATCCTTCACCAATATCCATATCACCATCTCCATGGAAACAGTCCGAAGAAAAGTGTTCTAACGATAGTAACCAGCCTATTGTTAATATATTACAGCCTCCTAGTCATTATCAAAAGAAACCTCAGATGACCACTAGCTCACATTACACACTGAAAGAACAATTCGACAATAGTCACCAGCATAGTACAACTATGTACCGAGGCGATACAAAAAATAAATCACTCCTATCTGCACAATTACAACAACGTGATGAAGTAAAAGAAAGGCTTGATGTAGCAGCTGCTAAAAGAAAGGCCATCAAGAAAAATAGACTAAAAGAACAAATGGATTTGGCTTGGTTTGAAACAATGGAAATGATTAGGTCTCATGAAAATAGCAACAAAGTGTTTCCAACCCCAAGTAACGATTTATTCTACCAAAAACTACAGATGCATTCTCAACCAGAACCAAGCAGCAGTAAAGATGCTTTCAATCAAGCAGACATACTCATTTGGTGACCATGTAACATAAAATAAAGCAATACCATCATTACTTCATCCCCAGAGATGACCTAGTAAAGTATATTTTTATCCTTTGTTACCCCCTTAAATCATCCCTGATATATGCTAAGCATACGTCTATGTTATCCCTTATCCCAATGAGACTATCGGTAACCTTGTCCTAAAGGAACGCCTCGTGTGACAAAATCAGTTTACTAAAGAGACTGAAGTCAAGTACATAAATGGCATAAATAAGTACTAAAAATGCATTCCATACGCACTTTATTGCTTTGTAACAAGACCAGTCAAGAAAGGGCGCTTGATCGTGCGCTTAACAACTTTTATTTTGAGATTGCTATCTTGACCCATCTTAATCACGAATCAGAATAATATGATTATGTCATGACAAGTTGAATAAAGCACCTTTTATCTAATAAATAAGCCAAAGTCATGTAACATGAGCGTCCAACCGTTTTTTTAGAAATAGCCTCTTTTATATTAGGAAATTGCTTTGTGTTCTTGCTAGTGATATAAGGTTTCCATGATCCTCGATGGTTGAAAGAGAGCCAGTAGAATTATTAATCTGTAAGAACATACGTGATGCCCAATAACTTCTGCAACAATTTCATTCTATTGCGTCTGCTATTTTATTGTAACTCTCTCTTTAGGAAATCTTAAACTTTAGGTTGTAGGTTCTGGGAAAATTGCTTGTAATTGTTTTTGATTCAAAAGTGTACCTTTGTCTGTCCTTTTAGATTCAGTATTATTCTCGAATTAATAACCATCTATCTGTTCCTTCAAACATCATTAATCGTTCTGTAGAATCTTTTTTTTTATCTGGAAAATAAACAAATTATGTGTTCACAAGAGAGCTCTATTGCACACACGTATTTTATCGGTTAGTCATGCTTTTTTGATGTAAATGGTCAAGTCGAAGCATAAAAGGATAAATAAAGACAGTCTAAACAAGAATAAAGATAGTATATTGCGCAAGTATCTTTTGTTGTTTTAGGCTTCGATTAAACTAGCTGTGGTTGGCTTTTTTATTTAATAGAGCAGATACTAGAACGCCATACTGAACCCAGCGTAAGATGATGGGCCGCAGATGTATTTGCCATATTTCTTGATTAGTCATTAGCTTACCGCCTTCACCGAGTGTTCTCTCAACTGCATACCATTCTCTATGACGCATGCCACAGACAGGACACTTAATATTAGCCCTTTTATATAGACTAGACAGTTCTATTTGAATCAAATATTCTACTCTATGGACAATGGGGCAACTAGATAAAGCATTATTTTTCAAGTTCTTATCTTGCATCCCTGTATTCGGTAGGCTAGGAATCGATTCTATGACCTCTGGTTCATGCCTACAAGTCCTTGCTACGTTTGACATTCTTTGGTGTAAGTTTATTGTCCTTCCTATTTTGAAGTACGCAAATTTATCTTGTGGCCCAGTTATGCTTTCGTCTATAGAGTAGGCATAAATAAATCCTGGTTTGTCTTTTTCTGATAATGGCTTCATCATCTCCCTAAGCAGCTTTTTTTTCGTCCTTTTGCATGTTTGATCTCCTAACCATACTTTTAAAGCATTAATTCCCTTTTTTAAGTAAAGGCATCCTTTCTATTGTACCATCCCAGCAATCAAGTAGTAATTTTTTATTTGTATTCTTCTTGATTCCTAACCTAGGCTGATCCTTGTCCAATGCTGTTTCTTCAAGCTGTTCTGCAAAAGCTTTTCTTTCAAAGGACCTGTGGTGGGAACACAAAGCCAAGTGAGCGGCTGAAGGAATAGAGCGTACCATTTTCGTACAGCGTTTTCCACTATACTTGCTTGTTGCGCAACATTGTACACGTTTCCTGTATACACGACGTAGAGGTGGCGCTATTTCTGATAATGGTGTCATCAGGGATAGATCATTACTGATCGGTTCAATGGCCGATTTAGTTGAATATAGAGAGCAAAGAGGAACCTGTCTCTTGATATTGACTCTAAATAATTGTCCAAGATTAGGAATTCCTAAAATGATTGCTCGGATGCAAGTGTTGGTAATGAGCATTATTTAATCTACTATTTTTTTAAAGGGGCATAAAAGTCGAATAAAGTTTATTTATAAGTCACAGTGATGAACTTGAAAACGACATACTAAATGGTGTTGTCTTCAAGCTCAGGAAGGGGCTAATGGTAGCGCCGCTTGGATGATTCCTTTGAAGCATTATGATAAGATCGAAAGACGTGGGGTCAAAAATAAAACAAACAGAGACATGTTAAAAGTACAAAACTATATGAAACATTAGCTGGGACAAGAAGGGTGGTCTGAATAACGATCTTTTGTGAATCTAAGGTCGAAAGGTCATTGGTTGACGCAGACAAACTCTACAAAGAACTGGGCGAGCTGAGAAGCAAGCTTTCTCTAGTTTTGGAAGGCCCTCGAATAGGGGGATGTGAGTGAGTGTAGACGTTGAAGGTGTGTTCAAGCTGCCATTGCTGATAGGTGGTTTGAGTGTGTTAGGCGAAAGAACCATGAATCGTTCAAAGGCATCACAGGCTCCCTTATTCTTTTGCTCAGGGACTTGGCTATTTCATTTATTTATCCTTCCTAATTTGATCAAGACTGTACTCTTTTATGCTTACCCCCAATACTCATCTCATTTATTTCTTGATCGCCCTTAACAATACCAATTAAATTAATTTCTGTAGCCTCCAAGAGAGAAAACTGTTCTTCAGGCATGAAATTAACTTTTCAAAAATAGCTCTTCGTCTAAAATGTAAAACTTGGAAACAGCGCGAAGCCCGCACTGAAGGGTCACAACTACAATTGGCATTGACGTGTCTGATGTAAACCATTAAAACACTTTATAATCTTACACTGACGACATCAATATAAATAGCAGCTATAGATTCTCTTCCACTATAAAACGCTTACACGGCGTATTTAATGGTACTCCTTACTTCTTTTCAACAAGAATCTAATTCGCATGTTGTCGACTTAACTGCTTTTTTTCAAATAAAAGGTTGAATACAACAGGCATGTTGACAACATGTATATAGGTGAAAGTAAGTGATTTTTTTTTTTAGTAATGTGCATGTTTCATTGACTAATAGGCGATTCACAGGTTTGTTGTCCGTCAAAAAGCTCAAGGGAAAGTTCGTGTGTCCCGTTTGCGACAAAGCCTTATCAACAACTGGTGGACTCAAGTTTCACTTGACTAGGCATAGTTTGGCATGAGGCTAAAAGGCCATCGCTGTGCAAGCTCGCAGGAGTCGTATGTACCAGAGAAGATTTTGGAAGATGAGGGCGAAGATGCTTCAGAAGACGATAGCCCGTTACCAAATGAGGTCGTACATCATACTCCGTCTGCAACTTTAAATATTAACAACACGCCTAGGCCCTAAAAGAAGCGAAAATTGATAACGCATTCACAAGCCATTCTTGCTTCGAGCGATGCTGTTACAGCTGACTCATAGACGATAGAAGATAAACTGATGATCGCAAAGCTTAGCCGATGGGTGCTTATCGTATACGAATGTGGAAGCGAGCAAGCTGGTCTTTTGACTTTCATCCGCACCGTATCACTTTTGCTCCAAAATCCGAGTGAGCCTGGTACGCGGAGGAAGCCAGCGGCGGACCTTGATCTGGTGTTTTTTCACCTTGTATGGGGAGTGCTATCAACAGTGATGTCTTCATCGAGCACATTGAATCAACAAGGTATGACTTTTTGATCCGCTTATAAAAACATCCTTTAATTTCTTTTTTTTATTAAAGCAGCGAAAAAGCTTTCTGCAACTTATCATGAGGAATGCATCAATGAATACGCAAGCATTCTGAATCGGGATTGACCTGGATACCCTCAGTTGCGATATTGTGGGTCTCAGGTGCTGGCAGAAGTCATTCTGACGGAAGGGCAGACATCCGTTTTGATTAATACTGTGAAACCTTATTGCCGTGATCCGTTGCTTGACGCTCACTACAAGCGACAGTCTGTTGAAAATTCATCATTTCTAGAGACGCCTGGTATCTATGGATACCCATCGACTTGTTTACTAGATACGCATGTCGTTGTTCTGAAATCTACCTTAGATCACAATAAACTCTCATATGCATTAGCCTTCCAGGTACATGGATTCACAGCTACTTTTTATTTGATGACGTTACAGTTTTCTAGAATATATACTTTGTTTGAGATTGCTGTGCCATCACAACATTATCAATAAATATTTGTATTCTTTTTTTTTTTTTATCATTGTCTATAAAATTAAAGTCCAGTTCCGTGTCCTCAAATAAGGCACTTTTTCATTTTGTTTGATGCTGTAAATGTCAACTAATGATGCCATAAAGATATTTTGGCCCTCACACCTCTGCTCACCTAAATGTCAATATGGTTATCTTATTGGCTGGTATAATGTATCAAATGACATCTGCGTCGCTTCAATTGTACCTAATGTCGAAGTAAGCTATTTAGATTGCGCGATCAAATCAATGCCACTTAATCTCATCATACCTCTTCTCTCTCTCCATCTCTCTATTTCCCCCTTTTCTCTTTTTAAGCTTAGGGAATTAGAACAGTATCTGAGTGAATTTCGAGTATCTGGTGAACAGTTTGTACATATCAACAAAGTGTGCAACGTTCCGCCTAAAATTCTTGGATATTCGACTATGAAGGAACAGTGCAAATACTCAGGCACTCAAGGTAAAGAGAACCAATCTGACTTAATACAATATTAATAATCATTTCGACAATAGAGCAAAAGATATGGCTAAATATTCAGTTGACCAATAATCATATGCCAATACTCTTGTAGGTAAACATGTAACGAAAATAGATATTCAAACTAAGGACAGTGATAGGTCTTTGTATATGAATAACGAGAAGTTTAAAGTTAATGAATATCAAGTTATATTTTATGATCAGCCAAACCCAAAGAGATTACAATTTTTAGCCCTAAATCCTTTAGAACTAGACATATCAGTTTACAATACCCCCAGACAAACACCAGAGAAACACGCGGCTTTAGAACACATATTGCACTATAGCCATCAGTTGAATGGTAGCGATAGAGGTTCGACATCGACCGACCTTGAAAAAGTCCTGATCCAGGTTTGAACTTATAGGACATATACATTATGTCTGTGTGTATCTAATATGGGAATGTTAGATAAATTCGTCTTATTTCTTAGAACAAGGTATGCAACAGTTACCATTCAAGCATAAACACAAACAAACCAGTCAAAGTCACATACTTGGTTGCCTTGCATATTACTTGCACCTTTTCTGGATTTTTCCTGTTCGTGTTATTATGTCTAGTCTTAAATGGTTAAGTGGGTATTATATCAAGAAATGGATTACATTATGTTCCATGTGCTTTTTATTCTTGATCTTGACATTAGCTGAGGCAACACTTCAAGCACTTAATTTACATCTACCACCATGGATATTAAATGGCATTGCCTTTAAAGATCTATCTGCAGCTGGCCAGCAAATAGATTTAAGACTACAGCAACTCTTCTTTTGGTCAAGGCAATACGTTTTACTCAGAAAACAGAACTGGGCAAATACAGCAAAAGCAAGAGCCCATTACATAAGGTTGAATATATATGTATATATCATCATCATTTTGTTTACTCATTTTTATTATATAGCTTTTACAATAGCATGTGGCTAGTTGCTAATGATATCATCATTGGTATTGCTCTAGGTTCATTTCTAACTGCAAATAAATATGTATTAGCTGAAAGGCTTCATGATATATTAAATGTAATGAGACAACAAAGTAATATTATGTCACTAATATAAAGAAATAGAAATACACTGTCAAATCTCTAGAGTCGATGGTATCATGGTTCTTGGAATCACCCGCAGGCCTAAAATTAAACCAAGAACTAGCTTATTTCTTGAGCGAACTCTTTCTCTGGCTTCTTCGCTTGTGGACGCTCTGCCCTCAAGCCATTGAACGATTCACACCACAGATCATCCATGCTATTGGACTATCTGGTATATTTGGAGTGACGATGCTCATTTCTCTATCTTCGGATTTTTTAGCATTCATGACTCTACACATCTATTGTTTCTATATGGTAGCAGCGCGAATATTTAATTGGCAGCTAGTTATTCTCTATTCTCTATTCAATTTATTTCGTGGCAAGAAAAAGAATGTTCTTCGTAATAGAATTGATTCGTGCGATTATGACTTGGATCAACTCTTGCTAGGCACCAGTCTCTTTACTCTTTTAACCTTTCTATTCCCCACTGTATTTGTATATTATCTAACCTTTGCTCTAGTAAGTCATAGAAATGAAAGAGAGCGATTGATAATAATGTAATCGTAGGGTCGTGTTGGCATCATAATTCTGCAAGCGATAATGGAAACAGTACTCGCGTTCTTTAACCATTTCCCATTGTTCGCCATCATGCTTAGGATTAAAGACCCCCATAGATTACCAGGTAAAACAAGAATATATATGCATGTATATGCCCTCTTTATTGACGTATAATAGGTGGCCTTCAATTTCATATATTCAGTTTAGATTACTTTGCACAAAAGCAGCATACCATCTTTTATAAATTGTGGATATCATTGACAAAAAAGAAACATAAACCAGCCCTAAGAAAAACCAAGAAACTGCCAAGGAAACGAGCTACTGTTACATTTAATTTACAAGAATTTCCCAAAAGATCATTTGAATTACAGAGGGACAGTATGAGGGCAACCTATCTTTGGATGCGCGTAAGTTGGTGAATTATTTTAAATTTATCTATGTATTCAATTTGAACTATAGAATTTGCCCATTTCGATGAGTGCCATATTTTTTCAGTACATGTTATTATGGAAGAGATTAAGTGCTCACTATTTCTCGGCCTATGTGTTCAAATGTTTGCTTTATGGTGAGCCTATCAAGCCAACACCAAAACTACAGTACCCAATGCTTCCGGATACACGGTAATCATAACAGAAGTAACTATAAAACTAAAATCTAATGATATCCAGTAGACCTTCTTTAAAAGCCCTTTGGCAAACATTTATATCAAGCATATGTGAGGGAAAGAAATCCGAATAAATAAAAGAAATATGTCAAATCTTTTTACTTATGAACAATGAAGAAGGGGGTAATTTTATGCATTAAATGGGGGAATATATGTTCTTTTTTTACATGGTTTCGCGTCTCACTACAATAAAGAAAGGTTGAGTATCTCTTTTCAGATAATGAATATATTAAGTACCTTTCTTGCTTTCTTCCAAATCTTTCACTTTATTCAATAGCCTATCCCTTACAGCATGTGCTTCTGCTACTTTAGATTGTAATCTTTGTATTATACTGTTGGATGCTTCAATCTCTTTCTTTATTCCTTCAATCTCCTTTTCATGGTCTGAAATAGACATTTCTGCTCTCTAAACAAAAGAATGAATAAACAACATCAATTCAATAATAAACAACTCACATTTATCTTTGATTTTAATGTCTGCCTTTCCGTTTCAGCTTCTTTGAAAGCATTTGACATGTTATCGAGTGATTCCTGATATATAAGTAAGCATATGTATGAATACTACTAGATCGACCTTACCCTTAATCTCTTATTGTCCTCTTTCATTTGCTCCAGTTCCTTTAAGGATAGATCCAACTTCCTTTTTGCGTCACTGACTTCAATATCTCTTGTTGTTAATCGACGAGAAAAGTTCAAGTTTTCATCTTCTAATTTCTGATAATCGATACGATGCTTATTATGCAATTCTTCAACATCATTGATATGCTTTTTCTCCAAGCTCTACGTAAAACTTATTAGGTTGATTATTCAAAGTAAAGCAACAATAATTCCTCTTCTTACTTGAATCTCTGTTCTAAGCGCTGCTGCTCTTTGTATGGCTTCTTTTTCTTCGGATTCTTTTGTTTCCTTGACAATTTCCAATTCTCTCTTAAAACTCTTCAATTCCTCCACTATCATAGACAGTGAGTTTCCTTGGGTTTTTACTTGTGCTTTTTTTTCTTTTTACATCTCTCTAGATTAAGTTTATACAATTGTGTCATATCTGTTACTTTCCCCTAAATGACAACAATGTTTATATCTGCCTTTTATTCAAACGTTATATCCTTACTCTCAAATCCCAAGCAGGTCTTTGTTTCAAGCTACTGGCTTTTGTATGATATGACTTTGCTAGTGTAGGTGTTTTTTTGCTGTTATTATTGCTATTATCCTCTGGCTTTTTACGATGCACTTTAGATGCTGTTCCATTTGCCGCTGCTGCTGCAGATCGTTGAGCTGCACGTATAGCATCAGCACGAGCCTGTGAGGCCTTTGTGGCTACGATGGATGGTCGAGCTATTTTCTTTGGTCCTGGATTTTCTGCTGAAGGAGATGCAAGACGCTTCTTTGTACTATTGTTCATTGATTAAAAAAAAAAGGAAACAGTTGAACGCTGTCACTTTTAAAAAAAAAGGGGGGTTTTGCTGTCAAACGGAACAAAAAAAAAGTTCAATAATAAAAGCGATTATTAACAACATTTTCAAAGGATGTTTGAGAATATTGCAAATAGCAACGTCATCTATTTCTGTGTATATATATTTATATAATAGGTATGTATATTTATATGTGGGGGTAAGGAAGGGGGGTATAAATAGCTACGGGTTGAATCGCCCTTGCTGTTGCTGCTGATGCATATTAAGCAATAATGGATTGGCTTGATTGTTATGATGATGATGTGGAATAGGAGTACTTAGAGAGCTTGAAGGTATCTTTCCTAGTAAAGGCACATAGTAATCTCCAGATGGGTAGTATTTATTACCATTGCTGCTGCTTGTAGGCAAGAGTGAAGTGCTTCTTTGTCTAGAATAGTGATTCATGGTAAAAGGCGTATAATCTGGAATGAATTGAAAATGGTTTTTGCTACTATTACTATTGCTACTACAACTGCTACTTGGGTAATCAGAGTCAATCATGTATGGATCATAGAGACCGTTCATATGAAAGCCATTGTTTGATTTTTGAGCCTATAAAAAGAGGTTATATATATCCTGTCTCTCTCTCTCTTTGTTCATATAACATACATTTCCCCAAGGTTGAAAGAGCTTATGATTATCATTTACAATTTTTCTTCTAGTGTGTTCATCTATGTATGGGGTTTAGTATACGTCTTTTAAGATATTTACAATATTACATGATTCAGGGTGATCTATAAGGTGCATTACAGAAGGACTAATGTGTCGCATATCTTCTGGATCGGGTGAGCCGTTTAGGACGTTGTGCAAAGTATCATCCAAAGGAACGAACCGACTTCCCATGAATGCATCAAACATAGTCCTGGCTTGCTGTAATTGATGCTTTGTGTTATAATCAAAGCAGAATTTGAAGGTAAGCACTCTGCTATCTAGTGCTGATAGCTGTCCTTGACCTCCTTCAATGATCAAGAAAGATGAAGTGGTCTCTTTTAGAGGCACGATATGCTCTGGTAATATCAAGTAAATTCCTGTCTTTTTGAAAATCTTGCTGTCTAATTCTTCAATCTCCTCCGACTCTAATATACGCTCTAATGCGACCGAGGCAGGCACACGAATTTGAATCTGCTGCGGCAAAAGACTCTGTATTCTCAGTCGCATGTCATTAATGTGAGCCTTTGGTCCAACAATCAGCACATGATCTGTTCCGTTTCGTTCAGGCCAAACAATCTTGATGTTATACAATCTCCCCTTTTCGCGTAGATATTTCCCACTAAAATGCAGTAAATATCTTTGAGCATAATAAGGAACAAACTCTGTCTCGGCTGTATGATCCCTGTCCTTTTGAAGCGTGATAAAGTTCATGATGGCTGATTTCAAGAGTTGAAGACTATCCTTGTTTTTTTGAGGGGTTCTTGCAATCACATTGTGTTCATTTTCAAAATAACCACCAAAAGTAGCAAGTTCCTCGTGACTCGAGAACTTGACGTATACGCCATACTGCTTCATGACCCTTTGAATGTTCTTTCCCGCTACGCCAATAATTCGGCGATGACAGCTTTCAGGAACATAGAATGATATCTCTGCTGGTAATTCTTCTTGGAGGGAATCGAATCCGTTTTGAGCCTTTGAGAAAACATTACTGGTTATAGTTATCAAAAAGTTGAACTGATTAAATGAGTCAAAATCGATTTGAGTATCACAAGTCTTCATGATCTTGTTGATCTTGCCATTCTTCTTTCCACTGATAAATTCGCGTTGATCGACAGCCAATTCGATAGAAAACGTCGTGGACTCATGATGTTCCTTTTTTCGGATATGAGGGACAAGATAATTTAAGGGAATAATAACTTACTTGTAAGAAGGATAACTTGGATATATACTGAATACAAGATTGAATTTGCTCTTTTGAGCCAGTCATTATTAGACGGTTATTGTGGTAGATGGTATGAGAGGTTAAATCCTTTAATAGATGACCTATTGCGTCCTTTGATTGTGGGACTGAAAATTGTATACTGACTTGGAATACATGACTTGCCTAAAGAGGGTCATTACTACACAAATGCGTGAATATACACATGGTATTACGTACAAGGTAGTTTAAGGATCGGAGTGTACGTTCTACATTGATATAATTCTCAGCATAGACTTGAACATTGTTTTGGTCAGAGCCAAAAGTAGAAAAGGATATGAACGAGCCTAGAGTAAAGATGTTAAAAAAATAAAAAGATAGAATTACATCACTTACCATTCTCCTTCATTATTTTGGTTAACTCTTGCTTTTTATAAAGCAAAATATAATCCCTCTTTTGTGGATTTAATGTTGATTTTGAGTTACACGTTGTTTTGATCTATCAAACATTTGAGTTATCATAAAAAAAGAGAAAAGAGAATTATAACCTTTTGAGAGACTAGCTTTTGTATTAATCCTATTGTTCTATTCACAGTGTCACTTGTGCTGCCAGTGATGTAAACAGCACTTTGTTGGGTTATATTGTTATGATTCCAAATAGACGGTAAATAAATACTACATCCAGTCTCTTCCATAATTGATGTATATTGACTATATCTTTTGCTTCCTACAATATTTATCATATAAAAGGGTATTTCTATGCTTTCTAAACATAATCCGGTCTATATACATATAAAATTTCTTAGAATATACAGTCAACTGTGACAATGATTGTATTTACTAGTATATCGACAAAGATTAATGTATCTATGCGCGCTTTTTCAACTTTGTCGATAGGTCCAACATATTTGATCGTCAATTGGTTATAATCAACAGTAATATGAATCTGATGGTCAATGGCTATTTTTACAAGCTGATCATGTAGTTTTTGTCGAGCAATGTTTTTATAAGCCAATCCTGGGTATAAAGAGTTGATGGATACATATACCTATATAATAAATATTTAGAAATAAAAAAACAACAACAAGTATCTAAGTATACTTGCTTCAGTGGGCTGAAATCTATAAATGTCAGCTTTAATAGACTGAACATTTGCATCTTTTGTTCCTGAGAAAACTATGACGTTGTTTGAGTAGGAATATATCGCTTGAGGATGTGATAACTCTAGTTGATCATGAAGCTCTTCATGTTGATGATCAAGGCTAAAGGAGCAAAGTATAAACATGTAAAAATAAAAATAAAAAGTAAAAATACAAAAGAAAAAGAAAGTGAGAAATAATAAAGCAGGAACTATAATTTTGTTAGTGTTTACAGATCGGAGATTTAAAGCTATTTATACAATTCTCGGAGGATACTCACGTTTGTGTCAGGAACGGATAGTTTTACACCGCTTGATTATTATTATTATCGCAATATAAAAGTGTATATATGAAAAGATTTATATCTTTTCAATTCTAGCCATACTTTGGCAACTTTGTCTACTCGCTGTATTAATGCTGCATCTTCCTAAACTGCCCGGATGCAATCAGTTGCTATGGAACAAACAAAGTCAGATTACACTAGGTCGATCCAAAGGCCCTGACCATGTGCGTACTGCACATACACTCCCTATGTAACCTAGATATTGTAAAATCAAGAATAATATACGATTATATGTGCTAGTGTGCTTTTCCAATGATAGACTCTTATGCCTATTCAATGTAAAAACAGACATGCATGTTTGTAAACTGAGCAAACGAAAAAGAGGCGCACCATCATTACCTTGTATCAGTCATATTCCAGTCCAATGATAGCAAATGTAATGAGTACCATACATAATTGAGTGACAACAATGCTCCCAGAAAATAGACAAAACCTAACGTGTCTCAAGTAAACCTTTACATATACACGCGTCTGGTGCGGAAGTAAAAAATCAAAGGCGAGCGAAAAGATGTTTTGAAAGCGTCAGCCTATATAATCTTGAGTAAAGGATTTTGCATTTCACCCATTCGCCAAAAGGGGGTCAATATAAATTAAGGAGCGTGTCATTATCTAAAGCACCACTTGTTGTATGCGCTCCCTTTTTATGAAGACGATGCAAAAACATATAGATAAAATACTCATATCGCGCTTATGGCCCAAACCTCGGCAGGTGTCCTGAGGCATCACTTTTAAACATAACGATCTCCTTGTAGTAGTCAAATATTAACATGTAACGAAAAGATGGAGACAGTTGAACCGCCTTATATGAGATGCTTACTATTTTGGGACACAAGTTTAAGTTAGCATCAGAATAGTATATAATATTATACAAAGCATCAAAATATCTATTATTAAAAATAAAAATAAAAAAGGAACACGGTAATTGAAGATATAATATCGGCAAAACCTCAGTTAGTCTAATCAGCCGATTCAAGCCGGTCATAAGCAACACTCTGACCAATTATTCCTGCTGTTATGAAAGTGTGTAAACTCAAAGGGCATTTGAAAGCCCCCTTCTTTCACAGGGCAAATAATAAGCAGGGCTTCTTGCTTTTGCCTAATAGGAAAAGAAAAAAAGAAAAAAACACGCAATAGCACACACACTTTGTAGCTCTTTTTTTTTTACCGCGTGTACATTTTGGGTGATGATGCCGACCGCTGACTTGTAATCATTTGTTCGTCAATGGAAGCGAGGCACTGAATGAGAGCAGCAAGAGACGTTTTATACAGCAGCTTTAACCTTAGACTTTCATTGCCAATATTACCAGGGTTCATTAGGTTGACTGTACATGCTCAACCGAGTCGTCAAAGTGTGTAGACAACTTTTCGTAACATTAGTATTGTCAAGCACAGTTGTACTAATTGTGTTTCATATGAACACAAAGTCCTCATAAAACTATAAAAACTAGACGCACCCTTTACTTCATCTTTAAGCCTGAACAGATAAGATAACCAGATCAAAAATTAACATCATCATATAGGGCTTTTTCATTGGAAATAAAAAAAGGATATTTTAAAGTTAATAGCAAGCAAGGGCAGTAAAAAAGACATGCGATGTAAACATAAAGCTACCTTTTTCTCTCTTGGCACAAACGTACCAGTACGAAATCACGCCGTAAGTGAATAAATATTAAAATGGTAAATAGCAATGATGATTGCTTTTTCTGTATAAAGCTCACCTTTACATAGAACAAAGGGGAAAGAAATCCCATAATGGAAACTACAAGATGTGTGTGACTCCATGATTTCATTTGCACTTTGTGTAATTTTTTGTACGCTTTTTCTTTGTAAACCTTTTCAATGAATAAGCATTTAGCAACATTACTTGCAAGTTACAAATCATGCCTTGAACAAATATTTGAGATGAATAACAAAGTTGATCAAGTGAATACTTCAGAGCAGCTAATTGCTAATAACGAGAAAACACCCGAAAAAGTGACTGAGCTACTTGAAAAGGTTAAACTGAATGTTGATACTGCAGTGAATAGGCGTTGTGCTGAAGCGAATGCAGTAAAAGCTGATATACAATATTTGATCGATGATATCCTATGGAGGTTTAAAGATAAAATTGCGGATAAAGCAACTAATAAGGATCATTATAAGCAACAACTCTTGGATATAATTGCTACACTATTTGAAGCCGAAAAGCAGAGTTATAGTACGACAGATGATGAAAACAGTCTGAACCAACTTCATGAGGACATACATCAATGGTTACTTCAAGCTGTACCTGTATTTCTAACAATATTTGCAGAGCATGAAGATAGGAAGAGGATCTTGCAGTTTTTGATTGATACGCCTCATGTAACTTGGGCTATTCCCTTACTTCAGCCGCATCCTATTACATACAATATCAGTGAAATGAATGAATATATAGACTCAATATCCCTTGTATTAAATAAGACAATATGGACAGAAGAAGATAATTTTCTTGCAGCTTTGGATCAATTAGCAGTTGATTATACCTACAGTAAATTTTTAGACATGTATCGTCTCAGCAAAGAAAAGATACAAGCAATAGACACAAGTTTACTAGAGATCACACAACGCATGACGAACATTCTCTTTAACGCTACACACCAATTTCAAAATATGAATACACTAGTCAAAAGACTTTGTCAGACAATCGTTCAGACAGTCCAGCTATTGGTAGAAGATACAACGATATGTGAACAAGAGCAGATTGACAAGTTTATCTTGGAATTGACCAACATGTTTCGCAGCGCAGATAACTCAACCATTACACTATTTTTGCCACAATTTCCATTTAGAGCACTTTCAACCCAAGCACTATGGCAGCTCGCCCTCCAAACGCTTTGTCTAAGTGATCTATCAGAGCCTACGACCGTAGAGGAAGTCTTAGAATTAGCACCCAACATAGATCTTTTCAAAGCATTCTTAAAAGATAACCCAGTACAAGACGTCTTTATGCTTAGTTGTCTAACTAACATGGTGGCCTGTATACCATCTGGAGTAGATAAACTATCTCAACATGATTTACTGGGTACATGTACAATTATTATTATATCCTTTGCTTTGTTTAATACCGCCTTTGTCGATAAGCAATTACGCAGTATGTATTATAAAGACGTAAGAGATCACTTTAGCCTTATTTGTCAGCATCACCCATTCATCATCTCGCTATTACTCCGTTGGACTGTAGAGCATATGCCCAAAATGCAAAAAATGGCTCTCTACCTATTTCATTCACTGCCGTTAGATAAATGGATCATGCTCACAAGTGATTTGAAGTGGCTACATCAACTGCTATCATCAAAGAACGCTGTTGACATTCAATTTGCCAAGTACATCCTTGAGAATTTAAACTATGGATATTCAGATACTATAGACACCATGATATCCAAGTCACAGCCATGGCATAGTAGACGTCAGCCGTTCCTAGACTATAGTGTTCACGAAGATATTGCCTTTTTGATACTGGATGCTTGTCAACGGCACCAACCACTTCCTGAACCATCCAAAGGCGCAATCGATATGGTCACTTCAGCTGTAGTTTCCAATTACATGGTAGCAAATAGTTCAAACGAGTTTATTCAGTGGTCCTGGACGATAATACAAAGACTCAGGCTGTATGACTGCCCTGTATCCACAAGGGCTACTGACATAGAGCAATCGCTTACGGCATCCTTTTTACGACTCATCCTCAATAGCTACAACGACTCATCAGCATCTCACAGTGCCCTCGTGGTCTATACGTCATTCATGCTTTCGGCTACATCGCGCCACTTTTTGCGGTTCGAGGCAGGTGATGGATGGCTCAAGCTGCTGACAATACTAAAGAGGGGTAGATCAGAGGCTGTGATAAACATTTTAAGTGAAATGATTCCTTCCTTTGTATACATGCATGGTGATGACATGTTCAATGATGCGAGTTTAACTGACTTTTTAAAACATGTCTTTCTTACCAAAACACAAATCGATCCTGTTATTGAAGCAAATATATGGCAAGCACAACTTATTGATGACTCTGTTATGGAAAAGGGCGCAGGTTTTTCGTATGTTGATCTTATGATGCACTGCTGGTTAAAGACTGTGTTTCAAAGAACAGACTGGATCAGTCAGAAGCCTCTAGTAGACATGATGGATACCCTTTGTAAATTGGCCTTTATACTAAAGCGACGACAACTGATACATCCGATGCTAGTAGAGGAGTACAAGCAATTAGAACGTCGAGATAATCTTCAACAACAGCTGCAGGATGGGAACCATGAGAACAATGGATCTCCCAAACTCACTCGACTTATCAAAAACATGGTCTATGAAGGCACAGCAGTTCCTACTTTACTGGTCAATAATGATGAATGGTTCATTTTGAAGGGATTAAACAAGACGCCTGGAGTAGACAATCATCATATATGGTTTGCCTTTGAGGCGCTCATGACAGAGACAGCTATTGAGAGATCTTATCGAGAGAATATTATGAAGGAAGAACAAAAGACGATCAAGCGACCGATGGACTTTTTTTGTATATACCGTTGGTTACATCATATACTTATTACCCCTGCAGAGCATCCTTTATTACCTTTGTTCCTGCAAATGTTCTTTTGTCTATACTACCAAAAAGTGGACAATTCGATCGTTTTGGGGTCCATCCTTTTCAGCAAGAAACCGGAGCTTTTAGCAAAATTAAGAAATCACATTGCCAATATTCAGACGTTTTATGGACAGAAAATACCATCAGCGCCAGGAATGGCAGAAAAGTTTCAGCAAACCTATTATGCGATGTGGATTTGGCTTGGACATAGCGAGTTAAGGCAGCCAGGATATGACATTAGCCAGCTACCGTCTCATTTTGATGTTCCTAGGCTCGCACAATGTCGTTTACGAACTGAAGATGAGCAACCCTGGTATGATGAAAAGCTATTTTGGATGGATTTGGTAGACAGAGATAGGCTGCTACAAGTTTTTTTGCAGCACAACTGGGAAGCATCAGATAAATTTAGAACAGAAAGCAAGAATGCAGACAATTGCTCTTCTTCTTCCTTGAGAAGTAAAAGATCAAGACTGATTATTAATGAAACAACAATTATACCTTTACCTCCAGTACAATTTAAAGAACCAAATAAAGTGTAGCAACTCTTGTTATTTTGCTACTGCTTGTGTTGATTCAAGGTAAAATATGAAAAAAAAAAAAAAAAACCTCTTTATCAATTTATTAATTATATAAGCTCTAGAACTCTATGGTATTCGTCTTCCAAGTTTAAATATGTTTCGTCCAATTTTGCTTTCCTTTCATCTTGCTCAAGCTCTTGTAATATATCCTAGAATATATACACACATTATATCATTTGTATACCTAAACCCTAAGCTTACTTACATAATTAAATCTGTAAAGTCTGTCTTTCACTTGAAGTCTATAAGTCCTGTAATCTTGTTCGTTTGATTTGTCTACATTGGATAATAGATATATTTCGATACATCGATGCAATTGTCTGTCTGTAAATTTATATTCTTGATGTAATCGATCAAATGTCTCTCGAGAAATAGGAGCCTTGAGTCCTTTAAAACCTTCATGTTCCAAAAGATAATGAATGTCATTTTTGTCTCTCATGTCTGCAAATTCTTCACTTGGATCCTCCACTAAGAAAGAAGCTAAGTATTTCCTCGATAGAGATGCTTCCTCTCTTTTTTACCTGTAATTTCTGACACTTCTTGGCGTGATTTAAATAGTTGATAGAGGATACGATATAGTTCACTTCCATGACCCCTCTTCTTATAAGGAGGAAGAACTAAAAATTGACTATCTTATCCATAAGAATTAACCCAGCTATAACCTTTATATAGATTACCTTATTCTCATTCTTGTATTTTCTGGCCAAAAGTAAAAAGGATATGCTGTACAATAGCCAACAAAATGATAAGATGCCAAGCTATGTGCGCCCTCCTTCTTGAAGCTTAAGTCAAGTTAGTCTTTTTCTCTTATATACAATCAGTAATGACTTTACATTGTATAAATCTCCCATTTCTCATCGTCATCTTCTATGTAACTTCCACCTTCAATAAAGAGCAAGACGAATAACTGCATACGAGCATGATATTCCCTGAACTTTTGATTGGCAAATGAACACTGTTTATAATTAATTAGATGATATGCATACACCTCTCTCTCTTCTTGTGTATTGCTTTACCTTGTAAATTTCAAACTGTTCTTCGCCTTTTTCACCGTCTCGAGTATACTCATGAATTTTTTCTCCAATGGGTCTAAATGCTGTATGATCTCTCTTGACAGTTTCAATAAAATCATCTTGCTTTGTCATGTAGCCTTGTGGGAAATGTTCTTGAAGAGTTTTCCAAACATCATCTATTGAATACGATCCTGAATATTTGGAAGAATATTGAATATTCAGAAAAGGCTGCAACGATCCAGAGGAGTACTTGAGCTATGTAGTATTAATTTATCTGTAAACTACTCTTTTATATTATGCTTTCTTTACTATACTTCAATCGACAAGTTTTTATAACCAAAGATCGTTTCGTGATCGCCAAAGATTGGATAAGTAAAGTCTGGATTGAATGTTGTGATCTCTACAGGTTCAGTTGATTCGCCGTCTTCTTCCTGTGGTCGTGCTTTTCAACTTGATCAATATTTTATTATTGAAAGATGTATATAAAACTTTTACCTAAGGATATATACGTAGATTCAGTAGCATTGGCTGCCCAATCAGCAAAATCAATCACCTGGGTAGAAGCAGGATGAGGAGCGATTTCAGGTTCCATTTTAAAGAGAAATAGAAAGAAAGAAGAAGAAAAACGCGTCTATTATATAATCGGGTTTAAATTTTGATTTTTTTAGAGTCTCGGCGCCAAAATAGGTCATAGGAGCTGTTTCTTTTCTTTGACCTTTCAAATCGCACCTGTCTCGCCTCAGTGATTTCAAAACCAAGCCAAAGTTAAGAACTGTTGTTGAGTCTGTTGAAAAATCGCCCTTCTTTCTCCATATTGTAAACAATTCATATAGGTGCTTTGTAGGCATCTTTGTCACGCGAAAATACATATCATTTTAAACATCCTCGTACGAAACAAGAAACGAAGTTGGAAAGCCGCCGTTCAAGCTTTCTTCATTCAACGTTTGTAGGCTCTTGATAGCCTTCCTGTCCATGCTGTCATTTACATAGTTTTCTAACCATAGAGATTATGATCATGGTGCTCTTGACTGTATTTAACAGAACCGTCGTTCATAAATGCTTTCACTATCTTTACGGAGCACCTAGTTTTTCTCTCTTCTCTTTACTTGATACGCGTCTTAATTTCTCTCGAGAGGATTACATAAATAACTATACATATAATTATTTTTCCTTGTTCAAACCAGTTCTTATCCTTGAATATGAACGTCATTTCTGGTATAGGATAATTAAGGAGAATACACTCAATATATACATGAATATAGCTTATTATAGAAGTGTATAAGAATATAGTGTAAAAAGTATTTTTACCATTGTGGCTTTCAAAACTTTTACTGGCAAAAGGCCCAGGTAAAATTCATAAACTTTCCCTAGCAAATGAAAGATGCAAGTAAAGGATATGCTTATTTATTTTTCATTTTAATTCAAATTTAATAAAGATGATCTCGACTGCTTTTTGACTTCCCGAGACATGTTTTGATTACACACGAAAAGCTTCGAAAGAGTCTTAGTAAAAAAGAAATCGAAAAATGAGGGTGGTATTTATAATGATAATGTGACTTGTTTACATTAATTTCAGCCACTGTACAAATTATCTGTCTCTTTGGATAATTTACTTGTTCACTTTAAATCTTTTAACATGACCGTTACCCGTGCACAACGTAGAAAGCTTGAAACAATTAATCAAGACAACAATGAACCAAGGAAACAAAAGACAACAAAACGAAAAGAAACTTCAAAAAAACAGCCAACAGAGAAAACAACAGCACAACATACCTCTGAAGAACAACAAGTGATACAAAAGTCAACAAAGCAAGAAGAAAAAGTGAAAGAGAACAAAGAGAAAGAAGAAGGATCTACTGAAATTACACAAGAAACTTTTGACTTGGATGCAGGATCTGACTCCAATTTAAGTTCAGAAGAAGAAGAGAGAGAAGAAAGCGAAGAAAGCGAAGACGAAAGTGAAGAAGAGGATGAAAGTGAAGACGAAAATCTTGATGAGCTATTAAGCAAAGCTGAAGCAGCATTGACAGCCCACCAAAATGATATGTCACTAGAGAAGAAATCAGCATCTATTCAAAAGCTATCCAAAATGAACACAGGTCTAGCTCAGTCTCTCTATTTCAAAACAGCAAAAGGACGATCCAAGTTGACGGAAGAAGCTGTTCAACTAGTGGATGAAGATGGAAAGGTAAAAAATGCACCGCTTGTCTTGAAAGCAAACAATACACTTGAGCAAAAAGCCAGTCGAAAAGAAAGACAGCAGGAACGAGAAAAGACGACTGGTAAAGATTGGTTTGATATGCCTCGTCCTGAAATCACACCTGAGCTTAAGCGTGAATTGCAGATCTTAAAGATGCGTCATGTCTTGGACCGTAAAAGACATTATAAAAAGATGGGCAAAAAAGAAGATCCTAAATACTTTCAAGTGGGTACAATTATCGAAGGACCTACTGAATTCTATTCTGCTCGCTTGACAAAGAAGGAGCGTAAACAGACAATCATTGACGAATTACTGGCAAATGAAGAACAAAAGCAATACTATAAGCGCAAGTATAGTGAAGTGTCAACAAGAACGAACAGCGGTGGCAAACGAGATTATAAAAAGTTAAAGGCTCAGAGAAAAGTGAGATATTAGAATGCATTAATAATAAAAAATGTTTTTGTTTTTATTATTCATTGATGACAGCCCGTATTGTGTCAGACTGTACTTGTCGTGTTCCTACAGTGCCATTTACTCTTACCACTATTACTATAATAACTATAGATAGCACTATTGAAAAGTAGAGTGTAGCATATCGGCATCGCTTTTGCCACATGGAGTCAGTTTCATTCTTTTTGAAGCTACCGTAGATCCAAAGTAAAGGGCAAGCAAATCCAGCATAAAAAAGACGTTCCTGCGTCCAATAAGAGGCCTGGCCCTGTATATTCTCGGTACTTAGTAGCAACCTGGGCAAGTGGTTATGCACATCATATTCTTTGTTTTTAGAGATGTTCTTTGGTTTTTCATTTTGTTGCAAACCTATGTTTACAAAAACACTGTGCTGGTGTCTTTCCTTCCTATCAAAAACAACCCGATTGCCTGAATTCACGATTTGGCTACACGATTTTGAGGATGGTAAAATATTTGGTATTGTAGCAGGTTGAGTATAGCATTGAGAATTAGCTGCAGATGGTTGTAAAGAAAGGCTGTAACCGGTGTACTCCAATTCTCCCTTGTTATGTTTAAAGGTAGTTTGGGCATCAAATATAGATTCCCACATACCCGTGGCTCTATCATTATTTTTCTCTTCTTTCAAGTTTACTGTAAGCAAAATATCATCTTTGGGGGGAAAATCTACTGCTGAACGTATCATTGGATGCAACCTCCCTGATTCATTTTTTGGCAACTGTGTCAAAGACTGATTGTGAGCATCGACTTGGGTTATTCTATCAAGGTGGTCAGGAACAGTTTTAGATACATCGGAATTATTTAGTCTAGACACACTGTCTATGGAGTTTATATTGATTTGCTGCAAAATAGATGTAAATGGTTGAGCTAAAGGCTGTTCAATCGCATCAACGACGCTCATACTTTTGTATTGTAACTAATTAATAGAGTGGGGAATTCAGAGTGAGGAATTAAGAAAGATAAACCCATTTGCAATTTATTTAAGCATATAGAGAACAGCCAGTTCAGTTTTGAAGCAAAGCAGCTTGTCTAAACGGTTAAATTAAAATCCGCATACACACATTACATTTACAGAAAGAGCGAAGAGTGTTATTTTCATATGCTAAAAATTACCCTGTTTACTTTTCTTTTTCTTTTGCTGTTGTATACCTTTTCGAATACATGAGCTTGGAACAGTTGAAACAGTTTTCTACTTGTGAAGTAATACCTTTGTCATGCTTAAAATAGAACATACAGCTAATTGCATTCAGATTGCAGATGCACTTTTGAAGCTTGGACAGCGACCATGGGGAGGATATATACCTGATATTGAGATGTGGTCACCTACTTATTGCGAGGGAGATACACGTATCATAGGCCCTGCATTTACTGTCAAGGTTAATAGATCAACTTAAAAAAAAAGAGGTCCTTTAATAATTATGCTATTTTTTATTGAATAGATGGTACATAAAGAAGATAAAACCTCACCTACACCCACAGAACATTTTGTAAGAATATAGAGAACCCAAGTTGGCATCATTATTGAAAATGATATCATAGGCTGATGCAGCTGAGAGTGGATCTATTATTGTTATATCTGCTCCCTCAGGTTGATACACACACACAAAAAAAAAGGACAAAGAATTAACCGTTTGATTAGATGTCAAAAACGCAGTTTGGGGTGGATTGATGTCTGCAAGAGCAAAAGCTAAAGGAGCCAAGGGTGTGGTCATTGACGGACGCGTGCGCGATTTAAATGAACATCGCCAGATGCAGTTTCCAGTAATGTTTCATCTTGTTGTTTTGATTGTTCCTAATACGTTTGTAGGTGTTTGCAAAATCGCATTCAATTCTGCCCCAAAATGCGTTTGTACGACCTTCTGAAATCCAGGTTCCCATCACGTTGTCTGCTGCAACAGTGAATCCAGGTGATATCATTGTAGCCGATCTCGATGGCGTAATTTGCATACCAAAGGATATGGTTGAGCAAGTCATTATAAATTGTGAAAAGTATATGGCTATTGATGATCAGTGTATGAAGGCACTTCAAGCAGGACATAGTGTCAAGGAAACATTTGCGAAATACCGAGGCCAGTAGTATTTTTATATACTTTATTATATTTTACAGTAGCAACAATGTTTTTTTTTTTTTTCTTTTTCTTTTTTGGTGTTATTTTTTTTTTTTTACAATTCATGAAAAGCAGAATGATGACGATGCAGAGATGCTGTATTACTTAGAGGTAGGGAAATTCTATGCGTACGGTGAGCTGTAGTGGTCATAGGAGGGGGTGAATAGGATGATTCATCATCTGATGATGAAGATGAAGTTTCACTATTGATTTCGCTTACAGGCGAGGAAAAAGATAGGTTTGCTGATGTTTGATATATTATTTCATCCTGCTGCGGGGCTTCTATTGTGCTCGATTTACGTGATTTCCGGATACCTTGTAGTGTCCTATAACGATTAAAGCATGTAGCTCTTTTACGATGTGGTAATAGTTCAGAGATTTGACCCCAAGTCAACCCTTGAGCAACTCCTTCTCGAATAATGTTATCTTCATACTCTGAAAATCGACTACGTGATTTTCCAACTGCTTGTTCTTCTGTATGTGTTTGATATCTACTCATAATGGGTGTTGATACACATCTGTGTCTATGGCCTTTATTGAGTATTGGTGGTGTTGTCAAAGGATTAAGCAAATCTGATACTGTATAAAGAAATACGTAAGTACATTATATAATACTTAAGTGTAGCCAGTAATGTTACCATTCATTATACACAAGTAATAAATACGGGGATATTAAAAAAGGAATAAAAATAAAAAAAAAAAAAAAAAAAAAAAAAAAAAGACAGATAGACAAGGAGTTCTTTTATATTCAAAAATAAAATCTCTCAAAATAGGTAATAAAAACATAACAAAAAAATTTTTCAAAATAATAAACATGACAACAATAAAAAGAAATAACCAAAGCATAACATTCACACATGCCAAGGGTATCCATGGATACATCATGGTAATCATAAACATAGCAATCGTCTTGGAGACGACAAAAGCTTTATTAATCTTCTCCAAACAGTACACAATGTACATCGACAACAATATGCTTTTTCCTTATTTTGATGAATCTATCTCCGACCTGTAACGGAACACATTCCGTGTACAACTGGACACATTTGATTTCTCCATCTCTCTCTGTCTCTCTCTTTTTCTCTTGCTCCTTTTTTTTTATTCTCTTGATCCCACTTTCACAATTGCAAGAAAATCATCTTTCATAGGCTGACATGGATTGTTGTCAACACACCAAAAAGATAACTGTTACACATATGCTTACGCTCTTTATTCACTGTGTACTAAAAATACTACAGTTGACCACATTTCTTCTTTTATACGCATCATGTCATCAGCATGATATTTCTGAGTTCATAAATGCATAAAAGTTATCATTTATTACTTTCATGTAAGAAAAGTAAACGAGATGGTTGTTTTTTATTTATTTATTCCCAAAAACAACAATTCCGGATCACAATGTGCTAATATTTATTAATAAACAATTCTGTTTTCAGATTTGTTGCCAATGTACCTCTCACATAAACATTTTTACACATGTCGAGAAACGAGCGTTGTTTCAAAACATATTTTTAAGATTTGATCCGGGCTCGGATATTTCAATCGCCCATGTAACATCTTTAGAATAATTATACCCTTTCACATAGTGATGATCCCTCTCTTTTTTTTTGGGTTGCTGTTTTTAGCCTACATAAAGCCTTTTCTCTTATACCTCAAGATGCAATCTTTTCAAATGACAGAAATAACATTATATGAAAGAATTAGCATGTAGTCATTCATTATAAAAGACAATTCATGAACAAAGAGGACTTGTGAGTGTCCATGTGATATGGACTTGTGCTGCATCATATCCTTCAGGAGAGGCTTATTATTTTAATATATACATAAAAGTGTCTATATGTGCGTATGTTACTGATATCAAACCATGAAGAAAAATATACCTAGTCCAAAGCATCAGTCATAGTGACATTAGTGATTCATCGTTGGTCAAAAAGCTTAGGCAGGGTGTGTTGTAACTGGAGAAATCAGACAGTGGTATGACAAATAAAAGAAATTGATAATGGGCCGATCAAAACACCTTCAGATAACAAAGCTCTTTATGCACAAAAGAAAGTTTTTATTTATAATTTGGAATCTTTACGGGCGGCAACAGCAGTAATAAGACCTAAAGTAAATTAAAAAAAAAATACAATGAATCCTTTGTTCCTTTATCATTAAATATCCATGACAACTTACCAGATGGGTCAGGTTGAGGATAGTATACAGAAGTGTTCTTGCCTGTGTTATCAATGTTAAATTTGCTCAAATCAATGCCAACGTAGTGCTTGTTCGGTAAGGCATAGGAAACCTCAGCAATTTGAGGATATTTTGCAAGTATTTGCTGCTGCATAAGGTAGAGTGTGGCTTGAACTGAGGCAGAATCGTCCTTTGCAAATGTATCACACGTGATCTGTCTAACACCTGCATGAATTGCCTTATAATCAATCTTACGAAGCACATCACTAGAATTGGAAGCAAATGTCCACTTTGCGTCTACAGCAGTTGAGAAGATACGGTCCCAGGTATCCTGAAGGGTAGTATATTCATCTCTATAGAAACCATGGAAGGCAGAGCCAGTCGTCTTGAGGACCAAAAGTTTTTCGAGGCCAGAAGTGATATGAATCCTGTTTCCAGCACGGTAATGCTTCACAGAAGTCGTCTGGATATCTTCTCCATCACGTACAAATGAGTGATTGTGGGGCTTTCCATCAACAATCATACGTGTCCATTTGTGCTTAATGATATCAACGAAAGCGCCAGAAATATGAGCATATTGCTTCAAGACATGTTCAGTGATTTCTTGAGCAAATATTTCAATGTTATCAACATTAGCACTACGCTTGGCCAAAATATTTACAGTATTCTTGCAAGTATCTTCAAATATGTCAGTTTATTATTCTCTCTCTCTTTTGAATATTCCTTACCAGTAGCAACAACAACCGAGTTATCTGCTTTTGTATAGGATGTCTCGATATCGCCTTCAAGTAAGAGTCTCACCTATATTATATCAGCATCTTTTTTTTTTCATTATCTTTTAAATTTACAGTCAATTCTGTACAGTGTTGAACGTCGCCTTCTTTGTATACTCTCAAAAGGCGGACAAGATCTTTGCCGTAGCGAGCATGCTTTAAATAAACGTTAGAGGAACCAGCCATGTTGGTAATACAAATTAAAGAAATGTAAAATAAAAGAGATAAAATGCCTCTTTAAATAACAGATAGTGTTATCTTAATTTGGCTACGGTATATCAGCAAGTGGGAATTATAAGGGGTATATTTGATACTTTTTAAGCTCAGTGAAAATATGTTGCACTAGTAGTGTGAGAAATAAATAATTATCAATACGCATAAAAGTGGCATGATAAACATTGGTGCAATTATTTATGTTTAATGGTGCAAAATAGCAGATTGAGCTTGAGATGAAGTCTCTGCTCTCATTATTTCTCTTAATGCCATGGTTGCGTATTGGCTTGTTCCCAAGGTAAATTCAACCTTTAATGCCAGATACTTACCATCTGGAATAAGGTTAGCCTCAGTTGATAAGTAAGTTGGTTATCTTACCTTCTACACCAGTGGGCTCAGGCAAGGCCTGAAGTCTATCTACATCTGTGTTACATAGCCTCTCTTCTGGATTATTATAGTGAATACATGACCTATTTTGTAATATATTAAAAATATATACAAGAGATTATTGTTTATATTATACCAGCTCATATTTCTTGGTTTAGTTAATATAGCTCGATAGTCACCATTCAATCCTCTATTTCATATTGATCAATACACATGCTTCTCTTTCAACTCTGAACTACTTACTCAAAATATTCTTTTCTATCCATCATGATCCCATCTTCAGCTATAGTAATCACAGTGTAAGCTTGTTGGTTTGTTTTTTCACTATTCTTATTTTACCCATGACAGCCCTGTATACTTCCTTTATCTCATTCTCAGGATAGACTGATAATTTTCCGGGCAAGGGGTAAACGATGTCCAGGATAGAGTACTTGTCTATATCTTCCTCTGTAAGTATCTTTGGCACTTTACGCTAAATCAAATATTAGACTTGTTATACATGATTCCTTTTACTTTCTCGTCTTACGTCGGTAAAATTGCGCCTTCCAGCGTTTGCTTTTTTGGAGTTTTGTTTGTTAGGCTTTGTATTCTCATTTTCAACAAGGACAAGGTCGCCCACTAAAGGCTTGTCACAGCCATATCGCTTGGCACGTTCAGATATCACGCGGTTCCAAACATAAGATTGGTATGCATGAGAGTACAACGAGAGCAAATGCTTAGGTAACTATCAAAAGGGGATTATCTTTAGTTTAATGTTTTTGTTTGCTACTTGTTATATTACACTTTTGATTGCCTTCTTATGTTGTTCAGGAAACCTAGAATAAAAGCCAAGAAGTTTACGCTCAGGCATGGCTCGCTTTGGAAAAATGGCAAGAGCAGCCTCGGCATTTTTTGTATCTTTCCATACTTGTCTTGCGTTTGCATAATCTTCACGCTCTAGTACATTTTAGTGTGTTAATGGGGCAACTTATGCAATCATAGATACACTACCTCCTTCTCTTGGGTAAAGAATCAAATTAGATGCTTCTTCATACTCGCGCTTCATGATAGCACATCCAATGGTATGAGTCAGTACTGTACTAGTTCCAAATCGCTGCATGCCAAAATAATTTAAAAAGCCATTATCTCTTAGAGACTCCAAAGAAGTTTGTATATCTTTCTCGCTAATGCCTTGCACATTTCTGATACATAGGCAGTTTTTAGACAAATAGTCAACATAAATTGCTTCTTTATCCCTTACCTAAGTACAATCGTAAAATGGTTTCCACCAAGATCACCAAGGGTTAATCCTTTAGGAACATATCTATGAATTTTTGGTCAGCATGCATATATATTAAGCTAGACATGCATTATTTACTTATAGTCACCAATATATATTCCACTTTTCAATAGTTCATCCCTTGCCTTCAAAAGACGTCCAGGTTTAATTCTTTTCAGCGTTAGTGCTTGTGTTGTAATAGCTCTAGCATCCTTAGTTCCTGCATAACCAAAATGTTTTGCATGAACACTATAGATATGTTACAATAAGAACATAGTCAATATCTCAGCCTATTCTTTTACCCCGATTTGCTTGAAATGATGTTGATCGCATTCATGGTGTCAATACTTGATTTATACATATGCACCTGCAAGTATTCCCCAGGCATTTTGTCCCATTCAATATATTCTTATATTTACAAATAGTTAACTTGTCTACTCTCTATTCTGAACATGATAATCACTTTACCATCCTGATAGTCATCCTCTGAGTTGGGCCATCCAATGATCAACTGTCCTTCCTTACCGCGACTATTTATCTTTGTTTCCAAGCTATTCTCAACGAGATGATAGAATTCAATGCGTTGATCTTTATTGGCCTATATGATAACATTGTTGAATAATGTTGGTTCGTATATTATATTTTATCTTACTGTCGTGGTAACTATAGCATCCTTGTCTTCAGGCTTATTTAGGAAATCACGGAACTGCTTAGAAAACTCTTGTCCAAAGATGTCTGCCAAACGCTGATCAAACTCTTCAGGTTCAAGAATATTCATTTTTTGATCCTGTGGAATTATACATTAGCTCATAAACCCTTTCTCTACCAAGATATTACCGTGGACGGTCCTTCTAAAGAAACAAGATGTATGATATTGTTATCCATATCAACCTCATTCACTAGAAAGTCTTCAGCTCTATTTCAACATTAGGCTTGATTGCATGTATATGCTATGGCTCTTTATGCTTGCCTGTATTTCAAGATGCTATGAAATCCTTGTAGACCAGGATTGACAAAGGCTTCAATACCCACGTCACTTTCCTTGACATTCTGATCAGTTCGAACACGCTTAGATTGTCGAATCTCCTCCGATTCAAGCGATCTCTTATTGCGCTCTGTACCTGAATCGCTAACGGATCTAGAAAAGATGTTTCCCATAACAAAATAAAAAAGAACTTTTACAGATTACAGTCATTTTAGAGAGGTTCAAAAATATGACTGCCCGCGCGGTAGCTGAAACCAGAAGCAATACAAAGTACAAGGTATCGTTTATTCCAACACTTTGAAGCACTAGTAAAGCATAACTATACGGGATTCACAAATTAGAGACAAAGAGCCTAGAATCAAAAGGAAATGCTCTGCAAAGAACAGTTTATCATTTGCTCGTATCAACAAATTCTCTATCGAATTGAAAAGAATATATCTGCATTTTATCGAGTTTGGCATCTTTATCTTTGCTCGATATTGCTTTTTTATTAGACAAGCTTTTAACTACAACTTATAATACTGAAAGGCCATCTCTTTTGATATATTTCCCTTTGCAGTTTACGCATATCGCTAAGCCACATAGGCTACACCTCATAGTATCTAACTTGCCTGCTTTTTCTTTACATCCTTTTCAACATGGGCATCACCTGGTAACAAAGCAACAGGAAATTAACTGCTTATATTATGCTCATTCCTTTCTTTAAAGTCTTGTTCGCTGGAAGAATGCAACAGGCATGCGCGATTTTACATTTATCGCTGAACATGTCACCAAGTCCTTGCAAGGCAAAAATACTGGACCTTGGTCACTTTCCTTCAAAGTATTTCGTGATATCAACAACAACAAGACAGTTTCACTAAAGGATAGTAAACTGCTTTATCAAGTCTCGCTTGGTCAGCAACCTGGGAATGTCTATTGTATGGTGGACGGAAGTGTAGTTGTTGAAGCAGGAAAAGAAATGGAAATTATCCTTTCACGTCTCAAGAATCTCTGGCAGTTGAGGCAGAACGTTACTATAGAGGTACTCTAACAGCAAATTCATCGTGTATGTATAGCTTACGTCTTGAGTAGGGCACTAGTTATGAAATTGGTGATTTTACATTAAGAGTAGCCAATATCTTGCTAGGATCAACATACAAAGGATTACTATTAGAGGTAGACTTTATTAAACAAAGACCTTCATGATAAACTCAATAGACATTATTAGATTGACTACCATCCGTGTTCAACGCCAAATAACGCCAGTAGTATCTTTCAAGAGTTTGTTCAATCCATTGTACCTCCAACAGCACAATTGTCATGTGAATACGAATACAACTATGAGGCTGTTGGTTTAAGCAACTATGAATTTACGATTGCTCATACAAGTTATCAATACATTATGCTTTTCAGAAACGATGGCTTGATCTAATTTATTATAGCATTTTTAATACCCCCTTTCAAAATAAATACTAGTTTTTTACATGTAGAGAACATAAGCAATTAAAGCGATCATACAGCTAATGATAGTAAATGATGCCTTATGTCTTGATATAGTATCACTACTGGGACGAGGTGTAGTAGTAGCGGGTTGAGTAATAGCAGCACTAGAGCTAGCACCAGTAGCACTGGCTGAGGTATTAGGAATAGAAGAAGAAAAAGCGGTAAGGACGATAGTTGTAGAAGAGGCAGAAGAAGAAATTGCTGTAGATGATACTATAACACTAGATGCATTAGAAACGGCAGAGCTAGCGGGCAATTGAGAAGCTGCAGATCCAGCTGAGCTAGTAACAGTAAAAGAGCTAGAGTACGCGGTTGCACTAAATTCAAAGGAAATAAGGGAAAACTGTGATAGCAGAATTGAATGATGATTTACTTACGTGTTACCATTTTCTGTGGGATAAGAAATCATTAATGAATATGTAGCATTTTGAGGTAAATCAGTAGGCACCTAATAAAGAAATAATTTAGTATTACTCTCCATTTAAGGCTATCTGACACGATTCCTTTACCTTCCAGTTGTACTTGCCATCTTGACCATTGATAGTAAATTTAATTCCAGTGATTGTCATGGAGGTAGGATTATTACCAGTCAACACATAAACGGTGGCATTACCAGGTGTACCATTCAACCAAGCTAAGTAAAATATTAGCTTCCTTTATGAAAATAAGCAGTAGACAATAACTTACTAATCGTAGCACTATATGTACGCAAGACAGTTAGCGTGTATATGAATGACACAACCCTTGCTTTCTTACATAGAACCAGCCTTAAAACTTGAGCCTTGGATAGGATTAGTAATATAAAAAGGTGAGGATTGAGCGGACACAACAGCTGTAAACAATGCCAAGAAAATCTTAAGAGTAGTAAATCTCATGTTTTATATCAAAGAAGAAAAAAGAAGTAATAAAAAATATATTCCGCAAACTTTTTATACTTACTTTTATTGTTTGGGCGCGTAATGGATAATCTTTTTTCAAAAGGTGCCTGAAAATCTTTTTTTAACTTGGCCCTTTTATTGTCCGTACACGGATATGGTATTTTTAAATAATTAACCTTTACTTTTCATCTTTTCTTTACTTCATTTTCTAATCTCTGGCATCTAAGTTCTATTTGTATTCAAGAACGTACATATACATTTATATCTCATTGTTATAGAAAATAAGGTCAGTGCTGGATATGAATAGGTGTAACATTACACCTTATATTTTCTGTAACGAAGACTAAAACGTGTCAATAGCTGTGTTTTAGATGAATTTAAATAGCAGAAATATAGAAAATGAACATTTATACGTAAGTGTAAATAAGTAGCTAGCAAAGTAATAGTAAAATGATAACAAATATTTGGCCTGTTTAACTAAATTAATTATAGACTCACTAAGAATTCTAGGAAAACTTGAAGAGATCATCAACCTATAACTCAGGGATATCTGTGCAAGCGAAAAAAAAGCACCTTTGGCACATTCCTTAAACTCTTTAATGTACAATTTTATATACACATGTATAGTTGACTCAATGTAAAGAATACATTTATGCACGATATTCTGAGAACATGCAGTAAACATATCACACTGTTATCTGATCATGTTTATCACATAAAAATATTTCAAGACATTAAATATTCATGATTTACTCATGGATAATCCGGTTTGTGTTATTCTACGCTTGTAACTGACTTGTTCTGCAATAGTTAATTAATGTATTTACATCTTTTGCTACTATTGGCAGCTGCTTGTCATTTTGGTAAATATAAAGTTAGCTGCTTAAAAGTAGAATGCAGAATTGTTTACTCTGATTCATCTTATTTTTTTTGAACTTCATAACCTCGGCCCATACTTGTATTACTTGCATAAAACGTATGGTCTATATCTGAACACTTTAGAACAAGCATGCACTTGCTAAAATAACGTCCATATTTTTCCTTAAAGTTTTTGTCTCGTTAGGTGTTGGCAGAGCGTAAAACATGCCTTTTAAGCAAACATAAAGAATCATTTATGCAATGTGAGCAAGTCCTTTCTCAGAAAGAGAGCTTTGATTGGCCCGAATTCTTTGGAGAAAGGAAAAAAGATAACGCTATGACTTATCTTTTAATACTCTTCCTTATGAATCTTCAACCTGTCCGGAAACGTCAAAAACGTTCAGCAGAGCCTACTCAAAAAGAGAAACGTATAGACTTTGTTATCTCTTCGTTTTCGAAGGAACTGGCGCTTAAAGTATTCAGTTACTTATCCTCAGCAGATTTACTGCAATGCGCAGCTGTCAGTACACATTGGGCAAAATTAGCAAACGATGAAACGGTAAGAAAAGTTGATGGAATACAATTCAGTAAATTACTAAATATATTTCTTGTAGCTTTGGAAACCTTTATTCTATAATCGTTTTTGTGAGTCTGAGACGAACGATCAGAATCATATTGCCAGAAGTAATAATAAAAGGAGAACCTCAGCAACACGCTATGGAGGGAGCTGGAAGACAAAGTATAGAGTTCATCAAAATTGGTTACATGGTATTAATGCAAGATTTAATAAATTACACTCTAGGCTAATTACTTTTGTTGTTAGGAAACTGTTATGTGAATGACATTACTATAGGAAATGACACAGAAAGCTATCCTAACAGTCAACAGTTGTTTCAAATGACAAAAGATATCATGTTTGTAGTTTCAGCAGACAAGTGTAAAATAGACGTTTGGAAGTACATCAAGGACGAATCCAGATTATTGTGTCGCATTGAATCGGCTAGACTTGCGAATTCTAAAATAACATTTATTAGATTAATTGATGGTAACCCACTTCACTTGCTCGGGGGTTATGCAAATGGAGGCTTTGTTCTATGGGAAATCAAAGCCAACTTGGGAAGTCTATCCATTAATGAAATAACAAATCATAACCCTCAAACAGATAAGGATGACAGTGTGATATCCATAGGAATGGACTTTCCTATTGTTCTGCTATGTACAAAGAATATGAAACTATCTGCATTTTATATCGATGAAACAAACACAGTTCGACCTATTCATCGACTACAAAGTCCTGTCGATTGGAGCTCAGTACACATTGACATTCACAAGCAAACGCATAATCAGCCTTTATGGGTAGCCACCATATGTTTTAGCTTGGCAATCGGAAACCATGCCACATCTGTTGGTTTACAAGAAGTCATTTTATCTTCTACAACTATTGTCTCCTCCCGACATGCTTCTGCTCTAGAATCTGAGCCGTTTTTCTTTTCTTCCAGCATGAGCTATTACTTACAGCAAAATACTAATGACTCAAACGACAGCAGCTTAGTTACGGCTATGGCATACTCTCCACCTTACTTAATCACAGCCCATCCCAACAATACCATCAAGAAATATATTATTACCAAAAACAGAGGATTGGATATTCGTTTTGAAAAAATATTGTATGGCCACACGTTTAGAGTAGAAGCTTTGGCTTTACAAAAAGAAAAGTTGGTCAGTGCTGACAGATCAGGAATTAAGATTTGGAACCTATTAAAAGATGATACAGCTGTAACAATTTATACAAACAAAAACCAATCCTTCTTGCAAGATCTTCCAGCTTTACGTATAAGGACACTATGCTTTGACGAAGATAGAATTGCTGCATTCGCCAAGGATGACAAGGATTCTTTTGTACGTTTATGGTCATTTGATTCAAGGCAAAAGTAATTTACTCCCATCTTATACATTAGAAAGCTTTGAAAAATGAGCTTATAATTATGTACATATTAAAATTCACAATTGTTCATAAATGCATTTCACCAAAAAATTAATTTGTTGCATGACATTTCGGTATTGGGATGTGAGAATTAGAAGAGGAAGAAATAGATGGATGGATAGAAAGTTACACTGCTACCGGAAAACTAAAACAGATCCGGCAAAAAAATGGATGACGTATACAATCCGAACCGGACAAATAACCATCAAATATATTCGACTTCTACCAAAAAATTGTAAGCCCGACTGATGTAGCGGTTTATCATACTGTCTTCACACGACAGAGGTCGTCGGTTCGAACCCGACGTCGGGCACTTTTTTACGCGCTAAGCCGGACGTTACACAGGCGGAGTTAAACGAGGCAGAGCTTAATGCAATTAACAATAGTGAAGTTCAAACAAATGAATTTTAAATTATTTTAGTATAAATACTGATGTAACAGTGTGACATTGTAACTACTATTTTTGGGAATTTGTTTCAGAGGACGACATTGTTGAAGGACCAAGTTGTCAGAGGACGAAGTCATCCCAAATAGGAAACCAACAAAAAAATAATATAGTATAAATAACATTATCCTCTACAGCAACAAACCTACACTTTTAGCATCACATTTACTTTTATTATCACTTTTATTCTTACAATAAATTCTTATCGTACCTCTTATATAACTCTTTATTCATTCATAAAAGTCCTTTGAAGTCACATTATACTTCATTGTAACCCTATTTTATCAAGCAAACCTTATTGCTATCTTTATTTGATCTATACAAGATCTGGTGGTCACTTATCAAACCAATTATCATCAAATACCTTATTACAAGGCTACATTACTATCAAGAAACTATAACTATCAAGTACAAACTTATCAAACAACATAATTTTAAGCCATAACAGAACCCACATTTACAACATATTAGACGAGTTTGGTAATAGAGTACTACAAGATCAATACGAAATTTTCATATTTTTGAAAATATCGATACTGAAGCACAATTTCCTTTTTCGGAACTTTAATTCGTCCAAATGCTTCCTCTTCAACTCCAAGGTCATTGATCTTGATAGTCTTATTATGGAAGCTTATTTTTATATAAATACCCTTGGTATTCTTTAAACAAAAAAAAAAAAAGGAACACAACGAAATAAATCCTCAAGTCTCTTGAATCAAAACTCCCTTTTATACCTTTCCTTTTCTTATAAACTTCCCTTTTATTTTTCTTTACTTTACTTATTTTGATCTAGCATTTAGATCTGGTGGTCACTAACTCGAACCAAACTTTAATTTACTTTTAAACCTTTTCATATCTTAACATTCTACCAAGTCAAATAAGACTTACTTTATACGAAATTTCTCTTATATCTCAACTGGTAAAACTCATAAACTCACAGACTTACAAGTTACAATACAAAACGTAGTCCTGATGTCCTCTCAAAAACATATAAATAGCCTTAGTCCTTGCCCCCCCTTGCCAGAAGAATTCATTCATTAATTAATTGAATCAATCACCTTTTCTCTTTATTTTATATTCATACAATAAACAGGTCTTAACTTTTGTTATAAAAGTTCCTGTTCTTATTCTTTTATCATCACACCTTTACGAGCCTAACAATTGATCTTTAATAAGATCTAGTGGTCACTATACTATACAAACCTCTGCTTAAACGCAAACTTTATTCAAACCTTTGACTTATAACAAGTCTACTCAACTCACTCTAACAAAAGAAGAAAAATTACAATAGATTTGGTACTTTTGCACCACCTAGGGAGCATTAGTACTCCGTCAGTCATGACTGACTGTACCTAAATATGCAATCTTACAGTATAAATACTCTTGCTCGTTGCGTCCTTCTTGGACAAGACATTGAATATTTGAATAAAACTACCCCTCTAGCCTTATATTCTTTCACCTCTCTTATAAATCCTTTCTTTGGAAGATTTATTGTAAGGAAAAAGCTCAAATATCTTTTGTTATGCCAATTACCGAAAATGGAAATACACCAAATGAACTTCAACTCATCAAATGAACTTCGATTCATCAAATGAAACTCAAATCGCCACATAGAAACAGTATAAATAACCTTTGGTTATTCCCCTTGTTCACTTTACTTTTTTTATTTTACTTTACTTACTTAACTTTTATCAATAAACCATATTCTGTGCCCAAAGTAAACCTCTGATACTATTATCTCAAGTAAATATAAGTCCCTTGAAGCAATTAAAACTTCATTGTATATCTCTACAAGTTTATCGCAAGAAATTATTATCTTGCAATCTTATCTGATCTTACAAAAAGATCTGGTGGTCACATAACGACATATTATCAACATATTCAACAACATATACAATCAACAGCCCTTTAAATTAACTAAATCAACCCAAACTATAAACCAATCTATACACAAAACCAAAATTTACAACAGTAATACTTTTTGAAAGGTAAGTCGTCTTTGATAATTTATTAGCTTGTACTGATTGCTTAACAAACATAACAATAAATATTTATTACTTTGTAAGTGGAAAAAGGAATTACTTCATATCATTGGCTGTTTTACTAATTGCAGCTGTTTGTGTCCCAATTTTGGGACTCGTAGTTCATTTACCCTCACAGTATAGTATACATTCTGCTTTACATTCCTCTATTGCAACTGATAAGAATAACTTAGAGTAGTAAGAAGAAGAAAAAGAACCATAATCAAACTGGGTAACAATGAATATAAATAGCAGTCATAAAATTCTCTGCTCAAGTAAAGCCTACACACATCATATTTTAATAGCATTCAGCTCTTTTTAATGAAGAATCTAATTTGCAAATCATCGACTTAACTGCCTTATTTTAAATTACAGCTAAAGCTGAATACAACAATTAATATTCGTTGCTGTGCCATTAGAGTTGTTGATCAAACGTAAAAGATTTCTGTAAGCTTCAATCTTTTTAACTATTGGAGGGACAGTCAAGAGTTTGATACGGTTGATATGTTTAGACATAATTTCCAAAACATCAGGATTGTCTATAAACAATACATTAAGGCTGCCATAACTACGATACAGTACGATCAATCAAATGAAATAGCAAACGTATGTATTTCTTCTTTGATTCTTACCTTCTATCAACATGTTTTATAATGTTTATTGTCGTAGAACAAGGTCTGCTTATGACTGATATTGTGATAAACGATTGTAATCAGTATGAATAGAGTGAATTCATACATTATAAGATTACATGTACACACTTTTAGTGATAAGTCAAATTAAATAGAATCTCTCCTTTGAATATGAATCATTACTTCTTTATATAAAAGGATATACTTCTTTAAAAGATGATCCTTCTCACAGTAAAAGAAGTATCATAACCCAGATCATGAAATGAACAATAAGATCAGTGTCAGAAACGAATTAAAAGCTTTATGAACTCAGGAACCGTTAGTCAATCATATCTTCAGTAATTATAATTTACGCTTAGAATAGCGGCTTACCAGTCATTTGATACCAACTATAAATAATAGATCATTAATTTATTTGTATGTTCCTTCTGTCTTTATCTCAGAATAAAGATTAGTCTCAAAGAGTACTTCTTTTGTCTTTGTCTTGTGTCTTATAAACCATAACATAACATTTATAACATCTTGTGCTTCATCTTTGCTACTATAAAGAGTGTATGAGTCCTCTGTTTGAACCGTATTTGTATTCGTGGAAAAGCTTGTAGCATATGACTATAAATGTATATATAAGTGTCAATTTTTGATACATTGCAAAGATATAGAAACAATCTTTTTTTTTATAATATACTCCATATTTGAAACAATAGCATTTGTGATATTTGATGCGTCTTCAAGTTGTCGCTTTCTCATACTACTAACAACAGAATCTTCTTGCCTTTTGGATCAACAGGCTTCATAAGCGATACATAAACTACTATTCTCCTTCTGAACGCGACTACCCGTTTACAATGTGATATTATCGATGAATAATTGCTTTACCTCTAAAACATAAGAATACGACAAGATGGAAAAAGGCCTTTTATAGTCATTTATGAACAGAGAAATGAAAGAGATTCATGGCAAAAAGGGAATTAATCTTTATATACATGTATAAATGCTGTTAACCAACTGCATATTAGATATAACGCGTTATCAACTACTACATACTACAGTGGTCATGAATAAGTGTTATGGGTTTAGAAATAATATCTTGACTTGTATGCGAAATATATATTGATTATATTACGTCAAAGGGCATATAATCTTCTTCGATATAAAAGTAGATATTCGACACATGGGTCCATAAAGAATCTTAAGAGCATGTATACGTTAAAAAATAATGGCCCTCACTAATGAATTTCCTCAAATAGCTTTAGTGCTTTTGCACCTTCATCTAATAGCATTTTTTGTCAGTAATGACCACCAGATCTTAGTAAGATCAATAAATAGCTTTATGAGAAAGAGGTTAAAATAGAGATACATAAGAGATCAGGAACTCTTTATGAGCAAAAATTGACCTGTTTATTGAGTGAAGTATATAAAAAATAACTTGACTGACGTTTCCTTCTGGCTTGAAAGAATGAAGAATACTCAGATTTTTTTTCCTGCATAAACCAAAAGCAACATGCTGCCTTTGTCTGAGTTAAATTTACAACTTTATTGACAAAAACCCATAGTGCAGAATCGCGATTTTTTTCTTCTTTACTTCTTTTAATGAGCAGTTTTAAAGAGATTTGTACAGTACCCACAAACTTTGGGGTTACTTTTACCAAACTTAAAAGTGATAAAACCGGCTTGACAGTGGTTTTGGCAGATGTCGAAGGTTTGTTGACATGCTAATGAGTGACAAGTTGTTAACCTTTTACTTTCTTTTTCGTTAGCACCTATCGTTAATGGCTACTTTGCTCTTGCAACTGAGGGTAAGCAGTGTATGGGTATTCTATATATTATTATTAATATTATTATTGTAGCCTTTGACGACTTTGGATGTCCACATACTTTGGAACAGTACGTTTGTCAAACTGCTTTAAAGTCGTACACTAACATTGACATCTTTTGACAGCCTTATATTTTTAGGAAGCGAGCAATATCCTTATAAGGTAATACACTCCTATTTGGTGAATATTCAAACACTAACCATCTATAATTTTCAAAGGGAGTGCTTGATTCTCTTGCCAACCGAGCCTTTGCTCAAGGCACTAATGCATGGACGGATGTTGATCACACCTGCTACACAATATTAACAGCTGGTCCTAAAGGATTCTTAAATCTTTTACCCATCTATTTGGATCACATCTTGTATCCCACCTTGACAGACTCGGGATTTTATACAGAAGTGCACCACATTAACGGAAAAGGAGAAAATGCTGGTGTAAGTTAGAGTTCTCTTCATCTTTTTTTATTCAATGTTCATATGTTACTAGGTTGTTTATTCAGAAATGCAAGGTTACCAATGTACAGGAGATGAAAGAATTCACCATCGTATGCAACAACTAATGTATCCCGAGACGTGTGGATATAGATCGGTAACAGGTGGATTGATGGAGCGATTAAGGGAAATATCTGTAGATCAAAGTAAGGGAATCGTCTTGAAAATGGGAAGCGTGTTTTACTTATCTCTTTATTCAGTTCGTCAGTACCATAAATCCTATTACAGACCTGATAATCTCTGCTTGATTATTACAGGCAAAGTTGATAAAGATGAGTTATTGAAGGCTTTAGAGCCTGTAGAGGAGTCTATCATCAAGAAGGGTCCACTTCCAGAGATGCAAAGACCATGGGTAAGCACCGGTAATTTTCCTAACCTAGAAAAGAATATCGAAGATACAGTACTTTTTGCTGATGAAGATGAATCCATGGGTACATTACTCATTGCATGGAACGGTCCTATGTGTAATGTAAGTGTCAAATTAATGTTTTGTAGTACAGAATACATAACTTATCAAGAACTAAATAGGATTTCCTTTCACAAAAAGAATTGGAAGTATTGAATGTCTATCTTACCGACTCCTCTGTATCCGTACTGCAAAAGGAATTTGTTGAAACAGAAGATCCTCTCTGTACAGATGTTGATTTCTATATCTCGGATCATTTAAAGTCCACTTTAACCTTTACAGCATCAAGCGTGCCAATTGAGGAAATGGAAAGATTGCCCGTTGAGTTCTTCAAAACTTTGAATCGTCTTGTTGAAGAAGAAGATATTGACATGAAGAGAATGGCAACCGTCATTGAGAAAGAAATACTTCAGGTAAGCGAGACAAAGTACAGACGTTTATAAACAAATGACTAAAATACTTGCGTAGCTTCTGAAAAGTGCTGAAACTGATGCTCATGATACGGCGGCTGCAGTTGCCGTATTTGATTTCCTATATGGTTCTCCAGATGGTGATAGCTTAAAAGAATCTGTTAAAGATGTAGAATATTTGAACGCACTTGCAAAGTATTCGACAAGGGACTGGCTAAACATCCTTAAAAAGTAATAGAACAAATTATTTTGGCTTTGAGAATAACTAATATTAACGTTGAATTTCTAGATGGTACATTGATGCGCCTCATATAATTTTATACGGAAAACCCTCTGCAGAGTTTGCAAAGCAGCAAAGCGAAGAAGAAAGCCAGCGTGTCGAAAAGCAACGTGCTGATCTTGGTCCAGAAAAATTAAAAGAACTTCAAAAAAGGTTGGATGGGGCTACAGCAAAAAATGATGTAAAGATCCCCAGAGAGCTATTGGAAAGCTTCAAAATTCCACCTACGTCATCTATTCGATTTATTGATGTTGTCACAGCTAGAAACAATGAGACTTCCATGTAAGTAGTAGTAATAGCATCTCTTGAACAGTTAATTTATAGTATATATCAGTAGAAACAAGGTGCAGGATTATATAAATCAAGATAATGAAGCTGATGTGCCTTTATTCATCCAATACGATCGTAAGTATCATAACTTTTATATTGCAATTATCGCTGACCACAAATAGATGTGAAATCACAATTCGTTAGTCTTTCAGCTTATATTTGCGGGTCTTCTGTACCTGATCATTTACTCCCGTACACTCGACTCTTCCTTCAGGCCATCTTTTCGCTTCCAATTGAAAAAGATGGAAAGCTTATTTCATACGAGGACGTCGTCAAGGGCTTGGAAGAGGACACAATTCTCTATAAGGCGGACCTTGGCACCAACTACTATAGATTTAAAGAATTGGTCTCAATTAAGCTCAAAGGAAAAATATCAAAGTTCGAGAACATTGTTCAGTGGCTTAAGGACATCTTATGGAACACTCGATTTACTGCTGAGAGAATAAAGATTGTGGCAACGCAGATTCTAAGCGATATTCCTCAAGCTAAAAGAGATGGCTACAGTGTAAGTTAATTATAACAACATGGTACATTTATTCAACAATCAAATAGATGACTGATAGTGCAATGAAAGCACTCGAATTGGATCCTAAAAAGTCATTATATGCATCATATAATATTCTTTATCAATCTGAATTTCTGCAGAATGTGATTGATCGCTTAGAGAAAAACCCTGAATCTGTTTTGGCTGAATTGAACGAATACCGCGCAGCCTGTAAGTGCTATAGGATTGATAAAAACATCAATTTTTAACCTTTTTTTTTTTTATATTTTTTTACCTGTAGTATGCGCACCAGAAAATATAAGAATACATGTTATTTCTGATGTGCTCAAGCTTGAGAATCCCAGGTCTGTGTTTAAGAAGCTGGCTCCCAAGAAGGTCATTGGGCCACCAACACCAATCACCCTCGCAAAGGATGTTATGTCTTTTGCAGGAAAGACACCCGGCAACCAAGGCTTACTTGTGAGTCTGCCTGCTATTGAAAGCAGCTATTCATATCACTCTACAAAGGGCCCTAGCAAATTTGATGACCCTGATATTGCACCTACACTTGTTTTGATGGAGCTATTGGATTCAATGGAAGGAATTTTTTGGAAATTCATTCGAGGAAAGGGTTTAGCATACTCTACCAAGGTCTATAACAACATAGAATTAGGATCAATCTACTTTACAATCTATAACTCCCCTGACGCTTTCAAAGCATTTGAACAAGCAAAACTAGTTATTGAACAGTTATGTGATGGTCGAATGGACATTGACCCTTCTGCAGTAGATGGAGCTAGGAGTGCAGTCATTTATAGTTTGGTTTATGAAGAAGGGATCATGGAGCGTGCAGCTCGTTTGTCTTTTGAATATCAAGTCTTAATGGGAATGCCAGCTTCATACAACCATGATATGATGGCTGCTGTTCAAGTAAGTAAAACAATAATATGCCATAAAAAGAGTAAATGTTTATAGGTATGTTATAGAATGTTACTATGGATGATTTGCAAAGAGTATTAAACAAGTACTTTATGAACTTGTTTAAGCCAGATGCAAGCAATGTTGTCACTGTTAGTTCACCATCCAAAGTAGCAGATATTCAGCAAGGATTTCAATCTTTGGGATTCAATATGAAGACCATTGGTTTAAATGATATAAAGTTAAATTTATAGACTCAAGACAAATACATTGACAACTGCATACAATGTCTTGTTTTCATATCTGTAACTTGCACTCACTAATGATTGTATATTGTTAGCTTCAAAAGTATACAGATATAAGCCTTTTTGTTTTTACCGTCGTTATTATTATCCCAATAAACTGAAGTTCCAGCATAAAACCCAGCGCCTTTCTTTTGCATCACGATACAGGTTACTATTTTGATTGATGAATGAGAAAAAAAGAACTTTATAGAAAATGATGAATACTTTACCAACATACTTATGATTCGAACTCTTTTCTTTCAACTTTTTTAAACAACCATCTATGATGGTACTATTCCAGCCGGGCACCTTTGAGTGTGCATATTCTGAATCTCCTATCGTTTGTTCTGCTATCTTTTTTTTCTTGAATAAGTTCGTCTTCTTCTTTATATATCAGAAAACAGTGTTACTTTACCTCTTTAATTACGGTAGTTAAGTTTTCAGTAGTAAACGGTTTTTCCTTATTAATAGAGAATGGTTATTAGATGTGTATCTTTTGTTAATTCCAAGTATATTTCTTACTTGAGGCTTTTCCATAGCTGATTAAGTTGAATGTGCTAAAGGGGAGAAAACGTGCAAATTGAGTTTTAGCTTTATGAAGGGCTTCACCGGCATATTCACACTCCGCATGCATTGTTTTTTTTTTTTATTACTGCTGTAAAAGATTCAAAAGTTAAAAAGATGCCTCAAAGCAGTTCAGAATACAGTTTTGTCAAGTCGAGATAGAGAAAGATTACATTAAGAAAATATCATGTTATTGGACTATAGAAGACTTGGTTCCCCTGAAATACATTGAAAGCACGAGCTACACGGGACAGAATAGACCAACATCAGTAAACCCAATGGAATCCAGAACACAATTTTCTTTTTCTCTCTCTATTCTCCCTCTGAAGCTTTTTATTCAAAATGGCATTTGCGTTCCAAATAATCTAATATAGGGAGCTTGAGCAGAGTTTGATTTATTTGGCTCGTAAATGAAAGACTTTTGTGGTTGGCAATAATAAGAAAGGATTTTTAAGGGTGAATATGTAAAGATGAAATATTGACACATGGTTTCATTATAAAATATGTTCTTCTTTTTGCCCCAAAGCCATTGACCTTCCAAAGAACAACAGGAGCATTGAATGATTAGGACTTTAGAACAAATGAAAGTTTTGATCCGTAAAAGATATATGTAAATCTTGCTGGTTTTCATATGCAGTCGCATGAAGAACGAATCAAAGAAATGACGCGCGACAGACTTGCGATTGAATTGAAGCTATTCCCATTGAATATGGGGAATCAGTTCCTTGATTTCACCAGAGGCTTGTGAAAACGGATTATCTCAGCAGCAAAGAGCGGGGTTAAAATCACTCTATATTTAAGATGCTTCACATGAATTAAGAGCTTCTTTTCTTTCTTGTCTTTTTTGTTTTTAGTTAAATAATATGAAAGCAATCATTGTCGATAAGTGGCTGAAGGGCCCCGAGGAACTTGTTGTCAAGAACGTTGATCTCCCACCTGAGCCTAAAAAGGGTGAATTACAAATTCAAGTCAAAGCAACAGGTTTAAACTTTTTCGATATTTTAATGGTAGAAAGACATAACTGGTTAAAGCACTGCCTTTTTTGTTTAACAAACATATTTTGGTAGGTTCAAGGCAAATATCAGATTAAGCCACCTTTTCCTTTTGTTCCTGGTGGTGAATTTGCTGGTATTGTCTTAAAATCAACAGTTCCTCAATTCAAGGCTGGCGATCGTGTATTTGGCTCAGGTAACTCTTTTGCTGAGGTTGTCAATGTTTCTGCAAGCAATGTCCTCCCTATGCCCAAGAATTTCAGCTTTGAAGAAGCTGCTGGCTTGTACATTACCTACCCCACAAGTTACTCTGCTCTTGTTTTACGCGCCAACTTGAAGGCTGGCGAATACTGTCTTGTTCATGCAGCAGCTGGTGGTGTAGGTATCGCCGCTGTGCAAATTGCCAAGGCGCTGGGTGCCAAGGTCATTGCAACAGCTGGTACATCTGAAAAATTGGAAATTGCAAAGAAATTCGGCGCTGACTATGCTATCAACTACCGTGACAAAGACTGGCCCGAGCAAGTCAAAAAAATTACAAATGGACATGGTGCCGATGTCGTTTATGATCCAGTCGGCTTAGTAGAAACTAGGTAGAATATTCAAAAGGAACACACAAAAAAAAGTCTAATTTATATCAGCACAAAATGTACTGCATGGAATGGCCGCATCCTTATTATTGGTTTTGCACAAGGCACAATTGAAAAAATTCCTACAAACCGTCTGCTATTAAAGAATATTTCTGCTGTGTAAGTTGATGACATTGTATACGTAGTATTAAACTAAGACATCTATTAGTGGTTTACACTGGGGAGCATATACCAAAAACGAGCCTGAACGTATTCCTGAAGTTTGGAGAGCATTGTTTGAACTATTCGAATCTGGTAAATTGAAGCCCGCTCTTTACAAAACGGTCTACAATCTCGAGACAATTTCTCAAGGTTTAAAAGCAATTGGTGATCGTTCATCTTATGCAAAAGTTGTTGCAAAGATTGGTAATGAAGAAAGTAAGCTTTAAATAATAAATAACTGTTGCTCTATAATTTCACTCTTTGGTCTCCATTGTATAATCAAAGTGATACTTTTGTCCAACAGATTTTTTTTCCAACTATACATGCCACATCCAGACATGCGACAAAGTCATTTATTTTACGTTGATATAAAGTCGTTTATGCACAAGAGAAAAATTTAACGAGAGGTGGCAGCAGCCTTAGGAGCGAAACCCTTGGCTTGTTGCTTGCTGACCTTGGCTTGATTACCAGCCTACAGAGCAATGATTAGTACAGGTTGAATTAATTAAAAGTTACTTACAGAAGGGTTGGCCTTCTTAGCAGCAGCAGCAGCCTTCTTGGCTTCCTTGCTCTTGGCAATAGCAGCTTGACGAGCAGCAGCACGAGCATCAGGCTTTTGGCTACGCTTGGCACGGATGGCATCCCAAGAGGCACCAACAACGGCACGTTCGTGCTTGACAGTACGACGAGATCTCTTCTTTTGAACTTCTTCGGTAATACCCTTCTTGTTCAAGCGACGGTAAATGACGGTCCATCTAATCTTACGAGGGTTCAAACGTTGGAGGAAGTAAGATTCAGCCTTACCATTGATGAACTTGAAAGTCTATATATTGCAAGTGAAAAAGAAGAGGTTATTTTGTTGTTGTGTATTGTTAATATTGTATACATACTCTATAAGAATGTAATTAGCATAAGATGAATATATTGTATGTTTATCAAATTACCTGCTGTCAACACGAACGTAGGTCTTACCCTTAGCAGGATAGATTCTGTGACCAGAGAAAGAACAGATCTCAAGTCTAATATAGACAGGTGAGTTGATGATGTTTTTGATGGATGGATTCCTTCTGCTGCTTACTTCATCCTTAATTACAACCGAAAAGGGGGAGAGAATGAACTATGGTCTACAGATGGATGGATGTGTACTCAGTCTGTGGAGAGGGGAACTTACTTCGTCCGGACTTTATTCTCAGCCCGGAAAGTATCGGATTTCAAAAAGTGTATTTACGAAAAAGGCACCAAACATGAAAGGTATTGATCATTGACTTTTTTTTTGGATGAACACTACATAGCCAGAAAATAGGCTAAATAATGTAAATACGAATATATAATAAGTGGCCATTGTTGATCAAACTGACAACATAAAATTAGAATGGATAAATAAATAACAACATTTCTTTTTATCTTGAAAAGAAACAAAACAAGCTGATAGCTTTATAAAGCCATGTTTAGCGTGGCGCCGCACACTCAAAATTTTTGTTGGAAGGCATCATAGGTAATGGGTAGAGGTAGCACCCGTAGAATTGGTCTAACTTCTGGTGTATTATCTGGTGTATGTAGTGTTTAAAAAATTGTACTTGGTGAATGTTTTTGTCTTACAAAGCATTCTTAAAGCATTTAACCCAGCAACGCTAGGTGAACAGCTAGATATGATGTCAGCTAATCTGTCTATGACAAGTAATCTAAATAATAACTTGTAAGTCACTGTCTTGAAGCTTTCGTAGTCGCGTACTGTCGGCTGTATCAATAATGATGTTACAGCGGTATTCAGCCAATACCTGAACTATCAATTTTGAGAAAGGCTAAATGCATAGACATAAATATAAATGGAGGCATGCCAGCCACTAGTAAGCAATTATATGAAGAAATAATGACAAGAGTCACTTTAAATGGCAAAGTCAACAAGAAGCAGATAAGAATTGCCATTACCGAAGAAAAACTGTCAATGCTGAAGTCGGACCAGACAGAATGCTTACAAGTATTGGATATACTCGACCTAATGGCCAAGAATTGCTTTACTGACCGTAGCATTTGTTCTGATGACGATGCAAGTGAATTGACATGCTACCGAAAATTTGCAAAGTTACTTGATGAAATTCTAGATAACACCATGCTAGGCATTCAGGATGGAGAAAGGGTGTCCAAAACTTCCAAGGCAGTGTCTTCAAACCTTGAAAAAATATATAATGAAAGCATTTCATTAAATAATAGTTTTGGTCGAAGAATTGACTTGATCCTTACGACGAAGGGTCTAGAGCTACCCACGAGCGAGTGAAAAAGGAAGAAATCTCCTGCCGCCAAATGCCTGCAACAACAGGCCAAAAATATAAGAATCAACAAGGCAATCTTGAGATACTTCTTGGACCTCCCTATTTCTGAAGCTGACAAGAATAAGGTAATGACAATTGGTATGGATTGGACGGGTATCATAGGGCACATGTTTGCTGTCAAATTACTTGATGATGCTTTTATTGCTTGTATGTTATACACTCTTTCTGGAAAGTAAATCGAAAATAAGTACACCCAATGGTGAGAACAAAATTCATGCTGTACGAAATGTAAATTCGTCGTCGCCAAGAATATTTTCGTAGTACCAACCTTGACATCCATGGATATACACCATTTCCGGAAAGGGATGTCGCGCTGGCTTGTCGCTTTTTCGTATAAATTGTATTATAAAAACTGCAAAAATACGACTTTGCTTTCTGAAAAGACTATACTGTATTTCCAAAAAATAATGAGACTGAATGTCGTGCTTTCCAAATTTAAATGTCGTATTGAAACCGTTGTAATTTTATAAGAGTAATAACAAATACAAAAAGAATATAGCTCACTATTCCATTTGACAGTAATATTAACAGGTGGGCTGTCTTGGAGTTGAAATTAACGATATTGGAAATAGCCCTCTTTAGTCTCTTTGTAAAAGTTTAGATCCTTTTTTCGGTTTTTCCATAATATCAAAAGAACATGTAGTCATATTTGGCAATGCATATTCTTGAATAGTCACGAAGCAGATTGCTCCTATTTGATATGATTTCTTTGTCCCAGGTATCCGATCCTAGAGCTTGTCCTTTTTTTGCTTCTTTACAGCAGTTATCAGATGTCCCTCTGAGTGTTCATGGTCCTTACTCTGACTCGCTTGTCCCGCCATCTTTGCTCTCTGGCGTGTACTTGGAGCTTTCTCCCAATTACCTCTTCTTGTGCTCTGGGTTCTCTCTGTCTTCCGTTCCTTTTTTTTTTTGTTTTGTTTAAACAATCCTGGGTAGTTATCGCTGCCCTCCCCAGAATGCACCTTAGCGGTGAGTAAAACTAATATTAGGATATATGCCCTAATACTAACATACTTTTTCTCTCTTTTTCTACATATATTCATTATCTCTCTCTTTTGACATATTTTTCTTTGTCGTCTTTCTACGTAAATAATTTTTTTATTTTACGATAATTCTTATAAAATTAACGTCAATAATTAATAAAAATACAGTATACGCTCTCTACACCCACGTATAAATGGATTACTTGCTTTTATTGATACTCTTGATCATCTTTATTCTTGGCGCAACTATCGTGTTCATATAAAGGATACTGTTCTTGAAGCTCTTTGTAAACGTGAAAAAGAGGAGTTTTTTTCCTCTGCTTGGCTCCTCTACCTTCACCACTACAAATGTCGATGCTTCGCCCAATATTTACTTGACGCCTACTCAACCACGCTGAAGAAGAGCTAAATCCGAAATTTAAGAGTAGTACCAGGTGAGGATGAATAAATGGCCTTTTTTTTCTTAACCAATGTTAGGCTTACTACATTACAAACATAGAATAAATACGTAGTCTTCCTGAATTTTTTCTTCATTAAAGTAATATCATTACAACTAGCCTTTTTTTGCGTTTACTCTTTATACTCCAACTTAACTTTGCCAAAGATACTTTGAATCAATATTATGATGATGTTGCTACTTCTATTGAGCAAGCTTTCAATGAAAAATTCGCGATTGGTGTTCAGTTCTCTTCCATTGGTGAATTTAAGGAAGTCGCCAAAGAGTTCAGAAAACATCATAATATTGTCCTGACCACTTTGTGATCCAATAAAAGAATGATTTATCTCATCTGTAAACATGGTCAAGAGTACCTTGCTGCAAAAAAACCGGCTGTTGAAGCAGAAAACAATGAAAAATATCAAAATATCAAGAAGCGTAATACTGACAGCCATTAAATTGGTTGCCCTTGCATGTTCTATGCATCTCTGAAGGTTGTCGGGTTTGTCATCAGTAAAGTCAAGCACAAACACAGCCATCGTATAGTAGGTGATCAGTGTGTTTATATAATCAATAGAAAATTGAACGCTGCTCAAATGGAAAGAACAGTTAGCTTGCTTAAATTGCCAGGAGATACACCAGCTAGAGTCGCAAATATGCTTCTGAATGAAGGATCCCCAGTTCAAAAAAAGGGTATATATAACATATATTATCAATTTGTAAAGCAAGCCACTGGTGCAGACGATAGCTTACGTTTCATTATGGTACTTGAAGAGAAGAATTACCATATTAGATACTCTACCAACAACTCCAACGAAGTAATCTTGATTTTTTTTTTTGCCCACGTTGAAGCAATCAAAGAGGCATAGCATATGCCTGAGTGCATTGTTATCGATGCTACCTATAAGATGAGCAGTCATCGTATAGTGCTTTTAAAGTTTGTGGGCACTAGCAATGTATATGGTGAGCCTCGTAATCTTTTGGCGCCATTCTATATTGTCGGTGCATGGATGAATCAGCAGTAAATTATAGATGATTTGTTCAACAGTTTAGATCACTGGTTTTTAATGGAAAAACGGTGCTACCCATCGTCTTTGCCCCTGATGATGACAAAGCTTTAAGATTACCATTAGTTGATGTATTCTCTGAGAGTGGTAAGCTTTTATGCTACATTCACATATCTAGAAATTTTCAGAAGCATGGCCTATCCAAGCTTGCATCATTGTATTCAACCGTTAAAGCAAATAATATGGCTAGATTGGAAACTAGAGACCTAGTGGCAGAGATAGCACTTGCAGCCAACGCTGACGAGCACTTTAAGCAGATTTTGAAGAAATATAGCGAATATTTCAGCCAAGATGAAAGATGTACAAATGGTGGTGTACATGCGATCCAGTGTTTAAAGAAGATGTTAAAAGAGAAAGAACACTGGGGTGGGCTTTATGCTAACAAATACATGCATTTGAATAACTGTCCTTCAAATCGAGTCGAGTCAATACATTCGTCTTAGAAGCACTTCATCCAAACGTCTTCTGGAAAGCTAGACCTAGTTACAAGAAAATTCGATTATTGGGCCAAGGGACGTCTCTTATTAAGAAAACTGAAAAGCGAACAAGAATCATTGAGGCAGTCTGTTCACCTTATATCTCCTGAACATGAATACAAATCGGTAAATTCCAAAGGAAAGGTGTCAAAATACGCAATTGATATCATCAAACATGAGATGATCGTCTCGATTTCTAACAACTGCGAGTACGGTAATAACTGCTTGTGCCAAGTGAAAAGGAACTTTAGACTACCTTGCCGACATCTTCTTGCTAAATATGACATTATTCCTCTGAATATTGTTCACAGACGTTGATTGAATTATGAAACATACAAGCAAGCAGAACAAGAAAGTACATTACAAGATAAAATGGCTGTTGGTAGTAAGCCAAAGATTGAGGATAGGATCCTAAATGAATTAGAAAGCATTCGATCTTTATCTTGCGATGCATTCATAGAGCAGCAAAAGTTAACCATTTTACATCAACTTCAAAAAGCAAGGATAAAATTAATGGCTCCCAAAGACCAGCCGCAGAATATGATCTTTCCAACAGTAGTTGACGATAGCAAAGGGGGACCAAAAAACACCAAGCGAATGATATTGCCCTAGAAATCTTCAATGAAGAAAAAAAAAAAAAAAATTAGAAAAGAAAGTAAAGATATGGGCACACCTCCAATAGAGAAAAAAGGTAATTTACAAATTGAGATAAGTTATGAGCTCTACATTCAAATATCTATAGTTTTATCGATGAAGCCAGTGGCAAGATCTTTAGTTGTTTGACGAAGAAAGAGCTGAAGCCAAAGAACAAGTTCTTTAAAAGAAGCATGGATATACAGAACATCAGTTGCTTTATTTCTCCAGAAGCTGATGGAAATTGTGGCTTTCGAGCCATATCCATAGCTGTATATGGTACAGAAACGAGATGGATAGAAGTTAAAGATCGCATGTTGGAAACGTATATAAGATGCGAAGGTAGCCTATATCGTGATCGATTTGGAGTGAACGAAAAGGCCAACATTGTAATCACCTTGACCTGTAAAGCTGCTCCAAACATGAACTTCAGTCATTGGTTTGGCACTGTCGACTTATCTCAAATTGCAGCAGATGTGTTCCAAAGGACAGCTGTCGTTGATTCTAATGGTAGAACTGAAATAAATGAATCAAGCTTTCTCTTAACTTCTTTTAGTGCTAAGCCGAAGGAACCGTATAATCTGATCATACTTTGTCTCGCTAAAAAAACAAATAAGAGACATCTTCCATTTGAGACTCCATTATGTGTGGCTCAGACGACTTACAATCATCCGCAATACTTCTGTGCTCGTTGTCATAGAAAAAGGGGATAGATCCTGTATGATCAACGCGGTGATTTATAGAAAGGGTCTCCTGCAAAGTCTGCTTACTAATCCAGCCTTCTGAATGGAAATAGCGTGCAATGACAAATTTAATCGGGGCACGGATGTATCTTAATGCGCATTCTATATGATTACAATAATGCATGAAGGAGAGATTGATTCGTTCTTCTTTTGTAGCATCAGCGTATTTAGGGTCACGTAGAGTTTTAGCGTCGCAAGGGTCAAAATCGTCCTTTAAGGTAACCTTGAATTTTTGAGCTGGGATCTAAGTTCATCTGCATAATCGTTGTGTACCAAAAGAGTCACTACGTTACAGTCCGGGTAGTGGATACCTAGGACGCGGTTGCTGTTAATGTCCAGTTTGCGTAATCAAGATCGCAGTTGTCCGATAGATACGTGAGCCTTAGTGGGGAGGTAAAGGCACTGAGAGCCTTGGTTTTTCGAAGGTGGCTGCAGAAGTCATGCAGTAACCCTCTTGCCGCAGTTAATGTGTTTGATGTTGTTGCTGCAATAAGCTACCCTTAAGACGACGAATCTGTTTAGGGTCACTCCAAGGCATGGGAACGGTGGTGAGCTCGGAGGAGTCAAGCAAGGGTTGATTGTTTGCAGCCAAGGTGTCTGTGAGTGCACTGGAGGATAAGTGCTCCTTATTTAATTGATCATGGAGTTGAATAGTAGTGGCACGAAAAACGCACGATTTCTGATCTGGTAGCGGCAAGTTCGTCGGGCCATAGCTAATAGAGGTTGGATGTTTTTGTGGGATTGACTCAGTGTACGATTTGGGAGTTTCCTGACTGTGTCTGAACGTTTTGATGATCGCTTCAGTTGAAAACAGATATGAAGAATCAGGAATAAAAGATTGAACAATAGATCTCATAGTTGAAGCACAGTAAGAGACACCACAGCCGTTGCAGTGTAAAATAGGTTGTGAGGGTTCAGTCTTCGCACTGTTATTGCGGCAAAAGACGCCCTATCTTGCACGTTGAGGGTAAGCTAAGGATTTGCGGTATGTTTCAAACTTTTCAAGCAATTCTACCGTTTTCTCCATTGTGATAAAACTTGTTGCAGTCATGATGTTGGTTGGATTAATAAAGCCAGGCGGTATGGTTGAAGCAGTTGCTTTCGCTGTAGTTGGTGTAACGTATAAATTCGTGAAAAAGCTATTATTACGCTATTGACGGAGGTTGATATTAGCCTTGGTCATATCTTTGATCACGTGATGTTTTGAACGCTTCTTTAGAGGATAGTGGCTTCTGACTATTATGAAGAGACAGAGAATGGTTTAGCAATGTTGGTGGCTTTGAACGCGTTAGAAATGGGTATGAATTGAGTGAAAGACAGCTGTTTGAAGATTGAGGGAAAATGTCGCTTCACTGCACATCGATTCAGGCTTCGACTTCACCGTCATCAAAATTTAGAGTACTTGAATCTACTCTTAAAATCTACACTGTCCAGATCTCTCCCATTTCGAAATGCAATCTTAACTGTGTTACTAATTCCAACTTTCAACAGTCAGCCTCCTCGTTCTGAATAAGTCAGTGTAAGTCCATTTGAACTTAAAGAAGTTGTTATTGCTTTTATTTTTTTGTATTTGTTTTATTTATATTTTTATTGTTGTATCTCTTTTTGTGTTGTGAATACGTTTGCAAGTATAAATAGTCTTGCAATACAAAGAATAAACGAAGTCGATTTTGTTGCCTTTTCTCCGCTAAAATAATTTTTGGAGTTAATTTTGTTGATATATATATCACATGATCAAATTATTGATATGAAGAACCAGTCTACACGCTCAATTCATAGAATATTATTGATTAACAGTCTCCTACAGTCTTCTGTTAATTATTTCGTTATCTACTTCGCCGTTTGACGAAGCTGCACATAGTATTCAAATTAGCGCTTGTTGTTATTTTTTTGGCAAAAGTTGTTTTAAGTAAATTGCTTACATACTCAAAATGGTGCTATCATTCATGCTGTACAAGAGAAAAGAGACAAATCGGTAGAAAAAGATGCTGTCTACAGATTTATCTGCTTATATGTATGATGACAATAAAGACTGACTTTTTTGAATTTTTTTTAAACGCGTTTCTTACTCTCCCTTTCTCTGTAATGTTAAATCAAATGACAGAGTGTCTATGCTATTAATGTCATGGATTTGTTTGCTAGAATCATCGATTTGCGTAAATATTCGAGTTTTGGCTGACGTAATATTTGTAGCATGGATTTCAAAGCATGATTACCTAATCATGCGTTTGATTACTACCACCATTTCCCTTTTTTGAGGACAAAATAGAGTATTGTTATTCGTTGAGAGAATGGCCTAAACACGATTGTCTGACTTTTAATATGAAGACGTCACCGAGAAAAATGACTCACCTACCCTATTTAAATAAATTCCCTCTCTTTTTTTCTTCTTTTTTTATATAATTTTCCTATACATTTTAATTCTCCTATAATACAGCTATCAAATATTTGCGACTACAACTACAGCTATCACTACTTTGCTTATAAAGATAATCAAAATTTCGTCAATAATTACAGTTATAGATATTATACAACGAGCTGTTGTATATACAATCAATTATGCTCTTTCACATAAACATCCATTGATGCCGGCATTGGATACTGTTGATACACCCACAACAATGAACGTAACAGCTTCGGAAGTATGCTCATCACCTACTGACATAAAGAAACCAACAGTACATTCACCTACAAACAAACAACAACGTAAGAGTCGCTCTTTTCACCTTCTTATTCGGGAAATAAAAAGGCTCCGTGATGAAAATTCAACCTTACGTAATAGTGTTGCTTTGTTGAAAAACGACATTAGAGATGCAGCTGTCTCAAGACAGAACACAGATGCTAGTCACAAGCGATTTTACGATGAATGCATGGACAAGAACAACAAGTTAGAAATGGATTTAATGGACAAGGAAGATGAAATCAAACAATTGAAAAAACAAATTGAAGATCTGCAATCTCGGGTTAACTCCGGCGGAGGATTAACGTTACATGATGCGGCCTATTTTAAGAATAAGGATTCCTTTATGTTTGGTTGCTATGAATTTGAAGAAGATGAGATGCAATGCCAGCCTGTTGCCAAGGAAACAGCTTTACCTGAAGCTGAGGCCGAAATGGACAAGCCTGCATTGGACGAAACAATTTCTGAAGTACATGCAACGGTTGAGGAAGAGAATGAGGAAGAGGAAGAAGAACCACAACAGTCGTTTGAAGAAGTTGCTACCTCTTATATACATCAAGCTATATTATCAAAGCTTTCCAGTGCTCGTGTCAGATTGGAATTAGACGATCTTATTGTCAAGTACGATCCTACTTCGGAAGCTATTTCTGCTACCTTGGCCAGTGCCTTTTTACATTGGGTATCTTCCTCGCTCAGCTTGATGGATAAATCCCAAACTGCTGCTAAATTGTTTGCTACAAAGATACAATCCGGCATCACTGACTTTTGGGAAGCTATATTGCAATATTATGCAGCTGAAGAGGAGTGTCAACTGCAGTTATTGAAACAAATCGAATTAATCCTTACTGATGCTGATAAATTGAAATTTTCTGGCATTATCACCAGTCATTTTGATCGACTTATTTTGATGCTTTACAAATATCATATTGTTGATGATGATGCTATCGTTGCCTGGTGGGAAGATCCTATGAGCAATACAGTCTCCCAACAGATTCGCTCAGTAACTACTCGTTTCGTTGAATGGGTTCAAGAAGAAGATGAAGAGAGCGAAGAGGGCGACGGTGAAGATGATAGCGATGACGACAACGATGATGCAGATAATACCAATGATGATAATGACCAAGACCATGAAGATGATACAAACAGCAGTGAAATTGAATCTGAAGATGAACAAGAAATTATCAACAGTATCCTTGATACTCATAACAAATACTGCTGTATCTGCCTTTTGGAAACAGACAACAAGACCGACTCACCTACATCCATGACCAAATTAAATGAATGCAGCTGCTATAGTAAATATTCCGATGCACCTGCCATCCCAAAACCTAAGAAATCGGTAACGATTTCGTTGTAAATATTCCTCTCCTATTTAGACCATAATAAATAAAATTCAATTTAGCAAAGTATATACTTTATATGAAGTTTGAAAAAGGGGTTTGTATATGGGCATAAGTATACAAAGCATGTTACACACCAAAATAATAACAAACGAACCCTTTTACAAATGCGATAGAGCGTAGATTTTACAGCCTCAAGTTATTCATTAACATAGAAACGGAGCAGAGTGGCCAAGAAGTAGTCATAGAGGGCCGTGAGCGTTTTATTTGAAGGCTTCTAAAAGGATAGGAGCAAGCGTTACACTATTCGGCATTAACTACTTGACTAGTTTCTTTTCGGCAATGACATCTCAAGTTGACACAAGGGAGTATGAACGTATAAATGTCATATTTATCAAGACATATGGTTTGATGACCTTATACAAGAATAGTTGGTAATTCTTACATCATCATGATCTATCTGGATCCCTGAAAATTAGACTTTGATTGACACGTACCTGATGCATATTTTTCTTGTAGTTGGTTGATCTGTTACCTATGTAACAAAGATAGTGGCTACCTTCTTAAATACGCTATTTACAGTCAAGTTATTGAGCGGTTTAATATTAAAATATTGCATGAAAAATTAGATGTCTTACTTGCTACAAGAGAATTATTTGCAATAAAATGATTGCTACTTGCTCCAACAGTGGACAAGATCGTGCTTAAGGAAAAAAAGTTGGCAATAGAGTACTCCTTAAACGTGGTACATTCAAGAGAGCTGACAGTGTGTACTTTCTGGTGCGTGTAGTGTTCATTGTGCTCAGCCTTGTTGCCTTAGCAACAGCAAAGCGCCAAGAACGTGATATAATCCTTCCTTATTTAGATCCGGTCCGAAAACCCGCCTAAACTTCGCCTATATACAGAAATAGGTAATCCCTTTCTGTTCCCATTTGGTTGGTCTACTCCTTTCAAGAAAAAAAATTCTTTATTTAGCCGTATCCATTTCAAGCCAATAGAGGAGACAAGGAGAACAGGGGCTGTAAACAAAAAAGCAGCGTTTTTAATAGTAAAAAAAAGCCCACATACATAAACAGCATTTTGTAAAAACGCGCTATAGCATGAACGGAAGGCTGACATTCTTGTTGCACGTTAAGCTTCTAGAATATTTAGGTTATGGGCATGTGGTTGTTAATTCCATTAAACAACAAGTATAAAGAATAATAAAGCCCATTCATAAAATAATGGCACATCCTTTGACCATTTTACTATTTAGCTGCGGACGATCCATATCGGCACGTTTTGTTTTCTACTCGCTTGGTCGATCAAAGTCAGAAGTAAAAAATAGGGTCAAGTGATAAGATGACAAGCAAATCATTTTTGGTTTGCGCAACATTCTGTCGAAAATAATGGAAAATAATCAGCGTTGCGTACGGTGTTTTATATACAAATAAGTAGGCTTACTAAAGGTGATCCAGCCGCGGGTAAACTACGGATGCATATTACTTTTATTTTCTAAAGTTCAATCAGTTGATCTTTTTCATTTCATGCAGTGACGAAAGTTCGTGTGTCCTTTTAATAAAATGCGAAAATTAATAAAGTGCCGCGAAACGGATCTAAATAATCTTAATGCAAAAAATGAAAATAAAAATAAAAAATAGTCTATCAGTTATTTTCATTAAACCCACTACGGGTGATTCATTGTAGGTTACATTTTCTCTTCCAAGGAGGCTGAATTATGATGTAACCCTCGCTAAATTTGACCCAACAAAAGTCACTGCAAATTAACTAAAGCTACGTGTTTTGGTAAATGAAAATTGTGAAAACTCAAATTGACATGTTACAATTCAATACAATATGACCCAAAGACATTAGAAATAACTTGTCAGGGCAATATTATTTCCGATCATTCTATGATGAAACAATCGAATAATGCTTCAAGTGATCACAAAAAGCCATTTTTTTCTTCCGCAGCATTTTCGCCATCCTTCCATAAATAAACACTGTGCCACAGTTTAAGCGCGCTTATATAAATGGATAATTTTCTTTCTTTCTTTCCCTTCTTTTATTAATTCTTTTTTTATTTATTGTTGCATCTCTAAAAAATGACTGAATCTATTCAATTCTATGACCAAGAAGATATTTATCCCAATATCTTTTTGAATACTTTCCAGGAGAAAGTAAGCAAAAGATTATCATTCTCTAAATTACTGCAAAAAAAGCCAACGATCATGGGTCGAAAGCTCAGTATTTTTTCTCGTCAAAAAAAGCCTGAATTGAAATTGGTGATCCCAATGACACTTGAAAGAAAAGAAACAAACTCAACACTCGCTAGCAGCACAGATGATGAATTGATAACGACGCCTACAAGTGAATCATTCAGTCTATCTTCAACACAACTTCAGACAGCTGTAACAACCCCTTCTTCAAAAAGTCTAATCGATTACTCGGGTCAGGGATACTCTAACTTTTATATCAAATTGCCTAATGGAAACTGGATGGTGAGAATTAGAGATAGCCAAAGGAAGATTGTTGGTACATTCGAGATTGATGGATCCATGATTTAAACCCTGTATTTCTATGTAAATAACACTGTTACTCTAAATGCATCTATACATACATACATATACCCCCCTCTTTCTCTCTCTTATCATATTCCACTCCCTTACACAAAAAGAAAAAAAAAACTTCCTAATATATTCACATCTCCTTTGTACATTCTTCTTCATTCTCCTTTGACCTTTATTCTTATGCCTTTAAACATCATCCTTTTTATTTTATGTATTTCATTATTATAAATAAATTACCATAGAAATTTCTAAATGTCTTACTTTTCAATGATCGCCTTTTTTAATTTATCATTGTCTTTTTTCGATTGCCAATGGTTGTGCAAGATCGAAACTGCTACTTAGAGATGTTAAGCCTCAGTAACACAAGGAATCATCTAATCCGAGTAGGAAAACTACGAAAAAACGCCCAAGAGAAAAGCTTGTCAGGTTGGGATGATCATATGCATCAATATCAGAAAATATCCCCCTTTCATATCCCTTCAACTGCTCTCAAGTGCATTTTATGCTAGGTTGATGTGCATCCTTTTTTCTTTTTATCATTCAACCTTGACATTAGAATACCGCGGGCTCAATAGGAACGCATTTAATTTTTAATTTATGCGGGACAATCAATACTCTACTATAGACAGATTCATTCAAATAGGACGACTAGCAAGGGTGCCTTTTTTTTTTCTTTATTCCCCTTACGGAAACTGATACTATCGGTACTAATCAAGTTTAATGATTCCCGTTTGCAGTAAATTGACCTCATTATATCAAACTGACAGGCATAGCTTTAGAGGGGTCGTCTGCAGTACAAGCCACCAAGGCATCCCCAATTATGGTACGGTTAAATGAGCACAAGAAAATCAAGGGGGAGGAGAACCAATTTGTCGCTAGACAACTGATAGACAACTGATAGACACTAACTGATTGTATTTCAAGACGATTGATAAACGATATGTATTTTGTTTATATGCTTCAATATTTTACAACGCCACCAAGGATCAATGGAAGCACATTATATAGAAGTTGCTCCTGACAAACTTGCGTGAATATTGATGATGTTATTTAGTAGCCGGAAAAAAGTTAAACAATGGCGTCATAGTTAAAGAAGGTTGTGGAAGAGACGAACATTAACATTGACATTCTTCAGCTCATATGAGAGCAACTTCCAGCACAAAATTGCCCTCATGCCAATTCATATTGTTTCAAGAGGCTTTTGATGCCATATCATCACAATAACATGTTGTAAATGAGAATACTGCATGCACTCTGCGGCACAGAATATGTCCCTTTCAAAAGAAGACAAGAGGGACCATTTTGAACATTTTACATAGGCTATCTTTGAGGATTGAGTGTTTACTTTAAACTATATTCCTTGAGCATATCAATTTACTATATATCAGATAGCTTTTGATTGTCAATGTTCTCTTTGTCTTCTTCTTGGTTTATCCTATTAGCAGAACACACTGTAGGGATTTGCTAGGGACACGCAAATTATGTAACCGTATACCAAGTTCTGGTCTTTGCTACTTCTCTGCACTACTTGAGCTTTAAAATTTTGCGTGTCCCGTCAAGGAAAAAAAATAGTGCATCCCCCAAAATAGGAAGGTGTTTTTTTGCGTGTCCCGCCCAAAAAGTTGAAATAAATGACTGTAATCTTTATTGATAGAATGAGTCCATACAAAAAAGATTCTCCGTCGAATGAATTCTTTGGAGAATTTTATGAGACGGTCGGATAGAGCCAACAAGGAAGGATATATACTGCTTCACAGTGAGCATCTAGATCATTCTTGTATCGTGTCAAAGAACGCGTCTTCTTCTTGGTCATCCATATCGAAATCTACTCGTTTTTCTTCTGTTGATGCTGATGAATCTGTTGATAATAATATCTGCGTGAAATTGAAGCATGACATATGTTCTCGTCGATAATGGTTTTCAAAAGTCGAAGAGTTTGTCCAATTTCCAAGAGCAACAATGTCTTCTTTTGAGATACCACGGGGTAGGGCTAACGAGGATGCAATAGATCTGACGCTTACATTTCGCTCTTCCGTGGAAATTCTAATCATGTTGCGAAGCCATGTAGAGATTGTTGACGTGGCTAAAGGTTCTTGTGGACACCTTGAATTCACGAAAAGCGAAGAACGAGTGGAAAGGTGTGATAATGAGGGGTGATCTCTAAGAGCTATGAATGCTCTAACAGGACAACGAGAGTAGTCTTGGTTCGGAAAGATTGTAAATGGTTTGATGATATGACGATGGTCACGAATTTCTTTTGGAGAGACCACTTGAAATGTCAGTTGAAAACCACTGTTGATATCTGCCGACTGTAAATCGATACTATGGAGGTCTGAAGGTCGCAAAAAGGCTGTCATCGCTAGGAGAAAGGCTGTTTTTTTCTGCAAGAGGGATAGTGGTGTGGACGTGGTGGACTGAATCTGTCGTATATGGTTCAGAGTTGGGGAAATGTCAATTGTTGGGCGATGAATCTGTTTCGGAGGCTCCCTGCAGGTAAGTGTATCAAGAAGGTTATTTACCAAGGCTAAAGCGATCTTTTACCAAAAGATCTGGAGTCCAATCGTAGTGGGGACGAACGCCAAAAGCATACAAGGGAGAATGCAATGAACTATCAGTCGCGCTTGGAGATGCTTGACGTTCTTGTACCAATTGCTGACGAAACGCATTAAAAGATTCTTCAGTAAATTCTGACATAAAGGAGGATCTAGATGCGGTTTTGACCGAGCGAAAAAGAAGATCAAATAATAATTATAGGACATTAGATCTCTTTTATTGGTTTTATTGGTTTTAAATTTCATTATTTTAAATAAAAAGAAGATCACAGCATATATCCTTCCTTGTTGGCTTATCCTCTGGTCTATTGACCAATTCCCATTTTGTTTTCGAAATCTGTAAGGGCGAATAAGGAAGAACGCAAGTCATAGCGTTTATTCATTATATGTCAATTAACATTTGCCTGTAGACTTGAACAATTGCCTTTGGAACCAATCAGTCAGAAGGTTGATGAATTGGAGTTGATTACAAGATATACCACTGCGGCTATCAATCCATTGTTGGAAAACCTCATGAAGCACGTCATGTTTCGGTGGTATGAAAAGAAAAATTTCAGTCAAACACAAGCGCAATTTTTTTGTCATTTTCGCGTACTTTAGGACTTCTGTCGCCAATGACGAGTGCAAATCCAGTGAGATGTCATTGTTACTGGCCAGACCTGATTTTACAATCAGCATGGTGATATGCACGGAGATCGGGCAAACAGTAGGATATGGAGAAGTGAAACCGGCATCCCAGGCGCTGAATCACAAGCTGGTCGGAAAAGACTTAGTGCGATTAGCGCTTTTAGCAAAAAATGCTATTGATACGTATCGTAGCAAATTTGTTCTGTCGTTTCTTGTCATTGGTAAGTTTTTCTGTTTTTATTTTGAATGCAAAAAAAAAAAGACATATTAACACTCTTTCTTTGATTCTTATCATGTTGAATAAGGGCATCATGCGACGCTCTATTTGACTGATGGTACAAGAAATGGCTTCTATCCAATGGTCGAAATTGCCCATATTCAGTTGCCAATGTCTTTGAAAGAACTTCCACTTTTCATCGCACAAACCGACCAATTGACAATCGTTTCCTCAGCCTTTTGGAGCTTGTGCATCGACCAGAAAATGGATCAACAATCATCACTTATGCCAACCCTTTCCGACAATGAAATAGCAACAATTATGGATATCCGCACCAACCGCAAAAGAAAAGCAAATACCAGCCGCCACAATCATTAATACCTCTCATCCTACTTGATTCCTATACATTTTTATTAAAACAGCTAGTGAAGTATATTACTCAAATGAGTCCTTTTTCGTTTCACGATATTCGTTTAAAAAAACCGCGTTAGATGAGGCTGACAAATTGGGAATCTTTTTTTTTTTGACTGCCAGTTTTGGATAGACTTTTTTTTTCTGATTGCCCACTTACTGTTTTCCCCTAATCGCACATTCGTTTGGGTCATTACATAAGTTGTCTATTTCGACACTTGTCCCAACACTGGTAAGAATGCGAGACGAAGCCTTTGAAATGGCTTTGCTTCACACTGTTACAGGCTTCTGTAATCCTCTTGGACAAAGTGTCTTCCTGCAAAAACCTATGACGCTTAACCTTACTCTTTGCCACTGCCCAGAATTGTTCAATTGGGTTAAGTTCAGGAGAGTAAGTAGGAAGATAGACACATTTATATCCTCGATACTCAATATACTTTATGTTTTCATGTGTGTGAATGGGTGCATTATCCATAACAATATAGTGGCCCTTCATATGTGGATGTTTGTCCATTTCATCGAGTGTCGTTTTTAAGAAACTGATATAGTGACCAGTAACAGTTCCTGAGCTTATATATCCATCAGATTTTCTCTTCTTTGTAGGTCTAGATTTCTTTACACCGACGGTTATCAAACCTGAGGCAGAAATAACACCCAATATAGGCACTGTATTTGCTCTCGTAGTAGGCCTGGTAACAATAGCACGAGTACCTTTATTGGACCAGGCTCTTGAGCGTTTCATATTTATATCAAAAGCAGACTCGTCAAGAAACACGCAATTCGTCAGAAAGTCCACGTCTGTATTTTCCCATTGACAAACCCAATTGTGTCGCTCCTCAATCTTTGTTGGACTGTTTCTCTCAATAGAATGAAAATCTGCTTTTTTCAACGAAAGGTTGCACTCACGCCTCATAAAGTTATTAACAGTGCTGCGTGATACTTTAAGACCATGGAATCGCTTCAGTAGATGCTCAGTCACTTCAACAACAGTAGCAGAGGGATTAGCATCAATGAAGTTGATAACAGTCGTTTTATGCTCTTTAGTTAAGATGCACTTACGACCGGTCTTTTTACAGCTCTCAAAAATACTGTCAGGACACGCATTATACTGACTAACCCACCTATAAGCTGTCGAGGGTGAATACCCAACTGCTTTGCTGCAGCTGAAGCAGTCATACACTTTTCAATCTTCAGATCGAAAAACCTAGCTTTATCCTGGACTGTATAACGCACATAGTCCCGTTTTGGTTTTGCCTCCTTCATATGAACATCTTCATTTTTTGGCTTTTCTAATGACATTGGGCAAGTCAGAGATGATTCATTGGGGACTGCATTTCTCAAGTACTCTGTATGAGTAGCAATAGTCTCAACAGTGAACTCATTCCGATCAACAATATAGTCCATGGGCTGAGGGCCACCATTCTCATCAATAACATTCCCATGTCCATCTTCATATAGAAATATAGTACTCATGTTGAATTGTAAAGTATTAAAAAGAAAAAGTATGAAGCCATGAGCATTTGTTGACATACTAGGAAGAAGAGAGAGAATATACCGACAGCTAATTGGTAATTCCCAACAGACAAACTTAAAACCTTGCAAATAAGGAGTTGGTGCAAAACCAGCTTTTTCGTGAGTATTGTTTATGCTCGAAATCAATAAATTCTTGGTGTATACTTTGGCAATATAATGTAAACACCTTAGAAAGCATGGGAATCGACTTTGAAGGAAATATGTAAAACATCAGTTTTCAAAGAATAACAAGTATTACCTTTTCTATAGCTGTAAAGAATATGGTTTCTTTTGAACGATTTAAAAGATATATTTAAAGATATATTTGCTTGTCAATTATAATACACTTTTTTCATAAATATCTCTCACACAATAAAATATCAATAACAATTACACTTTAGTTGATTATTGATCCTTTCTTTATTATTAAAAAGACAAAGAATTCTGTCTTTTTGAGAGAAGAGAAGGTAAATGTGGTCAACACTTATAAATAGCACATAACTGAGAAAGTTGTTAGAGACTTAATATAAATAATCTGATCTTGGCTTTTCTTTTTCTCTTATAAAGCTCTCTTCTTTATAATGTAAGTATTTAATATCAATGTAATAACTGATATACTTATTATTTCTTTATTCGTTCTTTTGCTTCTGATGGGCTCTCTTTTATTGTTATTTGTTGTCTCATTTGTCGTTTGAAATCATCATTTGTTTTTATCAGTGTACGAATAATTTGTGAATAAATTGTAAACTCGTACAATAGGTCTGGCTGTTAGTGCATAAATACAATGTAACATTACAGCTTATTACCATGGTTTCACCACTGCTAACAAAAAAATTAATTTCTATAAGGTCCTGTCTAGGTTATTATTTGGAAACATGCTAGTTCATATGTTTCTAATCGCTTAAAGTGCTGAACAAATGCATAGAATACAGTGTGCTAGCATATAAATATACATTTCTATATATACATAGAGCAATATATTAGCTTTGCTCTAATAAAAATATAAGGTAACCCAAGCGCGGCGTGGGATTAAACCCGTAGATTGGTAAGATAAGCACTGTAAGGGACCATACTAATAAAAAAGGCAAGATACACAAAGCCACAGTAAGGTAAGAGTAACCGTATCCCAAAAAGCTATTGATGAATATAAAGGAGCTATAGTTTGTGCAAACTGAATTGGTTTAGATTTGAATATGTTCGGATCTTATAATCTTATTACAGCTTAGTTTTATTTACGATAAAAGAACCATTGAAAGATTTTCAAGAATAAGGGTGATTGTTAACCTTACAATTCGATGATATATGCTATTCATTCCTTGAGTCTTTTTTTTTTTCAGATGCTTAGCCATGTGTGGTGTAAGCATATTTATATTTTATAGCTTACACATAGCTTTTGGTAACAGGATATTCTATGTACGACTAGACGAGTGGCTACACGCTTACTGCGTTCATATGACTGTGTAACCATTCCATTTCCTAGGCAACTGTAGCTATCCTCTTTTTCACTTGCCTCTTTGCTGTTATGATTAATTATCAAATCATTTGATGCTCATTGGTTAAGATATATTTAGACATTTTTTAAAAGATAAAGAAATAAAAAAAGAGAGAACAAAAGGAAGATAAAAGATAAAAAGAAAGCAGTAGTGAGTCAATAGGCTTCTATTGCGATTGTAACTAGTCGTTAGTGATCTACTATACGAGGTACATGTACCCGATATCTTTTAAAAAGATGGACGAAATGATGTACCATTGGGGTAATAGGAAAGTGAAAAATATAAAAAAGATTTTTGACATCAGCAAACAAGCCCCGGTTTTGAACTTTTTTCTATTTTCACTCTATTTTTTTTTTCCATTTTTTATAGTAAAATTTTTATTTATTCCCTTTTTTCTTCTTCTTTTTTTTCTTTATAATATTCTTCTTCAAGGCTCCATTAATAAGTCTATATTCTTTTATCTTTAAAGCTGATTCCGCAAATAAACCAGGCATCTCCGAACAGGTATGTAACATTCACCATAAAACTGTGTTGCGTTTCACATTATAAAAATATTATTTTTGACATTTTTATTCTTTGTGTATTTTCTTTCTTTTTTTTTTTCTTTTCTCTCTTTTCGCCATCTCAGTTCCCTCATGTCGTCACAACCAAATACACCTCAGCCTACAGCTACCCCACCTCCTCCTACAGGTGTCAGTCAAGATCTAAGTTCTAATACAGCAAATAACCATTACCCTCCTTCACCACCACTGCCCCTGGAAACTCAAAAATACGATGTGGTTACACCAACCCAACCACCACCAAGAAGAAGTCGTAAAGAATCTTATACGGATCATTGCCCGTCATTTGGTCCTGTAGCTTATATGCAAAATGTATTTGCTATAGACAGACATACATGGTAAACACAATACACACTTTGAATCTTGATATTCTCTTACATAAATTAGCATCGATGTTCGTCTTTACACTAAAGTCGACCGTGGATTCTTTTTAGCAGATAACGATTGGACTTGTTACCGTAGAAACTATTTCCAAGTCAGTGGTTCCTTCTCTTTGGAAGGTATTGGTGTGCTATATGAAGGGCAGGAATATCCTTGTTATGTCAAGGACTCAACTGGTCAGCTTGAAGAAATCAATTGTTTCATGTTGGGCGTCAGCGCGAAATTATCCGATTGTGATAAGGCCATTCAGTTAATTCAACACACGCCCAAGAGAGACAAAGGCCCTCAGACCACACCCACGCCCAAGCCTATTCGCCCAGGTGGAAATCTTGGCTTTAGCGCCGTGGGTTCCGGACAAACTATTGTGACTTTTGAACGTTTGCAATTTAAAACAGCTACTGCCAATAATGGCAAAAGACGAGCTGCTCAGCAATATTATGTGATCGTGATGGAACTGTTGGCTAAATTAAAGAATGGTAATACGGTGACAGTAGCATCTACTACTTCTTCTCCTCTCGTCGTTCGTGGTAGAAGTCCTGGTCACTATGCCGAGACAGATGGTGCAATTAGACAGCCTCGTTTGATGACTACAGCATCAACTGGTGATATCCATCAACCTTCCTCTTCTTCCGGCCCTGCTACCCCCAACGGCGGTATTCACTACGGTCGTTCCCAAGGAACAAATAATAGCAGTGTATATGCTGGTCATAATTCAGAAATGTTTCAACCTCACGAGTACATTTCATACGAGTACCACAACTATTCTAACTATGGACATATGGCACCACCTCCTACTTCTGCAGCTACAGGCGCTTCGACAGCACCTACTACACCCATGTCTCATCCTCATTCATACCCTGGAACACCTCACCACCCTATGGTTGCCCCACAACCTTCACAGCATTATTTCTCAGGACCTCATGACCGAACACATTCTGCTGCTTCCACAGAAACATACCCTAATCATCATAATAATGATTATAATGAAAACGGTAGTCATCATCATATCAAAGAGGAGGTGCAACAACAACAGCAGCAACAGCAGCAACAACACCATCATTCTTCTCCTTATTATTGGCAGAGAAGCGAGGAGCACCACGCTCCTCCCCCTTCCGCACAAGACAATTGGAGCAGAATGAGAATGGCTTCTAATAACAGTGCACACTCGAGTATAGATCACTCTCAGCACGGATCACCTTATATGAGTCACCCTCATCATCCTCCACCTGGACCTGCGGCTCATGATCACCCTTATTACTCTCATCCTTATGGACATTCTCCGGCATCTTATAACCATCAAGGGTATGCATATATATGCACTTATAAACACGCGCAAACAATTTTTTTAACCGATTTATAATAGTCTGCCACCACCACCTCCATCAGTGACTCCAGATCATTATCCTGGTTATAACCACCATTATGAGTGGCAATCAAGGCCAAAATACAATAGTGGTCCTATTTATCCTCATAACTCGTCCTATGACCCAGAGAACAGAAGACACGATTACACTACTGAGAGACATCCATCTGAACAACAGCAGCAGCCTAACGCCATGCCTTCGTTGAATAGAGAAAGTGTAGCAAAATAACTTTCCCCTTTTTTTTAATAATTAAACCAGAACCCTTTTCTTTTCTTTTTCCCTTCTTTTATGCATTGATCTATCAGTGACACAATTGGTTTTACCCTTGTCAAACTTGTTACACGACGCACATCATTTCCAAAAAGTGATATTACAGGTCGTAGGCAGCATTACGGGCGCTACATTCAGGCACAACTTCCCCCTTAAGACACATTAAATGAAATTATGAAACATTAACTGGTATTTGATCAGAAATCTTGGTGAAAAAAAGAAAGAATCCACACTATATTAAATGTTTCCTTTTCGAAGATTATATAGTACCAAAGCGGTAACAGAGTGCTTCTGATGTCTATCTTTGTTAAATCACTGCTGTCAAGTAAAAATTGCTAGGTTAATACAAGGCGGTTTTGGTATATGAGTTCATTGCTGTAATCACACTGGCCGAGAGAGAGAAAAATAAAAGAAATTGGAGACTTTTTATTGCTTTCTGATAACTAATATTCATCAGTGACGGCACCTTCACTAGCACTTTTAACTGTTCTGCAATATTTTGCCAATATACCCTTTGTATACTTGGGAGGCTTTGGCTTCCATAAACTACGTCGTTGCTCGAGCTCAGCATCAGATACATGTACTGTGAGCTCTCTTGTTTTTGCATTAATCGTAATCTTATCTCCATCATTAACAAGTGCAATAGGCCCACCTACTTGTGCTTCTGGACAAACATGGCCAATAATAAATCCCTAAGAGCAATTGTTTAAAGATCGTGTTTTGTGCATTGTTTAGCTTTACATGTGAAGCGCCAGAGAATCGACCATCAGTGACTAGGGCAACATCTTTGCCCAATCCGGCGCCCATGATGGCAGATGTAGGCTTCACTATAGGGTAAAGGGAGAGCGTCAGATAAACGTTATTGTTTATGATATACAACTTACGCATCTCTGGCATACCAGGTCCACCTTTAGGGCCTTGATAGCGTATGACGACAACAGATCCCTTTGGAATCGCCTTTTTTTCAAGTGCTTCAAAGATATCGTCTTCGTCATCAAATACTCTGGCGATACCTGTAAATTCCAAACCTTCTTTTCCTGTGATTTTGGCAACTGCGCCCTATTGAAGAACGTCAAAAGACTTGCTGTAAATATGATGACTATCTCTTACCTCTGGTGCCATATTGCCTCTCAGGATGGTCAAATGTCCGGTTGGCTTGATCGGATTACTTAAAGGCAGGATGATATCCTGTCCTTCTTTCAGTCCGTCTACTGTAGCCAAGTTTTCTGCCAGTGTTTTTCCTGTAACCGTCAAACAGTCTCCGTGCAGCATGTTGTTTTCCAAAAGGTATTTCATAACGGCTATTGCATTTTAATGAACGCAGCCCCCTCTTTTTACTTTATTCATTACCTGGTGTGCCACCAACACGATGAAGATCTTCCATTACATATTTACCACTAGTTTATAAAACGTTACCATTTTGGACAGCTGATTTCTTTATCCTGTTCTCACCTTGGACGCAGATTTGCCAAAAATGGCGTTTTATCAGAAATTACTTGAATATCATCAATGGTTAAAGGAACATCGGCTGCCTTGGCCATAGCAATCATATGAAGTACGGCATTAGTTGATCCTCCCAAGACCATGATCAAAGTTAATGCATTTTCAAATGCTTTTCGAGTCATGATATCTCTTGGTTTGATATCTTTTTCAAGTAGGACACGGATAGCCTGGCCAGCACGTAAACATTCTTGTATCTTGGCCGGATCCTCAGCAGGAATAGACGAACTATAGGGCAAGGACATACCTAGGGCTTCAATGGCACTTGACATCGTATTAGCAGTGAACATGCCTCCACATGCACCAGCACCAGGACAAGCATGACGGATGATGTCCTTTCTTTCCTCTTCGGTGATTTTTCCACTGATAAATTCTCCGTTGCACTCTAGCGCGTTTCCAATATCGATCTCTCGATCTTTACAGCTTCCCACTGTGCCTCGGCCCTTTTTCATCGTTCCACCATAAATAATCAATGAAGGTCGGTTGAGCCGAGCAACAGCCATCACACAGCCAGGCATGTTCTTATCACAGCCTGGAATTGAAATATTGGCATCATACCACAGTGCACTCATGACCTACTAAATGTGTCAGATAAGATAATGTCAAAAACTTTGCTTTACCGTTTCAATAGAGTCTGCAATAACATCTCGACTAGGCAAGGAAAAGGACATTCCGGCACTTCCCATTGGAATAGCATCACTAACACCGATGGTATTAAACTGGTAACCTACTAACCCGGCATCCCACACTCCTTGTACGACCTTGGCTGCAAGATCATTAATGTGCTTGTTGCAAGGATTACCGTCGTAACCGCTAAGTATCATTAGCTTTTTTTTTTTTTTTTGTTTTTCGCAAAGAGTTACTTACAAAGACGTGACACCAACTTGGGCTTTATTCATGTCTTCGTCGTTTAAACCAGTGGCATATACTAAATTGCTTTAATACACATGATTGCTTTACTATATGACTTACATTGTGCCTGTGCAGCTCCAGCAGAAGGTACCTGCGTTATAGTACGAGAATACTTGTTTAAAGCGCCAGCTTCCGCCGACACATGGCGGTTTCTTGGTTCAAGTTTGTGACTAAAGATATGTAAAAGTATTGTCATTTACGCAAATTCAAGACACAACTTACATATAAACTTCGCCTGTAGATGTGTTTGCCATTCTTTTTTTTTTACGTGTGAAAATGAAAAAAAGAGATGCTGTTATGCAAGATGACACCTTAAATAACCACTCTGATTGTATCACCAAATATAATAGTGGGTTTACTTTTTCCCTCTCATTTTTTGATGTCTTTGCATATAAAAAAGAGACAGTTGTGATGTTTCTTTGATTGATTTATAGACCTACAATTCATTTCTGTAGGTAGATCTAAACCACAATGAGATATTGCTGCTTATTCTACAGATGCTTGTCTACAGGTGAAACTGAGGCGGCCTTTTCTGTGGATAGATGTAAAGCACGTGATGAATATTCACCTATCCGCAAAAAAGGAGCTTTGTTCTTACGTCTCTTTCAGAAAATATCTCACATTTCCAACAGGATACCAATAGAAGAAACAAGCACCAAGAGAGCCAAGTACAGGATTTTAGTTTTAATTGGTACGGTTGAAAGTTTTTTGGCAAACACTTGGTGCACTTAAAAATGCACTCAAAAATGGACAAATGCTACGGGCGCTGCCTTGGGCGTTACCTATGCTGTCACTTTACAGCTTCACACTATCAAAGTCTCTAACTAACCTAAGGCTTCCCAGTTCACTATCTCTGATATAAAATTCGAATTTCTCATAATTACACTTGTTTTTGCATCTTTGTTGGTCAAACTGACAACATAAAATTAAAAATGAATAACAACATTTCTTTTTTGCCTTTTTCTTCTTCTTGAAAAGAGACAATTCAAGATGATAACTTCATAAACTCGTGTTTAGCTTGGCGCTATACATTGAAAAGCTTTGTTGGACTTCATCATAGGTAGTGCACGTAGCATTAGTCTATTTTTGAGTGCATTTTTGAGTGCATTTTTGAGTGCACCAAGTGTTTGCCCAAAGCGTTGATCTAACTTTGACTGAGCCTGAAAGAAAAGCCCTAAAAACAAAAGAAAAGGAAATAAAATTAAGAAGCAGACAGTTGAATGCCCTGGACAATATATACTATAGTAAGTTTAAAAATGATAATTAAGAATAAAAAACTCGCTGATTCTTGTTTTATAGATTCCATAAGTGAGACAGAAATCAAAGTCAGTTGTTTGCAAAGAGTGGTCGATATTTTATACAAAAGATCATTAGTAGACAAAGTCTTTGTTTCCCCCCTTAGTTCAGCCAAGCAACAATTTCGTAAGCATGATCTAGAAGATAAAAATGTAATCTTGTCAAAACTAAACAATATCCATGGATGCACAATAGATATTCTGGAGTTTCTTAGAAACAATACCAAAGTCTGATTGATTATGCTGATATAACAACTAACACAACGGATCTTAAGTAATTACTAAGGTAATAAAGAACATAAATCGTTTGTCCGTTATAAATCAATGGTTGTTGCCTTCGTTTCACACTTCGACATGATGGTATAACACTCCTAAAACCGCTTATTCTTCAGTATATAATAAAAAACACAAATACATATATTCTTCATATCTTTTTAACAAGCATCGATTCAATTTTTCTTTCTTGGGAGGGTAATTTGAAGTCTGCTGATTAGAGTTCCGCCATTACTTGATATGATCGAGTAAGTCGTTAGGGCGGGTGACCACCACATCTTCGTTGTTCACTTCAGCAACTGCCTGATTCAATAACCTTGGTCGGCAGTTAAATTAAGCGGTCTCTGCTTGCAGTGACTATTTCTGTAATCCCTTGCCACAAAAATTTCCCCTTCTTTTTTTTTGTAAGCATTTGACATCGCATGGCTTCTCTTCGCTTAATTGTCCCGATCCTTAGTCGTCAACGCCCTGCATTCAGCATCTGTGCACGATCCCTCACGACCTCTGCTATTAGATTTGAAGCAAATGGACATAGACATTTTGCCGAAGCCTTCACTAATAAGCTGATCAAACAAGCCAAACGTCAATATCAACCTCAGAAAGTAGAGCCTACACGTTTGGTATCAATAGAATCGCTTCCGCGTACTGCTACAAGTGAAGATATTCGTAAATTAGCAAGAGAAGCGTTTCCAAAGGGAGACAAGAGCATCGTTGATAGTAAGTTTACCTCTTTTTTTTTTGCTTGTCTTTTGAAATTAATGTATTGTTTATAGTGGTTTTTTGTAGAAGAGTAAACTTTACATTTACTGGTAAATGTGTTGTATTGATGTCCTCTGATGAGGATGCTGGTCGCTTGGTTTCATACGGAGATAGACGCTCGTTAGGTGGAAGTATAATTAGAATGTCATATGTAAGTACTTAAGAAAGAAAAAAGAAAGGAATGACTTATTCCTTCAATAGACCGGGCTACCAACCCAAGATCCTGTTGGTGTCTTGAACCAGTTACGTCCACAGGAGTTGAAGTCGGTAGCAGAGGCAACAAGTGCTGCTGGTCGCTCAGTTATGATCAGTGGATATCCTTTTACAGGAATAGACAATTTGTTAGGCTACTTACGTTCAAAAAACTTTTATCCTGTTGATGGTGTACCTGATAATGTAGTGAATTTAAGGTTTGTAATGTAAAGAAGTCATTGAATATAACTAACAAATGTCAAAATAGCGAAAGGAGATTCTTGGTTAAGTTTGACTCTGAATCAGAAGCATGGAGATGTGTTCGTGCTTTTCATAATGAAAAGTATATTACTAAAAGAAATAGTGAACATACAATTCGTGTAGATGTTGTTTATTAACATTATTCTGTGTATATTTTATATAATCATTCAATAAATATCTCTCACACAATAAAATATCAATAACAATTACACTTTAGTTGATTATTGATCCTTTCTTTATTATTAAAAAGACAAAGAATTCTGTCTTTTTGAGAGAAGAGAAGGTAAATGTGGTCAACACTTATAAATAGCACATAACTGAGAAAGTTGTTAGAGACTTAATATAAATAATCTGATCTTGGCTTTTCTTTTTCTCTTATAAAGCTCTCTTCTTTATAATGTAAGTATTTAATATCAATGTAATAACTGATATACTTATTATTTCTTTATTCGTTCTTTTGCTTCTGATGGGCTCTCTTTTATTGTTATTTGTTGTCTCATTTGTCGTTTGAAATCATCATTTGTTTTTATCAGTGTACGAATAATTTGTAAATATCTATGAACTCGATTACCTATATCATGCTAAGCTTCCGCCTGCCCCGCCCACTCACCTTGGGCAAAGACTCTTAGAATGGCTCCCTTCTTCTACCTCTCTCTCGTGTATCTTACACTTGGCCCCATTTACCCCTTCTAAAGCATTTTTACCTTTGATCCCAAGAGGTTTTTTAGTCACCACTATCCTTCCTCTATGAATTGCCTCGGGCGGGAAAGATGCAATATTACAATTGTGCACCCGATTGAGGTTTTAATTATTTAAAAATAAAGTCTGTTTAAACGTAAATATTTCTATCACAATATGATAAAAAAAAGGGTATTTTTTATTATCGTTTTATTTAGCTGTCCACCACTTTGATAGCTTCTCACTAGCATAGCGAACTGTCTTTATTGGGCCAGCAGTGAGGATGCCCTTTATGCTTTGAGTAAGAGCCGTCCTACCAATGATCTCGGTAAGACCTGCACTATATGTTAGTTTGGAACTATATTCATATCCACACTAATTTTTACCTTTGTCAATAAAAGATACCAGTTGATCAGATTGAGCTACTTGCTCATATACAAGAGACATATCTTCGGGTACATTAATGTTATTGGCAGAAGCATACTGACGATGCTGTCTCAGTACTTTATCGTACAGTGTCTTTGGTAATTTCTTAACCATAAGTCCTCTATATCTAGGATTATAGCTCTGCTGCAACTTTCCTTCGTTCAAGAAGGCTACATTAGGCAAATCATCCAATAGACCGTGATAGAGTCTATGGAAATGGTCCATTTGACTAGATACAATATTTTTGACCTTATTTGGGTTTTCACCCACCATCATTCTAAAATCACCCTTGTAACTGATACTAGCAATTCTCGTATAGAGTTCTTCTTCTGTAAAGTTTTCAGGCAATGTCAAGAGAGCCACTCGAACAGCTTCAGTCAGGTTAACTTGGTTTGCTAATCTGACACGAGCATCATCACGTAAGATCTTTACTGGCTTATGCATACGCCCAGCTACATAGAGTGTTTCCCAATCGATTAAATCCTTACACAATCTATCAATGGAAATAACCCCATATTTGATATTCTATTGTTGTGTTTTGAGTAAAATGAATGACATAGTATGTTATCCTTTAGTTACCATGCCATTCACTTGAATATATGGGTTAAAGTAGACGCCTGCACCCACTTTTTCTTGTAATAATGAGACAGCACCTGATCCAAACAATCGTAAAGATGAATAATGATGAGGATTTTGTTGTATATTTAAAGCATGCCAATGACCGGGATGACTAACTCCAAAGATAAAGTCTACCATTGGCTTATTCTATAATGATATCAATAACCAGTTTTTTATATATTTATAATAGTCTTACTTTGTCATCATAGCCAGTTTGACGAAAGACACCACTTCCATAGGCTACTGCATATCGAATGGGTGCATGAAATTGTGATACAACTCCTTTAAGCTGCTGTTTTAGTTCTTCATTGATATTTATATATTGGTTTGTGCCAAAATCAGGTGAGTCTGGAATGTTTGAAGGATGAAAGTGATGTTGACGAAGCCTTTCTAGCTTCATGCGTGTTTCATCAGTGAATAATTTTGAGTCTAATTTCTTTGCTTGAGGTTGAGAAGAAGGAGGGGGAGGAGGAGGAGGAGGAGAAGTTGATATATGGGAGTTTGTTTCTAATGACATATATCTGATGCACTGTCTAATGAGAGCTGGATTGCCTTTTAGAGTGTTTACATTCTATAAAGTTCCTTCTTTATTAGAAGAAATAGCAAAGAGGAATAAAATAAAATAAAAAATACCTTCAGCATTATTGACATTTTAAAAATAGAAAAGAAATTAATTGGAAAAAAAAGGGCTCACTAGTGCCCAACTTAGAGTATTTTTAAAAAGTAACGTCGCAGCCAATGAAAGTGAAGCATTGTAGCCAATGAAAATTTAAACACTGTAGCCAATAACAGTCAATGTCGCTTTTTCAAAAATACCAGCCGCTTTTTTTCCGTTGATTTATGAAACTTACACTCTAGACCTGATTCTTGGCGCACTACCAAGTCTCAAAATAGTGGCGCTGCCTACTCATTGAGCAGGGTGCGAGGAGTGCACAAGTACATGTATCAACAGTGGTACAATAAACAAATATGTTTTTTACAGCTTTCTTTTCGGAGTAACCACTTTACCGGGATTAATACAAATTAGTAAAGGTATAGCTTTTTGAAAGCAGTTTATGCTACCTTATTCCGCAGTGATGGCCTTTTCAAGTATCTGAATATATACACAGCCTTTCTTATTTGTTTTACCATGACTTCAATTTTTCACACCTGCGCAAAACATTACGTTTGTGATAATTTTTATCATACAGTAAATGTAGAATACACGCACTCCCCTGCACACTACTCGATAAGTAGGCAACATTGTCGTATTTACTCTACGAGATTGCTTTAAGAATGAGCAACACAAGGAGACTGACCACAAAGCATGTTATTACTATGCTCAGTAATTGTGATTAATTCACGTAATAATCCTGCTTTCATATAAAATGGTGTTATCTGTAATTATGATCGTTCTTTCTTGTTCTTAACAAAGAAGCTAGACAGAGGCTTATCGACACACACATACACACACACACATATATATTTTGCTATCGTCTGGACTATGTCACTAGTGTCATTTACTTTGAGGCCCATGCAAACTCCTACGAGAAGCTAAGAACATTCTGGATTTCCTCTAAACCATGGAAAAGAAGCCCAGTGACTGACTTTTACATTGATTGTAAAAGTATGATGCTAACTACAAAAAGAAATATAGGACTACAGTAATATTTATACACAAAAAACATATCCTGTCATGGGCATAAAATCACGAACAAGAAGTATGTGTCCAGTGGAATCCTTCTGGTGATTGACGATTTCAGATAAAGACACCCATCTATTGCTTACTCTGTGAAAGATCATCCAACGAAGGGATACGGTGGTTCCCTATCTGCTGCATGTGTGAAAAGCTTCAAGCAAAAGGTACTTTGCTTTCTTTTCGTAAAGATACAAGCTATATACGTTGTATTCCACGTGTATCCAAAAAGATAGGCCTTCTATATATGACTTGTCGAAAGAAATATTGTGCAGATTTCCTCTAAACAGTGAACAAACTCTGATAAAGTGTTTAAAAAGTCATGATCAAGTTTATTCTAGTTCAATTCACTAATGCATATATCAACTTCATTTCTTATATTCCTCCAAGAAATCATATTCTATAAGCGAAATCCCCCTATTGTTAGTCAAAGTCATATAAACATGGCATATACATTTACCTGTTCACAATAAGTCAGATGGATCTTTGCAAAGGATATCAAAATTGACCTTAACTCTGAATCCTGTTGTGTCTTTAATCTTTCCAGGTCTTGTTTCAACATTTCGGACATTTCTACAAGATCCTGACCTACTTTCTGTTTTGCTTCTTCCAACTAAGATATAAAAAAAGTCAGCTGTTTCCTTCCTGTATTTTATTCTTTTTATTTTACCTGCTTAATAATTTCCTCTAGCTTTTGTATCTGATTTCGTCGTGTCTGTTCAGGATCTGCATCTATCATGCCTTGAAATTTAAAGGTAAAGGCAGAAAATAGTTTTCTTGTTGAAGACCATTTCTTGCTTCGTTCTTTGGATGCTTTCAATGTTGATAACGAAGCATTTTCAGGGTATTCATAACTCTCTATCGGTTGCTTTTTACCATGATTCCCTGTATCTTCTTTGATAATGGCAGCAAACCCATCTTCTATTGATTCAGTATCTAGAAAATCGTCCATGTCTTCTTCCTGTGCTTCTTCATCATCATCTTTATTATTATTGTTATCCTTTGAGATTGATAATTGATCCATTCCTGCTCTCAACTTATTTGATTCATCTTGCATGCGTAGGAGTCCTTCAAGGGTGACCTTCTTTTGAGTTAATGTTTCTTCAATCAGCTCTAGTTGAGCTTGCTTCATACGTCTATAGCGTAGTACTTGCTTGGTAATGTGTATATATTGAGCATAGTCTTGTATATGCTCAGAGCATTCAATTTCCAATAGCTTTACCTAAAGTTCATTGTTATTCATGCAACATTAATATACGACATGTTACTTACCATATCCTTTGTGGATGCACAAGAGTCATCAATAACTTGACCAAGCTTTTCGATAAAACTCGATAATAAATTAGAGGGTTCATATAAGCTTAGTGCATTATATCCTGATCCCAAGTCCGAATAATCATTGGATAGGTCTATGATACATTAAAAATAAAATAAAATAACAATGTTTATAGTTACCAGCAAGTCTCTTCAAGATGCGTTTCTGAGATTTGTCCAATTTGTATCCTTTATCCTGTGCTGTTTTATCCACTTTTGCCTCTGATTGTTCAAACTCTGGTTGTGGATGTTTAAGGATATATGAGGATGAGGGTATTGGCATAACCGAGGTATTTGTAAGTGATGTATAATCATGGGTCGATAATGGATCTTTTGGTAAATCAGAAAGTGGAGGAGAGTGTAATACATCGCTCTGGTCAAAAAGTTAAAAAAGACGATACATCTTTACATTATCTATTTGTTTACCCAATTTTCACTTCCGAGGATAAAACGATGAAATACATGTTCTTGTCTTAAAATGGGATGTGAGCATATTCTATTCAAAAACCTTTCAAGCATCCTTTTCCGTTTATCAATCATTGAAGCATTTTCATCTTTTCGTGCGTATTCAGCTATAGTGTGTCTTTTTTTTAGTTTGCAATATAAAAGTAATATATTATCATTACATAGTGTATGCTTCTCGGGTATGGGTGGTATCAACAGGATTGGATATAGTTTAGTAAGTGACTTTCTAAGAGATTCAAATTCACTATAACGTCTCTTGACTTCTTTCATATCCTACATATATATTTATTAGTATCACTTTTATGATATCAATTGCTTACTTTTGTTTGTATGATATAAACAATAAAAGTATTGTTTTCAGCATATTTCTTTTCTGCTTGTGTTATCCTTAATACACTGTTTTTATCCTGGTCATTTAATAGTTGTTGAATGGAACATTGACATGACCTTGGCTTGTACATTAAAGAAAATATAATAAAAAGAAAAGAGAGAGAGCTTTTCATGCAAAATAATAAATTTATTCGGAGACGTAATTGTTTTTTGTATGTATTTACTCAAGTACAACTCTTGCTGGTAACAAGACAACCTCTTCCTCATCAATAAACAAGGGACTAATTGTCATTTTGACTACTTTATCTTTTGAATTGTTCATATTTCCAATAGGAGCCATGGTTTCTTCATCATATTTACTACCAACTTCAATAGGTTGAACAGATACATCAGCATCTCCTCCATGAATCTCTAATGATAATGAAGCACATAAATCCAATATATAATTCCAGATACGCATAATTTCATCATCCATATTATTTATGTTTAATAATCGCATCATTTCTTTTGTAAAGTGTCTTTGAATATCTTGTAAATATTCTTTTGTTGCAGGGTTTAAGGCGAGCGACTGAACTGTCTGTCGTCTATACCATTTGGCAAAGTTAGCCCCTAATGTGCTTTGGAATCGACTTATTTGATCAGAATAGGCTGTATTTAACAAGTGTTGATTCTCTGTACCAAAGGGAAGTGATGTTATATAAAGCTGCGTAATATGAGAATAAAGCGATTGTTCCAAGCTTAATTTCCACTCTTCATTTTCCTCTGGTACAACCGCAATCACAAATCGACTCACTGTCTCTGCCAATCTTGCCAGTTTCTGTGTTAGTGTACGTGAGTTCACGATGGATGGTCCTGCAGTCGTAACAAAATCATCCTTCATTTGAGATAGAGCTAATGCTTTCCCATACACTTCTTCGTTACAGCCTGTTAGACTCTTTAGGTTCATAATCATCTCTGCTTGATGCTTTTGCGCCAGCTGAGCATTCCTTAACTGCGCCTGAAGCATCTCGTTCTCTTCGAGTAGTTCTGCATAAGATTTGGTCATTAAGGAGGCAAAGCTTGGTTGAGGTTGAGGGGGCGCAGATATTTGGTCATTAACAACATCATGTGTAGGCTCATCGTCGCTACTACCTGTTACGCTATGTTCGAACGTTACAGAAGACCTAGCATCTCCAAACTCGGCAGCATTCGATCGAGACTGTTTGTCTTCGTCGTCCAATGGAGGAGGATGTCCTACGAGGTCTCTCAGATTTTGTACTTCTCTCAAGCGAATGTCTTGAAGCTGATCACGAATATCATCTATAGTGTTATTATCATCATCAGTCTCTCTGTCATGAGTCAAACGACTGACACTTGTTGCATGTGTACTAATGACAGACTCTTGGTCATCAATCGTAGCAGCAACACTCCAAGCATCCGTATCACGGGCACGGCCACTATCTAAAGTATCCAATAAGTCAGTCTTTCGAAGATAAGAATGTCTTGCTAGTGCCGGGTTGTCTTGGAAGCTTCTTTGAAAAAAAGAGTCTTTATCACTGCCTTCAAAAGAAGATACTGAGCTCATCGTTTTATTTTCAAAAAAGAAAGAAAAAAAAAGTTAAATTTAAACCAGTGACGAAATGAAGGGGATTTAATGTCCGGTTCGCTTCTCTCCCTTACTCTCACATTGACATCTTCTTTTCCCCTTCTCTCTATCTATCTCTTTTCTGTTCTTCCGTTCTTCTTTATAAAACATATACATAGAAGGCAATGAGTTAAAAAGTCAAAACTTTTTTTATTTTTAGTGAAACTCCTTCATGATACTTAAGCCTTGTTGGCAGCCTGTATTATATAATCCTTATATTAGTTTCCATTTTCCAAATCATTATTGATATGCTCTTTTACCTTTTGGAATCTGAATCTTTGAGGAGGAAGTCTGTTACGACGTTCAGTGCGAGAACGAACACGGACGATACGAGCGTGAATAGCGCAAGAGACACAGTAGTGAAGCTTGACGTATAGCTTGGGAATGGCGTATTCTAGTGAATGGATATCATTTAGCATGTTATATTTCCTTGTGTGTCCATATAATAATAATAATAATAATACCCTCATAGACAGAAGCTTCCTGAATATCACGGATAGCAGCAGTTTCAACCATGTTACGGATGGTGAAACGCTTGATGGCCTTGTCCTTGGGGACACAGCGGTAGCAGTTGATGCAGCGAACAAACTTGGTGTGTCCACGTCCGTGTTGGTTACGTCCGTTGTTTCTTCTCTTGGAGGTCTAAACAATGTAAAGCTTCAGTTTTCCGACTCGTCATGAATGTGTTTAAAAAAAAAAGAGGAAAGGGTAAAATCCACCATCTGTTGATCCACACATCATCATCATCTGTTATTCATCCATCCATCCATCAACATATCCAATTCAATTGTACATTGATCAGGGGGAAATTACCCTTCCCTCTCCCTTGTTTTAACGTACCATGCTGTATAACTAACGAAGAAGTTGAGAGAGAGTTCATCCATTGGAAGCTTCCCCCTCACTAATTAGAGTTCCGGACTACCAAGCGAGCTCTTTCATTTGATTGGCTTATATGAATACTTTCTGAGTTAGTATTTGCTCAGACAGTGTCCTTGATCCTCGTCTCTCCCTTTCTCTCTTACTCTGCCTGTCTGTCTGTCTTTTCTCTTCTTGTTTTTTTATTTTAGCTTAAAAATAAACAGAATGAAAACATGGGTCAACTTTTTCTTTTACTTGTTACAAACAAAAAAGAATGCTCTAAATTGGGTTTATTTTATTTAGATCATAATTGAAGATGTTAAATAAATGAAGCCAACGTATATTTTTAATGAATAGTTGTGGTATTATTTTAAGAGATGAGATTATGATACAAATTAAAAGTTTTCACGCATGAATTCAAAGAATGCAAAGTTGTCAGGATGAGGGCCATACTTGTATACAAATTGAGAGGCAAGATATGCACCAAAGATAGCCTTGACATAGCTTTCAGGTACACGTTCAAGCAACTTTTCAAGGCCCAACTTGTCCAAGAGTAACTTGGGGAAAGCACGTTGCAAGACGGTCGTACGAAGAGTTTCGTTATCCCAAAGACCAGACTTTTGTAATTGTTCTTGAAGTTGGACGATTGCATTGGACAATTCATCAGAAAGGATAGAGATAGGAGTCTTGGTACGCTTGTGTTCACGCCAGAGAGCTTCAAATTCAAGAGCGGCATTACGTTCAATGATGTTTTGTACTTCTTTGACGTATTCTTCATAGAATTCAGGTACAACACCGTCCTTGACACACATGTGTTCTCCAAATTCTTTATCTTCGAAAGCCAAGGCAGCCAAGACTTCAAGAGAAGAAGATGTGACACCACCCTTGTTGGCAGAGGCATCCTTAAAGATGACAATACCGGCCTTTTCAAGACGGAGACGAGCTTCTTGAGTGAAGAAAAGATTGGCACCTTCAACAATGTACTTGAAAAGAGGAGCACCACCATCTTTAGGAAGCAAGGCGTGAACATTGTCAAGACCAACAGATTCAGGACGACCACCACATGGGACAAAGACGGTAGCTTGAGCAAGAGGGTTGGTGTGGAAAGTGTTTCTGAATGAAAGGCCGTTTTCGACCAAGGTACCATCAGGTAATGTGACATTTTCTTCATCGACAAGAACACGGAAACCAGATGGAGACAGTTTGCTTGTGTCAAAGTTGCTGATCATCAGACGGCTGTTGGCAAGACGGCTCAATTCTTCACGGTTGATACCTTCACTATCGTAAAGAACACCAGAACCATCGACAATGGCAATGGTCTTGTCCTTAGAAATCTTGATTTCATTAGATCCCAAATCACCATCGGGACCACCAGTTTGAAGTTTAGTGCATTCTTCTTCCTCCAAACCAAATGTACGGTAGATGCCCAAGACATATTGATGAACAGAGCGAGTGGTCATACCGTAGGTATCGTGAGGGATACCACCAAGGGATTGTGACTTACCGGTAGTGAAAGCTTTCCAGAAGCTAGCACCACGTCTGCGAGCATGTTGAGAGGCCCAGTCCATGTATTCGGCAGTACCTTCATCAGGGCCAAAGAACAAGATTTCAGGCTTACCAACACGATCAACCAACTTGTCCTTGATACCAACAGTCTCACCATCAATCAACAAATCCAAGACAGAGTCAACATACTTTTCAAAGGCAACCAAAGGTTTGTCTTGTTGATCAATATCCAAAAGAATGGTACCCTTAGATCCACCTTCAGGAATATCTTTATTCTTGCGTTGCTGGGTAGCAGCCAAGTTGTAGTTTTCGTCAAACAAGGTACGCAAGTTAATAGAGTAGGCTTCTCTGTTACGTGAGCGAATGATACGAATACCACCACGAGCGACATCGCCGAAACGAAGATGGAAACCACGGAACTCAGAACCGACAACAAGGAACATACCGTAAAGAGGATTGGGGTATTCAATTTCAGGCAGGAAGCTAGGATCCATACGGAAGGAAAGAGCGACCTTGGTAGATTGGTAAAAGTTGGTCTTGAGCACATGCTTGTTGAATGTCAAGAAGGATTCAAAGACAATTTGTTCGTGAGCATTGGAGGTCATAGACTTGATCTTCTTGCTAATATCTTCAACAGACAAGATTTCAATGTTGTTCAAACGTTGGTAGGAGATGGTGGGTTCAAGAGAAGCTTCACGTTGGTTGACATAGTGAACAGTAGCAAAGTTGGCATACAAGATCTTGAGAAGTTCGGGATATCTCTTCATGATATCGAGAATATATTCACGAGTGAAAGTATCAGTACGCAAACGCTTCTTCAACTTGGACAAGACTTCTTCGTGAACAGGGTTGGCACGATCCAAGATAGAGGTCAAGCTCAAGTATTCTTTACCCAAACGATTCAAGAAATGTTGAGCAAAGATCCAGCCGACATAACCATAGACCATTTCTTGAACAGAGAGCTTGCTGGTTTGGAAATATTGCTGAAGAGGAGTCTTGGGAAGACAGTATAAGAGAGAGGCTTCCTTCATGACTTGATAAATAGTGTGTTCAATAGGAGCAGACTTGGAGTTGGGAATGGGATGAAGGTAGAGACCGATGATAGTGACACCATTAGAGAATTGTTCTATAAATACCCTTAGTATCGTTCTTTTTTTCTGACGATGTTAAATTGTACTTACCAACATATTTACGAGTGGAGTATAAATCATAGTAGTGGTACAAGTCAGAAATGGCAGAGAAGAATCCCTTTGTGCTTCTTTGACGATAACCAATAATCAAACGACGTTCACGAGAACCCTTTACCTGATACATTTCAATGACAGGACCGGTACGTTGAAGAGCGTTTTGCATAACTTCTTCATAGACTTTAAGGGTGTGTTCAGTGGCCTTCTTCAAGAAGTTCTTGTCACTGACTTGTTTAATATCTGTTTCTTGTTCAGGAGAAGGAGTAGGGTTTTCAAATTCACACTTGGTAACAAAGTAACTACGAAGTTGAGACTGCAGACCACCACCATTAGAGCTAGAACGGTAGGATTCAACACGATAAGCTTCAGAGGGGGTAGAGATATCCAAGAACTTTTCGTCAATTGTCTTTTCATGCTGAGGACCATAGATTTGAGATACACCGGGTTGAGAAGAATGAATATATACAGCAGCATCTTCGGATTCCTTTTGCAAGTTAATGTCAAGGACATTTTCATTCTTGGTATAGGCCAAGATCTTAGCACCATAAAGAGCCATAATGTGGTTAGCGATGGTTTCAACACTTTCGAGAGCAAAGTAGTAGTCATCGATATTCAAATTGCTACAGGTGAACATTTAGTTTCAGTTTTCTCTTCACTTACAACATGAAACTTACCTATAAAACCAGGACACTTCGTTCTTGACTAATTCTTTAGGAAGGAAGCCGAGTTGTTCAAGGTGTTCACACACTTTGACCATTTGACTTTCTTTATCAGCAAAGACGTTAGTGGCATAACCACTTTCATTATTAAGAAGGTGCAAATTATCCTGCATTGTGTTAGAGGGTAAGAAAAACGAAGATTATGAGAAAAAGAGAGGGGTGTTTGTTTATTTAGAAACTATTTATATAAAAATAAATGTCAGTTTAGTATCCAATGAGTCAGAGATCTTTTTCAAATTTAAGGCACAGCAGCCTAAAGCAAAATGGCGCAATTTTGATTGGCTAATCCGTGAGAATAATTACTGTTGAACAAAGAAAATACCTTGAACCTTATTCCCTTGGTTGTCCCATTCTAGGACCTCAAAGGAGCAGTTTCCATAGTTACTGTCGTTATATTTATAGTTTACTTATTATCCGTTTCTCACAGACTCACATGTATCACTTTTATGTTGATTTTCTTTTTTTTTTTTTTTTTACTCTTCCCAGCTTTTAAAACAGAGAATAAAGTATGGAACCAATGGCATGTCTTCTTTTCCATTTTTATTACATAACAACATGCGGGGTAGAAATGTTCAAAGAAGGATAACTTTCCCGTTACTTTCAACTGTCCGAGGGAATATCATTGTGGGAAAAAAAAATTTTTTTTACTCCCCTTATTTTTGTGGGGTAACAGAGAGTCTGGTTACAGAAAAACTACAAAGTTTGCTATAGAGGTACTTTCCACGGTATGTGTCATTTAATAAGTCAGACATCCTCGGAAAGCGACTTGTCGGCAATTGTATTATATATAGCCAATAATAATATTCCACTTTTTAATAATGCACGTCTTACTCAATAGAAGCATTGACCACACTTTATGGTTTGCTGTACAATTCAAACCCCGCCTTCATGATGACAAGGCTCACTAAATATAGTATTCCTTGGCCCCAGCTATGAGGGAATAGAGCGTGTTAAGAGCTTTACAATAAGGTTTCTTCTATATCCGATGTGCCCTGTTTGGCGTATATTGTTGGATACCAGTAGGGAAATAAGTCATGGGTCACTTGTACATTGTCTCATAACCAGTCCTTTTGACATATTTTTGAACCACAATCCGTACTACCTTCCTTTTGAGAAAAAAAAACAGAAATTAAACCAAATGTGATGGCATCAATACGAGCTAATAGAAACAATAACTCTTGTCATTCAGGAACAAAAGATAGTATTGCCACGTCATATTCTGCTGTCGCATCATAAATTGAAGCGAGCTACATATATTACAGCCATATGACGTGAACTGTATGTTGCCAGCCATTATCATGGTTCTCGACTGGTGTATATTTAATATAATGATCCCAAGCTGGATTGGGTCCTTTGTCTTTTTAAAGAGCTTTTGAAAGATGACATTTTCGAACAAGCTGCTATGTTACACTAACGGGGATTGAGATTTCATAAAGAAACTGGGGTAAACCATATCGTACGTGTTAATAGCATGGCTGAAAAAAAAAGTGCTTATTGCAGTATTGTGACTAAAAATGATTAGCTGAAGACCTAGTTGCTCTATATGAATATCTACATTTATTTATCATAAGATAGTTTACCTTTTATCCTGTAGAATGGCTACAAAAAGTCTAGATCGAAATAACAACGAATATTTTAGTTGTGTATTATGTTCTTTTGAGTACGGTCCACGACTCTCTTTTTTTAATCACCCGGGGATTCAGAACAGAGCTTCTTGAACGATGTTTTACAGAAATATGGAACAATTTATTCATTTCCACTTTCATGTGTAAGTAATGATGAATAATTGGCTGTGTTCTTCTAAAATGACCTCATATTTAGCTTTTGGCAAAAAAAAATAAATGGCGCCAAAACGGAAGCTATTATGTACCGGGGCAAAATGTCTTGACTATTCATAAATACCCAAGTTGCCTTAAACGTAAACTGTGTTCAATAGATTTCTGTATTTTCTAGAAAGCCATTATTATGTAGTAAGATCGTAATACAATGTAATTTTGAATGATGCAAAAGGGCTGTAGTTATGCCCCACAATTTAGATCGAACGATGAAGCATAGTTCTTGTGAAATCCTAAACGCCATCACATAATTATCATTTTCAGATTTTGCAAAGGGCTCAGTAGTTTGTTTTTAAAATAGAAACCATTACCAGTCGATGCTTGTAGAATAGGAACATACTTATATGCCTTAAAGGTGATTATTATTTTCATATATGCATGAGCTTCATATATATATACTCCCTTAGACAAATCTATATGCATACTCAATAGCTAAATATTCGTCAAAACTTTACCTTGCACTAGAATAACGAGTGTTATTGCTTCATTTTGCTTTTTTGGCATATTTCATCCTTGAATTCAGTAGTAGTTTCATAACCTTCAAAGCATGCAACTTGGCTTCATCGAGATCTTGACATACACCAGCTTTTTTTCACTTCAATCTCTCCGGATTCTATGACCTTATCATGCTGTCAAGTACATAGAAGAATGTCAGGATGCATCTTGCCTTCATCTGCTTCCTTGCCTTGCTTATAAATCCAAGGGATCGCATTAAGCTCTATCTGGGCGTCGTCATGAGTGTTATAGAATACTATATTTAGTCAATCAGGAATTTACATAATAATACACAGGTTGTAGCTTTGTGGCTTTATGATCTACATTCTTAAAATGTGGCAGTAGAATGGTTTGCTTACAATATTACTATAACGGGTAATATTATTGCACATTTCATGGAGGTCAGCTATGATGCCCGTTTGCTCCTTCGTAAGAACTACTGTAGTTAAAATGTTGACAATAAAACGCAAAAGTCAAGCTTTCATTTTGGATAAGCATATTTTATGCTTTTGCTCAAAATAATAAGGCCTAAAATTTATAACAAAAGATATATTCTATATTTTTAATGAATTCAGTTCAGTCTATAATGATGATGATGTCAATGATTCTGATGGTGATGAAGGGATAGAAGAGGTTGGTGTATCATAATGTACTTTCTGAATAGATGGTTGCAACTGTCGAAGCGTTGCAGCCAAATTTTTTGGTATGAGTGGTTTTGTTAAATAGTCATCCATGCCAGCTTCAACACAAATTTGCTTAGCTGAGGATTGGATGTCTGCGGTGAGCGCGATAATAGGCAATCTACAACCAGTCTGTTTTTCTAAAGCTCGAATACGCTTTGTAGCTTCTACGCCATCGCACTATATGCAATTATAAAAATTAAATCTTATACTCATAGCTTTATGTTTATAACAAACCTTTGGCATATGGTGATCAAAGAAAGCAAGGCAAAAGTAGTTGGGTGGTTTCTGCTTATAGATTTCAATAGCTTCTTCACCATCACTTGCAGTCTCAACAGTGAATCCAAGCTTTTCGAGTTGCTGCTTTAAAAGCTTTCTAGCCACAAAATTATCTTCTGCAATCAACACCGACTGTTTAGAGTATAGCTTGAGTTCATCTGGACTAAAGTAGTCCTTCATACGCGTGGCAATGACAGGTGTAAGGGACGATATCGGATTTCTTGGCTTTTTCTCATCCATTACAATTTCAAATAATCGAAGCAACTTGGCTCTTCGTGCTGGTTTAGCCATCTTTACTAAACGTCCTCGACGGTCAGAAGCTGAACCGGTAGCTTCAGCAGCCACTTTGTGCCCCTCTGTCGAAGGTGTATACAATAAAATGATGTGCAACTCGCATTCTGGATCATCCACTACACTTTGTATCTGATGAAGAATAAATCCACTGGGCTTTGGAGGAATGTCCAATATCAGAATGGGATGATGATCTTGTAGCGCTTTAGGAACTGCTTGATGCATATCTGATGTGTGTATCACGTTAAAACCTGATAGCAAAGATCGCATCATTTTTGCATTCAGTTCACTTGAAGTAGCTAGCAGTATGTGCTCATTTTGTTGGAGAAGCCTTAATGCTGCTGGCTTTCCTTGTTTTCTTCTGCAGATTGAGCTCTTTTCTTTATTCGCGACAATTGTGAACCAAAAGTTTGATCCCTTGCCAGGGTTGGAGTCCACACCAATATCTCCCGTCATAAGTCGTACAAGTTGTAGACAAATGGATAAACCCAAGCCAGTGCCTCCATACTTCCTTGTTGTGCTCCCATCTAGTTGAGAGAATGGCTCAAAGAGTCGTTGTTGCTCTTCTGAACAGATGCCAATTCCGGTATCAATGACTTCAAACTTTAACCGGATATACTCGTTGTCATCATGCTTGAGCTGGTCGTTAATTTGAAATGATTTATCAAGATGACACTTGATCACAACACCACCAGAATGTGTAAACTTGATGGCATTGCCTAAAAGATTTGTAACTATCTGTCGAAGACGAGAAGAATCAGCAATGATAGTAGCAGGCACGTCGGAATCTACGATATATGCCAACTCAAGTCCTTTTCTTGCCGCTAATGAGCTAAGTATTTCGATTGTATCTGCAATAACTTCTTCAACATCTAGTGGGCCCAGGTCAAGCGTAACCTTGCCAGCTTCCAGTTTTGAAAAGTTCAACAAGTCATCTAAATAAGAATATTTGCATTAGTTACAACATATATGAGGGATGGATGGTGAACATACCAATGATTTTTAAAAGAGTCTCACAGCTCTCTTTTGCAGTCAAGACAATATCTTGCTGTTCTGCATCCAAGGCTGTCTCGGATAACAATGAAATCATGCCATAAAATCCAGAAAATGGTGTACGTAGTTCATGAGACATGTTAGCCAAAAAGTCTGCCTTCAACTTCATAGCATGGAGTGCTGCCTCTTTACTCTTCCGGGCTTCCTCTAGTGCAGCCTTTTGACTTTCGATCATCTTGACATTAGCCAAGGTTACCTTTTGAATGCTCTTGAATAGCAAGGCATTTGTGATAGAGATACCGATCTGCTGAGAAAGTAAGCGGATGACGATTTCATGGCGTGAGGTAAGTGCTCCTATAGGAGCTTCGATATAGATACAACCCACCACGGCTGACTTGTGAATGATGGGTGTACAGATACATGATTTAGCTTGCGCTGTTCCGTCAGAGAAGCGTGCATCCTGCTGAACATCGACAATAAACAAAGACTTTTGAGCATGAATGGCATATTCTGAGGTACGTGCCAAGGTAGAATCTGCTTCTTCTGACAATAATTTAGGCTTACTGTAAATGTCACACCCATCTTGCTGTGATCCACGACCGACGATGTAGAATGACGTATTTTCCTTTACAATTATCACACCAGAATCAGCGCCAGAGTTTTCTAGAATAATGCCCAGCATCTGTTTCAAAAGAATTTCAAAATTCATCTCGCTTGAGATTACGTGACAGCTCTTTAGAATAGAGGCGATATCGACAATATCCAATGCCAACAGAGCCTCTTCTGGTGAAGTCTGCATACAGTTTACATTAATGTTGTAAAGCATATTTAGTTCCTTTAGTGATAAGTCACCAACGGATTCTCGTTTATCTGTTATCTTTTGTAAACTCTCTGTCTGAATGATGGCGGTCTTGGGTATATCAAAAGGCTGAAGTTCTTGCAATAAGTTTTGATATTTACTTTCAAGTTGTGTTGCACGACCAAACATACCAATATGACGATAGCCAACTATGGCATTTTTCATAAATGATGAAGCAACAGTAGTCAATTCCTTTTCAAAGTAATATTCTCCAGAGAGTTCATACAAGAAGCTTGTTTCAATCGGCCATTTACCATGCTTGGCTTTTCGGATCGCTGCATCAAATAGCTTGTGTGCTACTGTGTCGTTTCCTTCTATGGCGGCGATTTCAGCATCTATGCAATCGACAAACATTTCAAGGTTTTCAGGATGAGCATGGCGTGCCCACTCGGCTAATTTATCTCTAGTGCTCAAGAGCTCTGTCATCAAGTTGTCTTTCTGTAAAGATATCTTTATCAGTCGACATAACGATATACACCGAATAAAATGCATGAGCTGTGTGAGCCTTGATGGAGGTAAAGCATTGGCTTGTTCCATGTGTTCCGAGCTCACCCGAACAGAAGCTTCACTAAAGCCATAGAATCCCAAGATAATTGCCTTCATGGCGTGATAATAGTAAAGGTGAGCTACAGGATTAGAAGACCTTTTAGAAACCTCTTGAAGAAATACTGTTTCTTGAAATTCTTTATCGTCAAAGATGTTATCCTCTGTCAGGTAGGTCTTGCCTTGTACAGCCAAAATGGTACGAATGATCGTGGTCGCCATGATAAAAGCAGCCATAGGTTCTGATAATCCATCTGCGTCTTCTAAGCAGCTTTTGGCTTCCTTCAATGTATCTGCCATATTCTCTCCACTCAGCAGATTGATAAGGATGGTTTGAAGATGAGCAAATGTCGAATAGATGCGATCACCGCCCATTAATGTTTGCTTTGTAGCCATCCTAGCCATGATAACTGATCGTTGATAAGGATATTTCCAACAACTCAGAAAGGCAGCATACAGGTATCGAGCACGACCGGACTCTGAGTTGCCTCCATAATTATTACACAAAGCAACACCGACCTGGCCGATTTGTTCTGCAAACTCATAGGCCTTGAACAGTTGCATAGCCGCAATGCCGAAAAACACAAAACCAACGCCGGTAGTTGGGGTAGTACCATGATTGAGAGTTTCTGATACAAAACGGGAACCTACGGTCAACATCACCTTGACATCATTTCTCCAGTATGCCCATAAACAAATTTCTTCCATAATAGAAAAGCGGGTTCGAATCAGTCTGCTTTCACAAATCGATAGCTTTTGAATACGATCGAATCCTAGCCTAAGCACCTCTGTTTTAGTACTTTCATATAACTCGCGGAGTTCTTGTTCTGTTAGGTTCATCTTGATCTCTTGAACACCCAAGTCGCGAAGACAGTCCAGCAGGATCAACGCACTTTCATTTCCTCCAACTGCTCTAGACCAACGATATCTGTGTTGAATACGATAGGCTGCGGCACGGTCTATGGCAGTTTCTGCATACTGTAAAATTGCGTCCAGATATTTTCGAGTAGGAGCATCGTCCATAAACCAACTGATTTCCGCTAGACGAGTGTATAGATGCAGTGTTTCTATATAGGTGGCATCCTCACCATCATGCCAGGGATTTGAAGCGCTCAAGAGCTCTAAAGCTGCAGAATAGTAGGAAAAGGCAAGCTGGTGGGCACCCGAGTCGAATGCTTTATCACCAGCCTGAATGAGTGTTTTCCTATAGGGCGCTTTCTTTGGATATTGCTTTATCAGATGGATGGCACCTTTAACGTGGTCAGCTACCCAAAACTTATCCAAATTGTCTCTGTGCATAAAATGGGAAGCAATACGCAAGTGATACATGTCCCGGTGTTCGGGTGAGGCTAGCATAGTAGCTGCTTGAGAATATCGATCATGTGTAAACCGAAATTCGTCATTGTTTGCAGGTTGAATGTATCCTTGTTGAAGAGCAGATTGAAGGCCGTTAATAGCGTCAAATTTGTTCTTTTCTTTTGTCCGTTTCATTAAGTTCAGACTGTCATCAGCCATGGTATCTTCTTCAAGTGAACTAGCATCGTCTTCTTCATCGTCTTCATCGTTTATGTCATCGTTTTCGATCATCAAATTTTTGACTGTTTCATAATTGAAGCTATTCCCGATAAAGGAGGCCCATTTCAGAAATTTTCTTCCATCCCGCGGTAACTCTTTTAACCGATGTACTAAAAATTCAATGCTCAGATCGCCACTGCTACTATCATTTATCTCGAGTGCCTTTTCGATCTCTTGTAGATTGTATTCCCATCGCCGCTTTTCCCAAGTGAAATAAATGAGGTTTTTCTTTTCCATGGTTGTTAAAAGCTGTGACACATAGAAAGGGTTACCGTGTGTCTTTTTATGGATAAAGTCTACTAAAGGAGCTAACAGGGCTAGATCAATTTCTTCTTGGCGATGCATCGTCGTCCTGATGAGTTCCATAAGTGCAGGTTGATCCAAGTTTTTAATATGGATAAATGATACAACAGCATCCTGATTCTCTAATAATGTGGACGATTGCTTAGACAGTTGATTGTCACGGTAAGTCAAGATGATTAGGAAATTAAGTTTGGCTGATACAAGTGAATTCAATAATTCAATCGAGGCTTCGTCTATATAAAAAAATATTTCTGTGTTACTTTTGTCTGTGATACAAAAATAAGCTTTTTATAAATTAAACGTGTACCTGCTTCATGCAAATCTTCCAGAAACTTTAAAGAGTGACGTAAGTATGATCCATTTATACAGAAAATACAATGTAACTTACCAAAGTAACAAATTTAAAAGATGCCATTGCTTGAAATATTTGAATGAAAGCTGAATGAAATCGCATCTTGATTTCTTCTCCTACTTCCATGTCATACTCACGTACAGTACTTAGTTCATCTGTTGGTACTCTCTGTAAATAAGGCTGGTTCTTTAAAAAGGAAGCCAATTCAGGAACATTATCAATTAGTAACGTAGGCAGCTGGGACATTGTTTCTGCTCCTAATTGTTCCTTCAACGTGGTAGAAAACCTCTCTATCTCCAAAGGTGTTTCTCCCAACAAATGTTTTAGAAAGATGGATAAGCACCTTAGAATACAGCCATAAGGTGTAGGTTGTCGTTTATCGAATTTAGCAACTGCAATATAACCATAATCGCGAGCAAACTGCTTTACATTTCTCACAAGTGTTGATTTGCCTACACCGGCTCTTCCATGAATGACTATAATCTCTGTTGGTCTCTTTACTCTTTTGCCACCACTGGAGTTATGGACGCGTTTGAATGATGATTCATCTTCAAATGCGGGTACAGGAAGAATGGATAAATTATCAGAAAAAAACTGGCGTCGTTTTACAGTTGATCCGCACATGTATGCTGTTCTTCGGATGATAGAGTTGATTAAGCTCAATTCGGATTTTCTTCCAAAGCAAGGGTTGTTTGGTAAAGTAAAAATACTTGCGATATCAAAGCGACCTAATGGAAAGGACTATTTTATGATGGAAAGGTGGTTAATAGAAGGTTCTGTATTGAAAAATATTATCTACTTTGATTTCATTATTGCTTTCCAACTGCTTTAAGCATTCTTTTAAATCTTGTCTTAAGCCATGTGCACTTGTGTATCTTTCATCAGGAGACTAAAAGAAAGAGATTATTAAGAGACAACATCATCAATAACAGGCGTATACCTTATTTGTTAGTTTTTCAATGATTAACGAAACAGTCTTTGGAACCGTTGGCGCAACTTCGTGTACTAGGGGTAATTTTTTATTTAATACGTGGTGTAAAATCTCCATTAGACTTGAGTTGATAAAAGGCAATTGTTGAGTCAAGATAATGTAAAAGGTGATTCCAAGGCTGTAAAGATCCGTACGATGATCAGGCTGAAATGATGTTCTACCAGTTTGTTCAGGAGACATATAGATTAAACCATTGACATCGTGTCGATTGATTGCCTTTCTCCATCCTTCTGAAGTTAAACTAATTTCCAAACTTCTTGAGCCTGAACCAAAGTTCCATATTTTAACTGATTTCGTATTATTTTTTGGCCATAAAAAGGCATTCAACTTTATTTCTCCATGAATGACTATACAAAGGGTGTTGGTATCTCTGTGCTAATCCATACTGATATTCTTACTAACTTTGATGTTTATGTATCATTTCTAAGCAATTACAGCACTGAATAGCGAAATTTAAGAATGATTTTAATGAAATGTTATTTTGATACTCGTCCAGCAAGTTTTTTCCATAATCCTCAAATATAAATGCAGATAAACCGTTTGGTAAGGTTAATTTGTCGACTGGTTTACATAATAAATCTCTTGAAGAAACTTCTCTATATAATCTCTGTGTGATATGATATTCTCTTTCTAATCTTAATGGCTGGCGTGATAACTTCACTACGACGGGTAATTTATCTCGATTTCTAAATATGTATCAATATACACATTTCATGGAATAAATGGATTAATAATCAACCTTTGTCCATATGCTATTGCCACATTGTCTGTGCCCTCAAGTGTAGTTGGTGTATCAAAAGTGTATCCCGTTAATTTAGTGATAATTTCCATATCTTGTTTATTGAAAGAAACCATCTTTTTGTGCCTTTTTTCATAAAAAAAAAAAAAAAAAGAGAGAGAGAAAAAGAGCAAAAAAATTTTCTTTTTTCTGTCTTGTTTAAACAGACACACACACACGCACACACATACACACACATACATACACATATTATCGAGCAACTCCGATTGAATTTGATGAAGTGATCGTACAAGAATTTCTGCTTACTATCGCAACACGAAATTGACTCCACTCCAATCAGCAGAATTTGATAAAATGAGCCGCTTGTTTACTTTTTTGGTATCAGTCTGTCAATAGTACCACAAGGCTTGTAATATAGATACAAAACAAGCTGTAAAATAGAGTTTTGCACGACAAGAAATATATGTTAATAAGCATTTATCCATGGTTACTTGTGCCTGAAACAAATATTGTATCTATCATTGTATTTGCTATTCTTATAGTAACAATGCATGTATACTTTTGCGTTCTTTATACGTATCCATGACTACAACAGGTATGGAAACGTTCACTGAAAAAGAGAGAAAATGATTACTAAAGGAATTTTTTAAGGTATTAAAAAATGTACTATTATGTATTTGTGCAGCTGAACAGGGGGTATCAAATGTAGATATTCTGAGTATGTTGTAACATTACCAAATGATATTTTGTTTTTCTGCCTTTACTAATCTGTGTTCATTTTCTTTTATTTTAAAAGCATGTTACTTGTAAAATAGGAACTATATTTGAATAAATGGACACGCGGTGTCGATCTTCATTATGGTAATGTAACAATATATCTGAGTTCATCAAGATGAATACAAGAAAAGAAGAGTAATGTACAATAAAATTCATCTCCTATAGCACATATGCTTGATAGTGCATTTCAACAATAATGACATGTCTTTAAACAAAGAGATGACGATAATGATGACTCCTTCTAGTATTCCTGAAGAATGATTTTTGTAAATAGCTTTACAGAACTGTAATTATATTTTTAAGACAATAATAGGCAACGGATTTGTTTACTAGTGGTTATGAAATGCTTAAAGGAATTGCTTTTCTTGATGAAAATCTTTTAAATGATGAACTCACTCATTAATTAGATTTTATTATATTAGAGTATATATTTAAGCACGGTTATTTTGGTTTCTATCTGACACTGATTTTTTCTGCTTCGAAACATAAGATAATGTCCTTTGGTATCTCCATCTGGTATCCAGGCACCTGCAGTACCATAATATTTTCTCTCTTGGCCACAGCTCTTTTATTGAAGGTGTAGAGTCTGTTGAAATAACATGAACTACTGCTTCACAGTAATAGAAAGATTTTGCTGCCTCTTCAATATCTCTATTCTTACGCATATAATATTCGTATAGTTTTTTCCAATGTTCTCTTGTCCATTTTATTCCACTTTGGTAGTCTGTTTCGCTTAGATATGAGTTTCCTCTTGATAATGATGGCAAAGAATGCCGTGAAGGTGAAAGACTGGTTTTTCTTCTTACAAGCTTATTCACTTGACTTTTACGTTCTATTGAAGAAGTTGAAGAAGTAGATTGACTGCTAGAAGACGTTTGTGTTGATTTACTTCGTTGTAGCATATTCTTATTTTTTATAAAGTGTAAGAAAAAGAATAAATTTAAAAAAGGAAGAAAATCTAATTGGTACTCAGTTTGTTATTTGTTTATACCCTTTCTTTCTTCCTTTGCATTAAAATGCTAACAAGACGTTAGTTTATCGTTCATTTGGACTTGATAATATATGTTTAAGTTTAAAACGTATTTCTCTTATACAGTTTATGGCAAATCCCTGCCATAGGAAATCACATTTGCATGCTCCTTGGTGTTCCTTTCAAACTGGGCGGACATCTTGATCCTGAAGAACTTATACTCTTGCCACGATGAAATCATTGTCTCCTATCGGTGTAAGCCCTTCAAGCTTTTTCAAGCTTCTCTCAACCAGGTTCTAAGCCCATATAATTCGACTACAGCTTGCATATGAATTTGCAGTCAACCGCTTTACCTGTACCCAACTAAAAGCCCTCGAAATGTACAGGATGTATGCATTCGCAAGATTTATGGTGCCTCTACCAAAGTGATGCTTCACCTAGCTAAACTGCCACTTATGAGAGAGCAGGCCTACATTTTGCAAGCATAATTTTCCTTCGGATCTCTACATCTACCTATCAATGTATTATTGTATCAATTACTGCCATACATTCAGCATACTCGTAGGCGTCAGTGGTACCTCCTCTTTCAAGGCCCTACTCTACCAAAATATGCTTTCTACAAACGATGATTTTATTAACGTACGCTCAAAGTAGTCCAAAAAATTTTCCTGCTACAAGCGTGATCACATGCGAACAAAGTCAACATTACAAGCTACTCTCAAGCTGCCGTCATCTCGTGTCTTTATATTCTATCTTGTAGCAATCAGTGTCCTATGTAGTACATAGTTACTGTGTAAGCTAAAGCTGCTAAACTGGATTGAATTTACAAAATCGACCAGGTAATAGCATTAGCGTGAAAAACTATTTTTATTGCTTTATTGGGACCGGGATGGTGAATATACTTTTATTAATACTTCGATTAAAACGAATACTTTTATCTTTACAGTTATTTAAAAGCTAAAGATAAATGAAGTTTCTTCGGTTTTTTTTATGTTGACTATTTCGCCGAGAGATTGTCGTTGAACTGATGGCCGTTTTTTTGAGCTTCTGTCTTCTTTTGAGTACACAGTGGGCCTCATGGCTTAACATTACTTGTTTAAGTTGGTCCAGATTCATTACAAGCATTGGGAGTTCTGAAATACATTTTGGTATGTTAAAAGAAAATAATTCTAACCCAATACTGTTTCATATATACTATTTGCTAACCATTTATTTCGTTTTCTTGCTCAAATTTAGGCTGAATGCTGGTGTCCCGGACACGAAATCACAAAGACCAGACGGGAATATGTATCAACGACAAAAGCGAAGGTATGGGTTCTCCGCTGGATATGTTGAAGTGAAACCCAACAAAAGCCGTATAAGGGCCCGAAAGGCTCATGAAGACACTTTGCGCTTGGTTAATTTCTGCAAGGATGCCACTGATAAGTAAAACGCTGAATTAATGGTTGCTGTGTAGGCAGTTGGCTAGTTCGAGGTCAAAATATTTGCTTTTGTACGTTTTTAACCTTTTTTCTTCATAATAGAATGTTATGTGACAATTTACCTTGTGTCTCTTTAGGCACCCGGTCTGTACCTGACAGTACTACTGACCAGCGGAACTGTTTGTTTAATATAGATATGACTTTATAAAGTAACCACCTTGTTATATTTTTATTTTTCAAGGAGAAAGAGATTTTTTATTTATTATTTATTCTAATTTTATGTTGTATAGGAGAATAAGCGCCCGTAGCATTAGTCCACTTTCTGATGCGTGTAGTGTTAGCTATGAAATATTGAGCTGAGACTTGGGTCTAAATATGCCCCTATGAGTTTGGCTTCTCCAATATCGTCTTCAAGTCGCTCTTGTAACGGAAGTTTGTTCAGACTTTTAGATGTAATAATTGAGTATTTTAAAGAAGTTTTAAGGGCTAATCTTATTTGATAAATTACCAATTTATAATAATGTCAATCGACCTATCGTCATCATCACTGGCGTCTTTTGCTATATCATTAACTTGTTGCTTGATCTTTCTTCTCTCTGATTTGGAATTCAATCCCTAAAAGAAAGCCCGTGTCAATCTTGGAACATATACAGAAATGCGCTATTTAGCATCAATTTACCCGTAGCCTGGATGCAATCCTGTTAAAAGTCGCCATCTCCACCTTCAATGTATTTCCGTTTTGTCTGTTGGTGCTAAGCCTTAAGCACAGCTTAACAAAATGGCTATGGTGGTTGCCAACAACGTGCTTAGTATAACAATCTATTACACTGCTTTTGGGGGTAAGCAATTGAGAACCAAACTGTGACGTTGTTTGCATGCTTAGACCATCTGGACTGATGCTTTCATGCCTAGAGAAGTCCTGTAGAAGGCGTATCCAGTTTATATTCGCCAAGTTGTTGTCTGATTGGTAGTGCTGGCTGTGCTGTTGCAAAGGGTTTTGAAAGGACCCCATACTTCGTAGTCCAATTCATCAACGGTATCTACAGAAAGGACATGACTGTTCAATCGCAGAGGCTCTGTAGTACATTGTGTACGTTCTCGATCATGTTCGGCTGCTGATACTACTAGAACATTTCCGGCATTGGTACCAGGATCTTTTCTTGATTTTATAGCTTTCTTGAATTGGCCAATCGTCGTTTCCATATTGAAAGCACTGTAGGATGGCATTGGACCAAGACATTCAATTGTACGCGCTAGGTGTGTCAACATCTGTTGACAAATGCCAAACACCCAGGGAGCCAACTTTTTATCCTTGACGGAAGAGGCAAGCCATGCTGACCATTTGTTGATGTATCTTTTTAAAAGCATAAGATCAGCTTCATCAATCTCTCTTTGGGTCACAATGTTGCATATTTGTGACATGGCTATAAGAGCATTTTTGGCGTCGTTTTCAAAATGGTGCAACATTGTTGCTGACATAGTGTACTTCATAAAATGGATCCAATCTACAGCTCTGTTATATCCGGCCTTGAAAGCAAAATTCTGTAAGCTTCCAGAGAATGAAGTTGGCACAAGATGTGATTTAACCAAGTTAACAACTATATCATATATGGAACTGTTAGTCAATTTCAAGGGGTTGACAAAAGGTGAATCAGTGTCGTAATGGCTAGTCGTCATCAATCGATGCACTTGTGGACCAATGTTACATCCTATAAGGCGCATCAAGTCTATGCCAAGAAAGTCGTCAATCTTTTGGGCATTTCTGTTGCTTTCATGCTGGCCAATAATGCGGTCTCTTGTAAAAAGCGAGAGCTCTTTATGCTTCTGGATAAAGTTGCTTTGAGAACTTATGGAAGACATGTTGGATTGCTTAATAAAACTTTTGAGAAAAGATAAAAAATAGTGGCAAAATTCAGAGTTTCACGCTCATTTATTGACCAGGAGTGTAATGGTGATCTAAAAGTTTTTCTCAACAGCAAATTTAACTAGGGCATAAGAGTAAGATAGACCTGCTCCTCTTCTGTAGCATCAGCGTATTCAGGATTATGTAGGATCAAAGTTGGGTTCTTTAAGGTAACTTTGAGTTTCTTTAATTAAGGATAAAGTTTATTAGCATAATCGTTATGCACTATGACGGGCACCACATTACGGCCTGGGTGATGGATATCCAAGATGTGATTATTATAGAAAAGCATCCGCAGTCAAGACTTAAGTTGTCCAATAAATATACGTGCCTTTTCTGCTAGATAACAATCCTAAAAGGCTTGCGTTCTCCTCTTGGTATTGCTGACATCGTTGTCGTTGTTTCTGCATCAAGTCCTCTTTGGTGCGGCGAACCTATTCAGTGTTATATCAATGTGTACGGTGCTGATGCAAGGTTGGAGAAATCAAGAGAATATTGAGTGTTTATCGCTAAAAGGGCTGTGTATTGACTAGAGGGAGAGTCTTCCTTGTTTAGCTGACATTATAGTTTTAAAGGAGGGATAGATTTAAAAGTTTAATATGTACTCAGTTTGTTATTTGTTTATACCCTTTCTTTCTTCCTTTGCATTAAAATGCTAACAAGACGTTAGCTTATCGTTCATTTGGACTCGATAGTATATGTTTAAGTTTAAAAAGAAATGACTATACATCGAATGATATTACCATTTTAGTGATCGTAGTTGTAGAAACTCTTCAAGTATGACATTCTACATAAGTAAAATGCTTATTATTCAAGAAAAAACCAAAAAACCAAAAAAAAAAAAACAGTCTTTCATAACGTACATGATTTTTATAAAGAACGAAGGAATTATCAATTGTAGTTTCGTTGATGTTTAGGAATTACAGACTCATCCTAATCAAATAGGTACACAAAAAATGAATGTATGCTCATGTTGTTATATAAACATTTATTCATATGAGCTTTTTTACTAAAAACAAAAGGACATGCTGAGGGAGGCTCTTTTCTAAAGTGCCATGTACACATGATAGAGAAATGCCGCATACACACAATACATTTATATCAGAACATCAATTAATGCATTGACTGCAGATAGCGCAAGTGCAGAGATCTGCTGTTATGCTGCAGTTTGTAAAAAAAAAATTGTCATGCAAAGAAAAAAAAAAACTTGTACAAAAGAAGGAGTATTTACCATATTTATTAAAATACGCTTACTGACGAGCAGCAATTTCCTTAGCAGCAAGGGCAGCACGCTTAGCCATCTTGGCGTTAGACTTGGGGCCCATGACACCACCACCCCAGTGACGACGGGTTTCTTCCCACTTGTCAGTGAAGTTGGACTTGACAGCAGAGACGACAGTAGCCAATTCAGCCTTATCAGCATCAGAGACTTCAGTCAAGGCAACGGCAGTAGCAGTCTTCTTGTGGACAAGAGTACCGAGACGAGCCTTACCCTTGACAATACAGTAAGGGACACCCATCTTACGGCAGAGAGCAGGAAGCCAGAGAACCAATTCAATAGGGTCAACATCGTCAGCAATGACAACCAATTGAGCCTTCTTGTTTTCAATCAAGGCAGTGATGTGGTTGATACCGTACTTGACAACGAGAGGCTTGTCAGTCTTGGGAACTTCCTTCTTTTCAGCCTTGGCGGCAGCAATAGCACGGAGACGTTCGCGCTTTTCTTGCTTGCTTTCAGGTCTGTACTTGTGCAACAACTTGAAGAGTTGAGTGGCAGTGTTCTTGTCCAAAACTTGAGTGAATTGGTTGAGAGCAGGAGGGACCTTGAGACGTTGGTACAAGATCTTCTTTTGGCGTTGAAGACGGACATAGTGAGGCCACTTGACGAAGCGGGTAACATCACGCTTGGGTTGAACATCCTGACCTATTTAAAAATGAGTTTTCTTGTTTTATAATTATTCGAATTACACAACGTACCAATGCCAAAGTTCTTGGGAGTCTTTTCAATTAAAGGGTTGGCAGCAGCCTTGGTGGTTTGCTTTCCCTTGATAGGGTAAGGAGCAGGAGCGACCTTCTTACCGGTAGACTTCTTGGCAGGAGCCTAAGGGCAATCATATGTTAATTCATCCATCCATCTGTTATTTTCAACTGTTTACCATTTCCAAAAGATATATAAAAAGAGAGGAGGGTCATGTCTGCAGGATGGATGGTTCCCTTTACAGAGTGAACTCTAGGGCTTCCTGCATAAGGTCAGGGCCAATACCAAAAAAGGAAAATTACATTCGGCCCGGGCAGACATCGTGCCCAAACACAATTCCAATATGAGTAATCTTGATTTATCTGCATAAAACTTATCATTTAAACTAAAAGTGCCTGAAAATAAAAAAGAAAGCCTTGTGTGCGTCTGGACACGCTTCCGAATGAGAGGCCATGGATCATTTACTCCTTCAAAGGGCCATCATATGACTTATAGCTTGGAGCGATCATTCTGTTTTGACTCTGCATCTTTTTGGTGATCTTAAAATCTAAACATTACACACGCTTTGCTGTAACTCTTAAAACTTTCTGAATGTCTTTCCAAACAAAAACAAAAAAAAGAATTTATTTGTGAAATATCATATAGAATTTAGGTTAAAGAAAACTGTAACAAACAAAAACAATAAAAAGGCAGCCTTATTTAAAAAACGTATAACATAAAACACAAAAGAGGGGTGAGCATAGATCATATGTGACATAACATATAAACGAAAGAAGAAAGAGGTGCTAAAAGAATAGCGTTGGGGATGTTGTTACTACCGCTAGTGGATCGAAGATGAATTCTTCCTTTAACGAAGGTGAATGAGTAGGTGAAAAATAAGAGGAATCTGTAGAAGTGATGGTAGTTGAAGATTCATTATCAAGGAATGAAAGCAGTTGATCAACATGGAACTCTATAGGTGGAGTAGGATCGAGATAATGCTGTACAAGTTGTTCTAGCTCACAGGCTGGGAGAGATGTTGGGTTAGCCTGTTTTAACAAGTGAATGTGTTTAGAGGAAGAAATGATTGAATTGAAATGAATGAATGAAGTTGCAAATGTAAGTGAAAGAAAAAATAGGTTGAAAGTGTATACAGTCTGATCCGTATCCATCATTTGTTCGGTAATATATAGGATCGTGTTGGCTGCTGTTATACAGATACTATGGCTAAGATGATGTTGATGACGTTGGTAGAGTACCATCTGTACTGTATAATATAATATACGGTATAGTTTTGTCATAGCCGATGAGGTCTTGGTATAATCGAGATATGAAGGAAGGTTGAGTAACCACTCGGTCAGGTTAGTCTCCAATGTCTGTAATGACATGTTGCCCTGATGGATATCCTTGAGGATGATGGATAATTTTATCATCTGATGAAATGCTTGAATAGTGCTATGGTTATCATCTGTTGATGATAATGAGGATGGTGACAGAAAAGGGTCATTGAGTTGGTTGTCTTCCAATTGTGGCCAAGGATATTGCCATTCCTTTAGTATACGTTCACCTAAGGTACAGGAAGTCAACCATTGATCGATCACCCAGGCAACCCAGTAGGCACGTCTTTTAGATTCCAATATAAAGGGAGTGTCATCCTGAATGAATTGTAACCAGTCTATCATATGTGCGAGTTGACGACGAAGTAAATCACATTGTTGTAAATCACCCGTCAAATGGGTATACCAACACATGATAATGAGAGCCTAAGAATAGAAAGAAAAGAATAAATGGAACGGTTCGGAACGTGTCAATGATCTCTATTACTTGTACTGTCGAAAGAGCACAATGTGTTGCTGAATCATGCAGGATGGATTGAGTTCTTTGAAAGAGGAGTGAATGATGATCGGATGAAGCATATAATGCACCTAGTGCGCATGTTGCATATTTCAAAAGTGGCTCTTGATCCTTTTTGTTAAAATGATCTTTAGAAAGTAATGGAAACATGTAATTAAAATGGTCAAAATAAAATTCGGACCAAGTATCGGGAAAGTGATCGTGATGAAAATCGGATAACATGTCATTGCTGCCCTAGAGGTATTCATAAAAGAATGGACCTTATCAGCGTTCTGTGTCAATAGAGAGATGATAACGTACGTTTATTTTCTTGCGTTGGACTTCTTCTGCTATCAAACAGAGTAATGTGTTTACAGGAATATCAAAGCTTTCTATTTTAAAAAAAAAGTTAGCTGTTTAATCTATGAATTAAAAATAACATGTACGAGTGTAATCCAAAGTATTGTATTTTTGTTGTTGAAGTAATAATGACTCGATACGATGTTTACGATTCTCAATGACTTCAATTCGTACTTTGGGTGGACCTCGTTTCTTTGGAGGATCAGTATATTGACATTCAACTCCATTCGATTGACACCTTGAGCAACTTGGTTGAACTCCATCACATTTTACTTTCTTTTTACGACAAACAATACATGCAAGCGTCACCTTGACACGTTTACGTGAAGATATCTTTGCCATTAAAGAAAGAAAATAAAAAAGGGATAAAGAAAGAAGAAGAAGCGAAAGAAAAAAAGAAAAAGAAAATAAATAATAGTAAAATAAGGGGTAAACAAGTAAGGTTGACCTATGAAATAAAAGTGTGGGGAAACTGCATTGATTGGTTACATTATTGTCATTTTTAGTTACATGCACCTTTTTCTTATTGTAAATAATATCAGGGGCGGGATTGTTTTGTTTATTCCCTTTATTCTTTGCATTCCAACATAAACAATTGGAATCAGTCTATATTTCAAACTGTATGTTACTTTTTTTCTTTTTTCCGCCATAAAGGTTATATATATGTAGGGTAATAGGAGAGCAACACTTCCGTTCCATCCCCCTTGAAAAACTCCCCTCTCTCTCTTTGTATAAATAGATTCTATATATTTTATTTATTACGAGCATAATATTCATAGGCAAGTGCGTGATATTCAGGAGGATAAGGTGAAGGAATTTCCGTACGACCTGGTCTTGAAATAGGTGATCTTAGAAAAACGGTCTGACAAGTATTATAATTCACTTCAAGATATTCAGGCACAAATAAAAATGGTTGGGAGAATGGCTTTGGTGTAAAGTCTAACTCTGTTCCTTTTTCTCCTTTTAAAAATTGAATAGCGCTGGGATCAACTGATATGACATCTCCATCTTTTAATTTATGAGAAGGGAAAGCCATCTAGGGATGATATAAGTCATACTATAGAGTCATATTCTATTGAATACTTGCCTTTTTGCCATTCACTTGCACTTTACCATGAACACATAATTGACGAGCAGCATAGATTGAGGGGCAAAAGTTGCTTCGAAAGACAACAAAATCTAAGCGACGTTCCAAGTTGGCATATAAAAGTGAAGCAACAGGTGGGTGATCAGAAGCAAGAACGGTAGGTAGCTTGGGATCAAAGAATTTGTTTTTGAATTGACGTTCTGTTAGTTCATCACCATGGTAAGCACGGGTTTCTCTTTTTGACAGCCATTTTTGTTGAAATAAGGTCTTTACATCCATATAAGCCAACTGTTTAGTGGCAATATTGAACAAGTTGTATTTGTTCCATGACATGCGTGCTAACTTTCTGGTTAATGAATAAATTGGTTTCTTCATGATCAATAAAGCAAAAAAAAGAATGAACTAGGGTAGGTTTGACATTTTTACTTTTTAAAAAATATTCAATCTCCGGTGACAGTCTTTTTCTTTTGTTAAAGAGTGGCTGCTTGATGAATTAGGAGAAAAAGGGGAAAGGATTGAATATAAAAAGAACTTGACTTTCATTTTTTTATTATAATTATCCTTTTTCTCTTTACAATGATAACCACTCATTCTTTAATTAACTATACACGCATAACTACACTTGTACTATCTATCCTCATTGTCATCACTTCACTATTTAAATATAACAATTCAAGTATGCCTGTTTCGACCATGTTAGAGCCTATAAAACAAGGAAGAGATATGGTTCATGATATTATACAAGATAGAAGGCTGATCGCTACCTTGGTTGCTTCTCAAGCATCCATATTTTGTCCTTTATTTTTACTATTAAATCATTCAGTAGCGCTCAATTTATCATCAGCGGTCATCATTGAGCAGTTATTTCAATGTCTTATGCCTATTGGTCTAGTCATCAGTTGGTACTTTTGCATCACATTCGATCAACATATCAAATTGGTAATAGATCTAAAGGACAACTGGCTGGACATTGCTCCAAAATATGTCATCGTGGGTGTACTTGTTATTGAAATTATACTAATCGTCACTGCTTCCTTCAAGTACTTTTATATCATCTATAAGGAAGGCGCTATTCAATTACCATATGAAGAAGAGAAGGAATGCATCCCTGTTTATATCACAGACAAGGTTTAATTTATGCAAATTGATGAATGTGCCTTGACTTTAATTCATTGTAATTATTATATTAAAGCTGCATATTGTTAATAATATGCTAATAATAAATATCAGATTAATATTCTGTAATTAACTTGTTATAAGTTATTTTGTTTCCTTTTACCAGCAATATTTGTTTCATATTGACTTGGTTCCTTTGCTATTGCCATTGTTTCATACAGTAAATTGTTTCTTGGCATACATTGTTTGATTTTATTTTTATCCAAGCATTAAGGGAATAAGACAAGTGCAGATAAAGAAAAAAAGGACGAGTTTTATTTTAGCGTCTTGATCTTTTAGAAGGACGTCTTGAGCTAGATCGGGAACGGGAAGGTGTAGAAGAGCGGGAACGATAACGAGAACGAGAGGGTGGGGAGTGCGAACGATAACGCTGTCGAGGGGGTGTGCGAGAACGAGAGCGGTAAGCGGAACGAGGTGTACGCGAACGTGAAGGTGTACGGGATCGAGAAGGCGTACGAGAGCGAAAGCGATATCGGGTACGAGGAGGAGTACGAGAACGAGAGCGAGAATGAGAACTAGAGTAGCTGTCGCTATCACTTTCACTGTCACTGCTACTATCACTGCTGGAGCCACTATCATCACTATCGCTACCACTGCTACTGCTGTCACTGCTGTCACTGCTATCGCTTCCTGAGCTACTGTCACTGCTGTCTCTTCGCTTCATGATCTGCTTGGGTGCATTTCTCAACCATTCGCGCAAATCTTCAGTCAATGCACCAAGACCAATACTTGTCCAGTAATTGATAGCAAAACGAGTGTTCTTCGGATTATCCTTGGGGAACATGCCAGAAAATGGCTCTTGCATGAAGGGATCAAGCATACGTTCCTTGAGAACTTTAAGCCCAATAAACTCGTTAATTTCTTGAAAGAGAATCTTTACAAAAATACGAGAAGCAGATGTAGTGTCTTCTTCATTTAGTTTAATAATCTGGAATGCTGTCCATGGTAGTGCATCCGTGTTGAATAAGTGTGCAAAGAGTTTAGCAATGTTGCGAAGTCTGTTTGTTTCGTAACGGTGAATTGTATTATACACTTCTTCAAAGCATTGAACAAAGTTGTCTACCCAAATACGGTTGAGCTTACAGAAGCGTTCTGCCATTAAACCATAGTATTTAAGATATGTACGCTCTTGAGAGCAACATTCAATTATCATGTTACAAAGCTCAATCTTGAAAGATAAAGTCAATATAAAATATGATAACATATATATCTTTGACTTACCTCATGTCCTTCTGGCACATGTAGCTTCATCAACTTGTGGCAAGCTTCTTCAAAATTGACACTGGACATTACTGTTAAATATATCTTTCGACGTAATTCAATCAAATCTGCGTTTGTTTTATCTACAATTTCCATTGCCTCTTCGTCTTCTTCTGACTCTTCTTCACTTTCATCACTTCCAGATGTTCCACTTTCATCTTCAGACTCGTCATCACCCAAAATTTCAGCCTTGATCGCACTGTATTTTTCTTCGTTTTCAGTATAATCAGGATCAAATTTGAATATATTCAACATATCTTCAGGGTCAAGATCTTCATCATCTAAACTGATATTATGGGTAATCTGATCCTCTTCTTCCACTAAATCAAGCTCTTTAATGATTGGTGGGTTGTCTTTGTATTTATCCTTTCGAACTTGGAATAACACTTCAATCATGTATTGAATACGTTTATCTATTTCGCCTTCGTGTAAAACAGCTCTGAATCTTTCATAAATGGCATTGTTGGCCTTGGGAGACACGTTGGCTAAATGTGCACCCACTTCTCTCATAAAGCCGACTGCAATCTCTACTGAATCATCTGTAGGTCGTTCGAGCAAAAGTGCCAGGATCTGAAGTGCCAAGATTTCATGAGCAACCAACTGATTTGTCAAATGAGCAATAAAAGTGGTTGTTGCCAAACAAGAAGTCTATACAAAAAAGAGATTAGCAGATGCGTGCAACAATTAAATTTAATATGTTACCTTGTCATTACGTCTGAATGCTCTTCTAAATTGAACAACTAAGCGAGACAAGAGCAATGCTCCTACAGCTGGTAATTTCGTATTTACAACTGCTGTTACTGCAGCATAGACAGGTGTGAATGGTAAACTTGCTGTTTGTGCTTTCATTATACTTCTGCAGTACAATCCTCGTCCACGAACAAGGTTTTCAGCAAAGAGTTCTGGTATAATCATCTTTATGTTGGATGTATTCACTTTATTGATCAGGCCATTGATCGACTTCTTCAAAGCTTCCCAGGTAATGCGTTGATAAGCTTCACTGCTAGTATCTTTTATTGATTGTTGCATTTGACGCATGCGATGAGGAGGAATGTAGGCACCTCCTGCACGTGTCGTAAATCTAAGGGAATCTACTTCATCTGTTTTGTTTGTGTGCACTATTGTCTCTACTTCACTAGACATTGCTGTTGTAGATCCAAAAAAGAAAAAGGTTCAAAGTGTGTCTGCGGCAATGCATTTATTGAAACTAGCCAATAAGGTTAAATCCAAGTATTATCCAATCATTTTTTATATAAAGTATATTATACTAAAGATCCAGGTACCATGATATCACTCATGAAGGGGTTAATATGATAAGTCTTTATTAAATCAATCAGTATTAATATCATTGAATGTTTTCCAAGGATCGCCAAGCGGTTCAGAGCTCGTAGCTGTCGTAGACGTACTTGTCACTCTACTTGCGGTGGAAGTAGTAGTAGTAGTAGTAGGAAAAGGTCCGTCCCGTTCGTCATAATACTGCCACAGACCACAATCTTCACAGTCCTGTTCTTCAACACATTCTGGCATGGGAAATTCATCAGGCTTCAGTAGAATCGCTTCAATCATGTCCTTTATTCTATGGGATCGGATGTCCACTCGCCATCCATTGTCTTTAACCGTATCCCATACACATACCTACTTAATGTTTAACATTGGAAAGAGTGAAATAAAAATGTCATTTACCTTTGATGTATGACATCTTGATTCCATAGCATATCCTCCATACCAACAACTACTTGATGGTCCCTTTTTGAAAACAATGGTTAATTATATACAAATCTACTCAAAAGGAAACTTACAGTGCAGACGCCCACAAAGATAGGATCAGCCGTATGACCAAAATGCCATATAGGTAATTTCACTCCTCGTCCTTGGGGTAAATGTAGCCTGCTAGACGCCAATCGATCTCCTGGCGCTTCAAACGTGACTGTGGGCACTCCATAGGTTTGACCAACCAGACTAGATAATGCTCCACCAAGCGAATGTCCAGTAATCCAGATGGTACTGTTCGGGTATGTATTAGCAACCTCGGAATAAAGAGCCTATTTAGAACAAGGGGATAAGAAAGAGCATTATTATACATACTGGTTGACCTTACGAGTGCATTATCATAATAAAGCTCTGAATCGGATATCTTCTTTTGAAGGCAGCTGTTTTCGCAAACATACTCGTTATTCTTGTAGCAATCACAAACAGGCGTCCAGGCTCTGCTTATTCTCGCGCAACAACATGAAAACAAGGCGTTATCCTGCAACCAAAAGAAGTGATTAAAAAGAGTATACTCAATTTATAAATGCTTATTTTACATTCAATTTATCCCTCTCTCCTGTAGGTCCTCCTGTCCATAGACCGGCACTTGTGCCTTTGATACTAATGACGATTAAGGAATTGTCTTCATTTCCAAAAATATGTCCCCGAATGCCATCTGATTCCCAGCCAAACGAGTTATTCTATATATTTTCAGTTTATCTTGTATCATAAGGGAAAACTGGATATACTTACTACTCGCCAGGTTGGGCCTAGGTCATACCAGTCTGTCTCGTTCAGGTTGATATCCAGATAGGCATTATTAGTCATTTGTGCTAGTGCCAAGACAGTTGGTCTGTGTGTTACGTCAGGTACACTATCGATTGAAGACTCTAGATATATTGGACGAAAGCGGTTACGCCACCTGTGGTTGGATGCTGAGAATTCTACGATATCTGCAACTGCTGGTTTGTCTACTACTTGAAGTGTGGATCGAAGTGGGTATTCATAGTCTTGAGTACTCATAATGTTCACATGGGATTTAATGTCATATCGTCTAAATAGTTTGGGTATGGGCCCATTAGCAGAGGCATGGTGATAAATATGTTTGAGCTTTAAGGTATGGTCTTTTGCTGTTCTTGTCGTAGGTGTAAAAATATGTTGGTAACTGAAGCAAGTGGTAAATGTGAATAGGGTGAAGCAGCAGAATAAAAACAACATGATGCTATGAATTGAGCAATGAATGCATAGTCAACTAGAGAGAAAAACTCGTAGTATGAACTTTTGATAAGAAAAATGCGCGACCCCGCTTGTCACGTGAATAAACCTATGAACAAATGATGTTTATGCTGTACGACAATCACTGTCCAATAGAGTTGATCATCAGGAACGAATGTACACAACGTCTATTTTATTTAACTGTATAAAAGCCACAGTTGAGCACAGTAACTACTCTCATTATATATAGTCAAAATGTATAAAGGTTTAAGGAAATAGAGTTTATTTCAAGATATAAAAGACATTGTAACTTAAGCAGCAGGAGAGCCAGCCTTTGCATAAGCAGCAGTGATCAAAGAGGCATGGGACCAAGTCAAATCTCTGGCACCAGTGGACATACCAGTAGAGCGATCATACTCCTCAGACAAAGAGCCATTGTTATAGGCATGGAACTTGACAGTGGACAAGAAGCGATCAGCACCCAAGGCAATGTTTTGAGCAAGGTTGTTAAAGTCAGAAGTGCCAGCAGTGTAAGTCTTTCCAGAAGTAGCAGAGGAGTCGAATTTCTTAAAGAAGGGCAAGCTGATGTTGCTCACAGTAACCTTACCATTGCTGATCCATTCCTTGATGGCACGGTAGTAGAGCTCAGCGTAGGCATTGACAGCTAAGAACCATGGGTTACCTTGAGAGTTACCATTACCGTTGTATGTGTCTTCAGGATATCTTCCAATAGAGTTACCGAGGTATGAGGGAAGGTTAGAGTTGATGGGATACAATGAAGCAAAGGCATTTTCAAGAGCGACAGCAGTAGCAAGGATCTAGATAAAATCACGTTTACAATCTATGAAATATTGAGCGACTTTTTGCAAATACCTTTTCAGAACCAGGAGTGAAAAAACCATCTGGAAGACTACCAATGTTTGCAGCCAGCAGAGTAGAAACATCCAAACCCTTCTTGCTGACACCAGCAGTAACGCTTTGACTGACTTGAACATAGTTGTTGGAGTCACTCCAGAAACTGGATATCTTAGATTCCATTGTGGAAGCAGTGTTCTTGTAGGTAGAAGCACGAGAAGAGTCACCATTACGAGCAGCAAAATCAGCACCAAGAATCAAACCCTTGCGCATAACCATCAAAGTGTAGAAATGAACACCATTAACCTCTTCCCACAAGTCATAACATCCATTTGACCATACGCTAACAACATAATCCAAATCCTTAAAGATAGCTGGCTTTAAGGTACCGGTAACATAGGAAGCGTCCTTTGTTTGAGTAAGGTAGCTGTCAGCAATCAGCATAAAAGTAACAGCACGCTCAGCAGGTCCATCGTTTTGGGGCCTTCCCCATGGACCAGTGTAGCTAGAGCCATCAGCGTTGAATTTGGGTTCACCAAGGCAGTTACAGACAGTAGAAACGGATTGGGACTTGACAGAGAATGTGACGTAGTCCTTGAGGTATTTCAAAAGGGTGGTGTTACCAGCGAAGGTGGTGTTGTATTCATATGCGATCACATTGGCTGTCAATGCAGAATCACGGGTCCAAGAATAGTAGTAGTCTGGTCCAGCGGTAGATAAAGAAGCGGCAATAAATCCTGTGGCACTTCCGGGAGGATTGATGTTACGAAGCATGGCAAAACGGCTAATTTCTTCTTGGTTCTTAATCCAAGATGAGATAGTAGAGTTACCAGTGGGGAAAGAGACGGAGGCAGTGCTTGTTGGGCCAGTGCTAGTGGTAGTAGTGCTGGTGGATGTAGTAGTAGTAGCAGTAGCAGTAGTAGAGGTAGCGCTTGTTGCTTGGACTATTTGATAGGTCAGTAAAGAAATGCTATTGCTTAAGCATATGCTTACCTTGATAATTCTTCGTACCGTTGTTGTCATAGTAGGTAGAGCCACTTACTTCATACTATCAAAGGTCGCGTTAGTATACACAATAAATAGAGAGAAAAAAAAAGAATTACCTTGACGTAGAATTGCTTGATACCACTCAACTTGGCAGAGAATGTCCAGTATTCGTAATTTGAACCAGAGATAGCTTCAGAGTAAGCAGCAGAAATCTTGTTATTGTTGTTGTTCCAGTTATCAGAGCCATCAGAATAAATGACAGTGACTACCTTTGAGTAGGCGATGTTTTTAACCTAATTGACGAGATCAGTTTCTCTCTTTTTCTTTAAATGAGATCAATTAGCCTTACAAAGATACGACCAGAGAAGGTAGTGCCATCATATTTGTAAGATTCAACCTGTACAGCAGCACTAGTAGGGACTGCAGCAGAAGAGACCAACAAAGAAAAGTAGGAGAGAATAAAGAAGACACAGGTCTTCATCGACGAGTTCATTAACTTCATTATTCAAATAATTGAACTGTGTTGTAAGTCTTTGAATTGAAAAAGTCAGGGTATATTTATATGTCTTGAAAGGTAAGACAATGACAGTATAATGGATTGATTGTTATACAAGATAAATAAACTGGGGAACATATTCAGCCGTATTCCAGATCATTCAGCTTGCTACACAATTCATGTAAAGCAACAGGGAAATAGCATGTAAAAAGAGGAAACAATGCTATTTCCATGGAAACATAATCAAATATGGAAATAATGAATTGTCAAAGGAAACTGAATAAATGAAGAGTAACCGGGAAAGAGAAGGATCAATGTGTGCAATGTTGAACAAAGGAACAGGGTAAATGCTGAATGAATTTGTGTCTACATTTTCATCTCGTTGCTGTGAGCAATGCAGGGTCCTAAGTCACATCAATTCAAACTACGAACTGTGTACCCTTTTCTTTTTTTTCGAAACCTTTCTCCTCATTAGCAGAATGACAATGTCGATTGCTGATATTTTTGAAGAATATGTAGAAAGTTAGTTAAAATATATTATAAAGTTGGCCCTCTTGTAATAAACTCTCTAGTCTCTCTTTAGGCTTACAGAATTTACCTCTTGAAATTGACCAAAACATGCATGAACTAAGGCGAATGGATGAGGAATTTCAACGTATGACCTCTATTTTTCCCAAGGGAGGTGTGACATCAATTCAATATTAATAATAACTTTAATAGGATTCAGAGAAACTTACACAAAACACAAAAAGATGTACACTAAATTATGTAAAGCAGCCAATTGGATGCCCAGTAATAACTTGGCTGCATCAAAGAGCCAATTAGATAAAGAATATAGCTTGGCTATACAAAAACAAGATCAAAAGATAGATTTGACTAAAAAGATGTATGACCTCGTTTCAAGGCATATTGAACGTATTGACTCACAAATGGCCAAGAGTGACACGGGTAAGGATTGGATGGGAGTAGGACGAAGGACTGATGACAACGATGGTTGGAAATTGGGTGGTACTCGTAAACGGATGTTGCCTCATTCACATAGAAAAAGGTTATTATTGGTCCTTAAAACTACTTCTTTGATCTAACCATTTTCATCATTTAGAGGATTTGATGAGCAGCACGGCCTCTTCTCAGAATTGGAAATTGATCCAAATGAACCCAAGTATTGCTACTGTAATCAAGTATCCTTTGGTGACATGGTTGCTTGCGATGGTGAAAATGTAGGGATAAATGTTTAGGCTGTATAAAGTATTAAAGTTAATATTCATTAGTGTGAAAAAGAGTGGTTCCATTATGCCTGTGTGGGTCTAGATGAACCACCTGTAGGCAAATGGTACTGTAATGACTGTGCAGCAGCAGAAGGTTATCGAAAAAAATTGAAGAGATACTCTGAAGATATCTATTAACCCAATACCCTTTTATATACGAGAAGTTTTTTTTTATTGTAAATATACACTTTTTTCAGAATCATTGCTTAAATACTTTGATCTTTTGTCATATTTCCTTTCTCTACTTAATTCAATCTTGGACAGTAGACGATATCAGATATTAGTAGTCGTCGCAATTCGATATGTACTTGGGGCGTACTCTCATTTTATTAGTTTCTTGGCGTAATATCAGTAACTGTGAGCTATCCAATCTTTTCTACTCTAATCAAGATATAAAAATATCACAAACCGCTGATCCGGGTAGTAATGAAGTAACGGTAGCACTTGATCTTTTCTGCTCTTACCGCGGATGCTTAGTCGAAATCAGTTTTACCATGGTACAACTGTTCTGGTGCATGTAGCATTGAGCATATCACCAACTATCGCTATGATCAGGAGAGGGCAAAACCAGAAAGGGCCGAAGGACGGAGAAGACGCACGAATGTCAGGGTCGTTCGAGGTTGATGACACCATATTCCAAATGAATCATGGGAGAGGATACGCCACTGATGCTCTCTAGTGTCGCAAATGTAGGACAGTAGGCAGTCAAACAGTACATCTCCTGATAAAAATGCAAAGAACAAAAGAGAGATTGTAGTCATAGTATACTAATATGGTGCAGCTTGAATATATGAATCATTACTTTAATGACTTCGTGCGCAGTAGATCCTTTTAATACAAGTTCTTGAACATTTTCAGTAAGAAGAACTCGCCTACAATTCCTTAATATAATCTTAAACAATGATACTTTTCTCGCAAATTCTAGTCAACAACTTCTTTAGATCCAATCCTTTGGTTGCCAATGGCAAGAACAAGGAAGAAACCTATGCGTGTTGGCCAAACCACTCCTTGTCCTCAACACTCCCTCACGCCTTTTTTCTTTTTTCCTTCGTTTTCATTTTTTTCATTGGTTTCTTTTTCTTTTTCTTTTTTTTACAAAAGAGCTTTTAAGCAAAAAGAATACTTTTGGGGTCAAAGTAAGCTGATTTCAAGTCAGGATGTGTCGAAATCCTGCGGATTACCTGTAAGTAGCAAGAGACGCACTTTTACTTTTTGCTTCTTTTCGTTACTTTCTTTCTGTCATCAAAGTACAGTGGTAAATGCAAGAAGAATGTCTTTTTCCAATTGAATGGTGTACTGATAGTTGGAAACACAACAAAGGAAAAGGAGAAAACCAAATGAATAAAAAAGAAATGAAAAGAGAACTCCTGTGGAGACCCTTCAAAACGATGTTATTCCACAGCTTTTCATTCAAGACAAGTGCCCCTATCAGAACAAGGCAATAGCCATTAAAGAATACAAGAGGCAGTTGATCTTGCAGTCAATTCTGAAAAAACCTCCTTCTCTCGATGGTCAAAAATGATCATTAATGTAAACTTTAGTGTAAGTTTTTTCTTCCTAAATGACGTATTTTTTGACGATAAAAACGTTTGCATAAAAGCACTTTAGCAATTTTGTGAAGTATGTGTCTAATGTTCTTATTTAGGTGCTACAAAGCAGCAACGTCAATGACGAGCCTTTGGCTCAACTTTAGTTTGCTAGCAAAGCAGAGCTTGGTTCTCGGTAGAGAAATGTGGCCGCCCATCATGCCAGTTGGATCCAGCGTACAACATCCTCTTCCAGGCAAAAGAAAAAATAGCAAACAAGCAGCAAGTTCTGTCGTAGCAGCAGAAATTGACACGTTCGAAGAAAGTGATAGCGTGCAAATTGAGGGGCTGGAGGAGTCCATCGCGACTTGGGTTGGCAGAAAAGGAAGAGCCACTGCTGTGGTTGACAGAAAGACAAGATACTTCAACACTCTAAGAATGAATGGCATACTGGACCTGTTTGACGCTTTTGAAAGCTTTCAGCTATCAAACTTTTCCGTTGAAACACAAGAGAAAATCAGACAACTACAATTTATTGCTTCCATAATGATTTTTTATTTTTAAACGTACAAGAGCCTTTTTTATTTTTATTCTTCTATGAATCTAGTTTTTATTACCATTATCGTCCTTTTTCTTATCATCTTCATCATTGCAAATCTTGTCTTTAATTTTACCAAACGCGTTCTTAAAGAATCCACCGTCATTCTTTTTATTATCATCATTGTCATCTTGAGGTGACATCTTGGGTGATGGTGGTGGTGTGTCTGGTGAAGGATTAGAGTTTCGAATGGGGTTATCCTTTGGTCTGTATTCTTCATCTACTAAGCTAGCATATTCTTCAATAATCTCCTTTTGTCTTCCCCGCAGACTTCTCGGGAGTTCAACTTTTAATGTTACAATCTGATCACCACGCGTGGTTCCACGGAATCTTTGTATACCGCGGCCTCTCAAGGCTATATTATCTCCGGGCTGGGAGCCAGATGGGATTTTTAATTCTACATCTCCGTCTATGGTGGGAATACGGACACGACCACCAAGCATTGCCTTGTAGAAAGGAATCTTTGCGTCCACAAATACATCAGAGTCTTGTCTGCGGAATATCTTGGATGGTTGGATCTACATCACATACATCACATATTTTCATGAGCATCAATTCTGTTATTTTGTTTTTGGTTGGACTTACATTGAGTGTCACAAACAGATCACCGCTAGGTCCTTTTCCTTTCAATGGAGCATCACCTTCGCCAGAAACTCTAATTCGCGAGTTTTGATCGACACCAGGTGGAATTGTCACTTGGACTGTCTTACGTTCTCTAACCTTACCCATACTGTTACATGCAGGGCATCCACAGCCTGGAGGAATAGAGGAGCCTTCGCCACCACAGGCTTGACAAGTTGTCTGCATACCAAATCCGCCACCCATCATGATTGTCTGAACACCAACACCGTGACAGACCTTACATGTCTCCTTGCTCTTGCCAGGTCTGACACCACTTCCCCGACAGGACTGACAGTCTGTCACTCGATTCACTTGGACATACTTTGTTGCACCCTTGACGGCTTCCATAAATGAGAGCGTCAAAGGAATTTGAATATCATCGCCGGCTGAGGGCCTACCAAACGGATCGCCTCCAGCAGCAGCACCACCAAAGCCTCCACCAAAGAACTGACTAAAGATGTCATTAGGATCGAATCCACCGGGGAATCCGCTTCCATGAAATCCAGCGCCTGGGCCTCCTCCCATACCTCCTCCATCAAATCCATGTCCAAACTGATCGTATTGTTTACGTTTTTCGTCATCAGATAATATCTCATATGCTTCTTGGATTTGGACAAACTTTTCTCGAGCGTCTTTGTCCTTGTTGGTATCTGGGTGATATTTTTTGGCAAGCTATGATTGATGTTACCATCCTTGTTTTCTTTCTACAACATGACAACTTACTGCATAGTATGCTTTTTTGATCTCACTGGCTGTTGCATTCTTCTTTACGCCCAATACTTCATAAGGATCGCGTTTTGCAGAGGAAGGTGCTGATTAAACGTGTCAGCGGTCTTTTTGCATAATTATATAAATCTCATAATTTTTTACCTGTTGCATGAAAGCATCGCTAACGAGAGTTTGAACTGTTTTAGTCTCAAGTAGCATTCATATAAACATCAACTTACTTTTTGGTACATGGCAGGAAACGCACCACCTATGGCATAGTGTGATTCTAAACAATGTTAGCAAAAAAAAAAAGCTGTCAAATATATGACTCACGGTTTCGAACTGTGCTTATAAATTGCTTTGTTAAGGGTCGATTCACAAACTCATGTCTTCTTTTCAGAGTTGCTGTCAAAAATATCGAAGCTCTTCTCCAACTCACTCGAGAAGCCATTGCGTAGTAATTAAAGAAAGTGAGAGAAAAAAAGAAAAAGTGTCGGAGAGAAAAAAGTGAATACCAGGGGCTTCAGAAAACAATAGAAGCAAAGATTTTTATTAAAAGTTGTTTCTGGAAAGATGATCTCTTTCATGACTCTCATTATCATCTTCATCTTCCTCATCTAGTTCGGTTAGTGGTTGAAGCACGTCGAATTCATATCCATCTGGTCTTGGTTGTTGTCTGTCGATGGGATCAGGTAGATGCCAGCTGTCACGTTTGTAAAAGTAAATACCAACAGCTACACCAAAGATACCCATGGATCCAAAGACAGCATATACAACAGTTAGGTATTCACCAGGGCTTTCTATCTGATCAGAAGACAGTTGATCTTCTTCATCAGGATTAGGGGTATGGGTGGAACTATCTAAATGGGTTGTCGTCTTAATGTCGGGTTTAATGCGGGTGGGTCTGGAGGGTGTATCATCTACATCTGTAGGCGTAGAAGCAGGAGTTGTAGTTGTAACAGTGATTTCATGCTCTTGATCTTGGTGGAAACCAGTGGTTGAGTGTATAGGCGTTCCTTTGAACTCAGGATCCTGCTCGCCATATAGGGTCAAGGTCCAATTGAGCAAAGATCCTCTGGATTCTGGGTTGTCCACATCATAGACATAAAGTGTCCAATCGCCTACTGGATTTTCATCCCTAGATTGATCAATTAAGCTGACTGTAGTTTTGTATATATATATATATATATATATATATTACCAATGCTTAACAGACATGAACTTCCAGTTGACGATACCATCTGTGCTTTTATCCAAGTTTCTTCTTGTAGCCAATTCAGATCTCACTTGATGAGGACTTTCCAAATTAATGACCAAGTTTCCACGTCTTTGATGCTCAATGTTGACAGTCGCAGTGACATGTTCCAACCTAAGCAGACCAGCTGCTTGTACCATTTCCTTTGTCACATGCACAATGCTCTTGAGAGCCTTTCTGGTCTTTAAACCTGTTGAGTCAGGAATCGATCGTTTTTTGAAGGGACTAGGCAGTTCGAGCCAAGTCTGCGGTCCAACCGGCTTGAATTTCTTGGCTGCTTCGATTAATGCATAAGCATCCAATTTACCATAACCAAACTTGTGATTATAAAGTCTTCCTGATGGTAGCTGCTTCCAATCACTGTCATCTGTTGTCACTGGCACGGCTGTTTGCACACAAAGATGCTGCAAGTCACGCCAGGTCAGATCAGGTCGTACAGAGAGTACAAGGGCAAATATACCTGCCGCGTTCGGTGCAGCTGCAGACGTTCCACCGTGTCGATCAGAGCAGTCGTTGCGGCCAACATTTGTCGTTTGCTACAAGCGCTTAATGTTAGCTTATATGTATTACATACAAAATAATACGTTACAATATATTCTCCACCACCACTAGAGTATGTCACCACAAGTTGAGCAGAACAGGCTTCGGAATAAGGAGGATGCGCATTCGTATGGTCAATGGCACCGACAGTGATAGTATAGATACTGTTGGTATATCCATCAAAATTACAGTTATCACCCGATGTGCCACCGTTTCCAGTAGCAAACACATAGATCGACCCTTTTCCACCTCTTCCCTCTCGAATTCCCTTTTCAAATGCATCAGCCAAGATTCCCTTGGGCGCTTCCATCGTCTCGCCATTGTCAGGTGGTCCCCATGAGCATGAAAAGATGTCGTTCTTCTGGTATTTATAATTGAGGGCCAATGCTTCATCTGCATCTGTAAGATCACCGGAAAGAATGCGGACACCTATATCCAAGGTGAATACAAATAAAAAAAGAAATGATAAACGAGTTACCTGCTATTTTGGCATCATAAGCAATGCCAACACCACAGGCATTATTTCTGACAGCGGCAATTTGTCCGGCACATCTAGTACCATGTGTATCATCCCAGAGCTTTGGTGTAGGCAAAGGCTCATGGTCATTGAAATCATATGATCCTTCAGCATACTGTTATAGCTTGTGTAAATAGTTTTAATCATTCATATGTGTCAAGACTTACAAAATTATCTGCCAAATCTGTGCTATTGTAGTCTAAGCCGTCATCCAATATGACAACGGTAACACCTTTACCAGTGATACCTTGTTTCCACACGCCGGTAATGTTGATATCATTACCGGGATCCCTTTGGTTAATCTATCAAGGTCGATTAATTTCGATGGCAACCCTCACTTGTTTTTTGTCACTTACCAGATGCCACTGTTTGCCAAATAGTGGATCTTTTATGCCTAGTGACACTTGAGCATCTACCACTCGTTCTTCAGGTGTGAGTACAGGCAGTGGTCCACGTTTGATTCGTCTCTTGGGTATCTGTTTATCAATAGATTGCACTTTAGTCCATGCCTGTTCTTGTCGTTTGCTTAAAGAAAGTGATTCGTAATGTTGTTTGTATTGGTGAAACTTGGTCACTATTCCATCTTGTCCATCTCGTTTCTGAATGGCTTCTCTTGGTGCACTCACCATATAATATGTGTCTAGTTCTCCTACTTGTCCCTCAAAACGAACATCTAACTGTTGTGCAATCTGTTCAGCTGCTTCTGATTCACCTTGCGGAACATGTAGTGTGTAATATTCTCGATTAGGCTCACGCTTCCCAATGTATTTCGCTTGCACCAGAGTAAAAGATGCAAACAAGGTGATTAGTTTTATTAGACCTTGATTAACCATTGCATCAACAGAAAAAAAGAAAAAAGAAAAAAGAGGGCTGTAAAACTAGGACAGGTACGTTCTTGGCTATTTTGTGGTTCGACGCATAAAAACTCAGAAAGTCTATTTATAATAACGCAAGAGAGAGAAAAAAAAAAGGGGGGATGCAAGTTTACACAACATTGATAAACAAAAAAGATCCTTAATACAAGTTGATAGAATCAAGCTTCTCTTCTTGATTCAAAAAGAGTCATGATAGAACAATGGGAGAAATGATTAAAATAGATCAAAATAAAATAGAATAGATACTATAGATACTCTCTCTCTCTGTTATTGTCTTTCTATTATAGTAAAAGACTGCCATTTGTATTTTCCAATTATTCAAGAAGCAAGCCAGATGTTTGTGTGGTAAAGGCATGTTAATACCCCGACTGCCTAATTTGTACAGATCAATAAATTGGCTTGGCCATTACAGTATATGGCCCGTCAGACTCAGTTAGACTTGAGGTATTTTTTCGCTGTGATTAAAATTTAGCAGTGATTTTTTTTTTTTTTTTTTTTTTTTTTTTTTCAAAAGTTGAGTCTCCTGCCGAAGTTTAGAATTACCTTCAAAAATATCTAATATTTTACCCTCTTAGTATAGTGCGGCTGGTAAATTTGTCTGTTTTGAAAAAATAAATACCAATTTCAGAAAACAGGTCTCTTAGGGAACATCACACTTTGAACTCTTCGAAATTTGAATAAAAGTGATTATTACTATATTTGGTAATAACATTTCTTATAGAAACCTTTATACACTTTTCCAGAAGTAAATTCGCTTGTGATCGAAAATAAATGCATCCAATGGTGAGAACAAAATTCATGCTGTACGAAATGTAAACTTGTCGTCGCCAAGAATATTTTCGTAGTATCAGCCTTGACATCCGTGGATATACTGTATTTCCAAATTGAGATGTCGTATTGAAACCATTGTAATGTTATCAGAGTAATAACAAATATAAAAAGAATATGGCTCACTATCCCATTTGACAATAATATTAACAGGTGAACTGACCTGGAGTTGAAATTAGCTTAATGTTAGAAATAGCCCTCTTTAATCTCTTTGTAAAAGTTTAAATTCTTTTTTCGGTTTTTCCATGTAGTCATGTCTGGCAATGCATATGCTTGAATGGTCACGAAGCATATTAATCTTATTTGATATGATTTCTTTGTGTCAAGTACTCGATCCTGAAACTTGTTTGGAAAAGGGTCCTTTTTTTGCTTCTTTACAGCGGCTATCAAATGTCCCTCTGAGTGTTCAAAGATTCACCAACCAAAACTAGCCTGTCCTCATGGTCCATGCTCTGACTCGCTTGTCCCGCCTTCTTTGCTCTCTGGCGTGTATCTGGAACGTTCTCCAATAGTCTCTTTTGATGCCCTGGGTTCTCTCAGTCCTCCGTTCCTTTTTTTGTTTTGGTTAAACAATCCTGGGTAGTTATCGCTACCCTCCCCAGAATGCACCTTGGTGGCAAGTAAAACTAATATCAGGATATATTCTCTGATACTAACATACTTTCTCTCTCTTTTTCTACATATACTTATTATTTCTCTCTCGCCTTGACATGATGTCGTTTTATTCAAACATATTTTTGTCGTCTTTTTACGTAAATAATTTATAAAATTAACGTCAATAATTAATAAAAATACAGTAATTAGGAAAGTTAAATAGACGCTACAGAACCTAAGTGATCGATTAAAGACTTACAGCGACAGCAGAACAGTATGAAAAAATTTCACGAATGAATTGTTTGACTTAAATACAAGCGAGGCCGCTTCGACCAGCACGTCATTTGAGAAGAACTCATCCGAAAGAGCCTACCAAACACTTGGGGTGTTAATGGATATGACTATCTTACAATGTTAGTTGATATTCCTACTCACAGTAGTATCAAATATGTTATTGCAGAATTCATTATCGTCAACGAATGAGCAAGGTATCTCTTCAAGTGTGAGTCCCGTTCTTTTGATTAAATTTCTGGGGTAATATACTTGTGTTGTCTTGGAACCAAGCTTGTTTCCGAGTTGAACAATGTTTAAATGTTCCAAGTTATAATAAAATGATATATTCAACATAGATGTCGAACTAAATCAATTTCATGCATACATATACTTATCGATATCATCATCTCTCTACATAGTGTCAAGGGCTTTCTTCGATATATCCCAGACGTTCAACTCGATATTTCTTCTACTACCATTTCTTCTTCACTCTCCTATCAGCGGTAAAAAAATTAGATACGGATTCTTTTCTTTCAAAGCCATTGTATACTTACTGTATCTTTTCACGAATCATAAAGTGACGAACCGCAATGTTCTGGCGATAGAGATAGACCAGAATGTGTTGTCGGTGATATTTCCGATTGTGCCTCTGTTAATGATGTTTGTGGATCTTCAGCAATTCTTCTTTTCTTGCTATTTTGTTCAACTGTTACTGCGCCATGTGCTTCCATTACGGTAGTAGTTCTGTAGTTGACATTATGGAAGTTGTTGACGGTAATTTTTGATCGGTCTTCAGTGGGCTATTTTGAACAACGTTAGTGTCTTACATAATACAAAGAAAAGATAACTAGCATTACTTTATCATTGATCTCCTCTGATAAATTTTCGACATATCTTTTCTCGTCGTGGTCTTGTATACATTACTTTATGTTGTTGAGACATAATTTATACTGACTAATTACTTTATCAATTTTTAAGGCAGACATTTAGTGCACTAAAAAAATAGACCAATACCACGGGTGCTACCTCTACTCACTACTTATGATGCCGCCCAACAAAGCTTTTCAATGTGTAGCGTCAAGTTAAACATGAATTTATGAAGCTACCATCTTGAATCGTCTCTTTTCAGGAAGAAAAAAGAGATAAAAAAGAAATGTTGTTATTGATGTATTTTAATTTTATATTGTTAGTTTGATCAACAAAGATGTAAAATCATTCACGTGTGTAATTATGATAAGTTCGTATTTTATATTAGAGAAAGTGAATTGGACATCTTTAGGTTAGGCAGAGGCTTTGGTAGTGTGAAGTTATAAAGTGGCAACATAGGTAAAGCCCCAAGGAAGTGTCCGTAGCATTAGTCTATTTTTGAATGTACCAAGTGTTTGCCATTTTTAAGGACATGCGATTTTTAAGTTGATAACGTTGCATAATGTCTTTTAAATTCCAGTTAGACAAGTTGTTTTGTCTAAAGAACTTGAGCTCTTTTTTGTTTGGCAAAATAACTTTACTATTCAGGTCGAGCATTTTGTTAAAGAGAAAAAAGTTACTTTAGAAATGATGCGTTTTTAGTTTTTATAAGGAGTCTAAGTTCGGGTTATTGCTTTTGGATTTTCTAATTTTATAAGGTTTTCCTCCACATCACTTTTACTTCAAACTATTTTTTTTTCTTCACACAATGACTAAAGCCCGTGAAATTAGCATCAAGCGATTGCAGGGTCCTCAGGGAGCAGAATAAGTAAAGAAAATGAAATTGAGTGGCATATTCTATTTAAAGCAGCTTGGATTCAGTCAGTATGACATTTCGACAAATAATGAAAGCTCAAAGATGGCCATTACTAAGCTGGCGGAAAAGCACGAAAAGATGTCAGGCAGCTATAGTCGCCGATGGCGACGCAGCGAGATGTTAAATTGTTATTTTTTTTAAAAGTAAATATGTACAACTTACTATCTTAAAGTTATTAGGTCTTCAATCCATATCAATCATAAGTTATCAATAGTGGAAGACAGGTGCTTATTATGCGTACACCGCCTGTCCTCTGCTGAGTACTACAACATGAGTGGGGCTGTAAAATGTCAGAAAGTATAACAAGGTCGTAAAAAAAAATTAGGTATTGAAAGAATTGAAACAGAAATACCTTCGCCGAAAACTGCATTCATTCAACAATACACGTTATATCCAACTTATATACTGCAACACATGGACATCTTATTCAACTTTTACAATTTTGAGACTGCAAAGCTAAAATGGCTAAATTATATTGGGCCCCAAAAGATCATTCAAGAAAGTGTAAATATATTATTGTATGGTGGTAAGAAATATAACAAACCACAAAGAAAAAATACGAAGAGAAACAGAAAAAAAAAGGAGGAAAAGTTCGAAAGTCTGCGGTTGCCCAAGAGGAACACACACTTCCTATCCTGCAATCCGAAGGGTATATACCCTTCTTCTTTTTCCTTTTAGTATAATCTAAGCATTATTCGTATCTTACAGGAGGTAGAACAAAAACCGTTTTGAAGGAGGCAACTGCAAAAAAAAAAAAAAAATACTTTTAGTTATCTTTGGTGACGGTCTGAGAAATAAAAACCATGTTAAGTTTAAAGGTCTTCAACATGGTGCCTCCAGTAAAATTTATAAACAATTAAAGCTGCAGAGAGGTACTTGGAGAGTTGTTGCTTCTCAATATCAATGATTACAAAAACTCCAAGGTTAGTATAACAATGATCATAAATTATACATTCTAAATAATATCTTTATAAATCTACAACTCTTGCTTAAATCAAGACCTACAGAATCTCAAGTATGGAGGAGGTGATGATGTCAAAAAGATCCATCAAGTATTGAAGTACAGCACTTGCAATGTTTTTTGGAATCGCGATGTAATGACCTTCAGGAACGTACTTCTCATTGCTTGTTCTATCTGGAATGGTCAAGGTCGATCTAATGTCTTCAAAAGACGACTCGCCACCTTCAGTGCGGTTGCCTCGTCCCATTCCGGTGGGACGCTAGCTTAAAGGTTTTGCAGGTAAAAAGAGCAATTATTATTTTTAAAATTGTCTGAAAACTAATGTTCTTTTGTATCTGTAATTGTTACAAAGTGTTACTTTTAATGGAAATCATTATGAGATATGCTTAATAGCATAAATGACTGTAGAGGTTGCTTTTGGGCAAGAAGAGAGGACATCCATAACTAAAGTACTACATTATTCTTTTTGGGAGGAGGATAAAATAATACTCTCAAATAAAAATGAGATGGCTTATTAATATGTTACCAGTTTTTTTTTTATTGATATACAAGAGTCATACTGATGTTCTACAAGTGATTATTATTTACAGGGAAAATCAAACAGGATTAAATAAACAGTCAGTTTCTATGACAAGAAGAGTACTTTGGAGGGGACGGTTCTTCTCCGTATGCAGGTAATTGCTCTTCACCTATATCAGGTACATACAAGAACCGAGGCCTTGTTGCCGATGTAGATGATTCTGATGCGATTGTGGTATAGGATACAACATTTGAAGGTACTTGAACTCCATGTGGAAGTGTGCCTATTTGAAGTATAGTTGAAAACAGTGTACGCTTTTGATACAGAAAGCCATGTCTGATCTTTGCTGTGATTACCAGCTTGTAGATAATGCGAGTGTGTTTTGAATGTTCAACAAGTGATGTAGTCATGCCCAAGACACTAAAGTTCCTTTGAACCGCGGAAGAATTGAATTTGTTGTGTTCGGTAGGCATTGGCACCTGAATGAGATAGAGAAGCTGTCCATCTCTTGTTTGCTGAAGATAGAAAGATGATTGATCAGTGTGACTCATCACCATGGTATCCGTCTGTTGATAGGAACCATAAGAGACATGTATTTCTCTTTTGATAGTGGCTTCGATATGGTTTATGGGCGTATGTTGAGAAAATGAGAGATGAACGTCCATCGTACTCTTGTGGGTATAATCGTTGATATTGTAGTTGCATCCCTTTGGTAGGATCATGGTGACTGTTTGATTATTAAATACTGTTTCTTCTCTATGTGGTCGAGGTGATTTTAAAGGTGAAGTTAGTACCAATGGCTGGTATCGAATAAAGACGGGTACTGTCTGAAAGGGCCTGATACCCGGTCGCTCCAGGGAAGCTAAAAATTCAAACTCACACGAGGCCAAATGATGCCTGAAACTAGGAGGATAATTGATTAACGGCAATTCACACAGGAACTGGAAACGATGCTTTCCTGGTTCCAACATTGGCCATTGATAGTCAGAGATAGAAGGTGTCCCCCACAAGGTAGTTCTGATAGAAAATAAACGTTCACGCACTTTCTTGTTATTGTCTTTGTAAATGTGTTCTAATTTGGAAATTGAGTTACTTTATTTTCTCTCGACATGTATCTTTTTTTACCTGTTGCTCTGAATAGTAATTTGAGATATTGTGCTGCCAGTGGTGAGTCCAAATTGAGCTGAACATAACCTGAAACAGTTGAGCCTGGTTGACATGTTTTCTTATGAGGGTCACCATCGATACTAGTGATATTCACTGAAAAATGAACAGGTGGTTTTCTATATTTTCGATTATTGCTATCAACATAAATGTAGCCTTGATCATTTTGAGAATGTCTGCTAGATAAAAGAGGTGCGTCTCTAATATCTTGCCATGAAATCGTCCTTTCTAATGGATAATCTCCATTATCTACCATTGCTGACATATTACATACACAAAAAAGAAGAAAAAGTCTAAAAAAGAGAAATAGATACGCTTAAATAAATACTCGCGTGGATATCTTCCCCGCATGTAGATTAAAAATAGTCGGAGAAACCAAGGTCCGGATCTACTCTGAATGATGATCAGAAAAACTAGCAAATGATAGTTAAGAGATAGATTATTCAATATCATCCAATGAGAAACTGATAATATGCTTTAAACACAAGATTAAAACCACTTCAAAACATCTTTATGTAAAAGCAAGTAATTGCCTTAGAGATTCCAGCTCTGTCGCCGCAATAAAACGTGCATTGAAATATAAAAATTTATCTAAAGTGACGCATAAACAAGGAGGCGCAGCTATTTGAAGAGTCATCTTGACTTACTATCAAGGTGTCTGACTAATATAAAAATAAGAGTTTAAAGTGTACATAAGAGCTTTCCAGTCAGCGACTCTTTCCTTCATCTACCTTTGTTTGAGTTCAATAAAGAGATCAACAGCGTCGCTGTTTCTTCTTATATGACCCGAGTTATTAATCATTCATATTCTTTATTGACTCTTTCAGTCGATTATTTCCTCTTGTCAACAAGACTGATCCAGTCTGGGAATAATATTTAAAGAAATGCAGAAAATGAAGTCTTTGTTTTTTATGCACGGACATTCAAAAACTTTTTCTCTTTGTTCTTTCTCCTTTCTTTACTACGGAAGCGATGACAACAAATACACCATTTACAGAAGAAGAAATAAAGCTTATCTCAGAAAAACTACAGCGATCTCTTGGACCAGAGTTTTTAACACAGCGACCAGGACCATCAGGGCGATTGACTTACATTGAAGGCAAAACTGCAATCAATCTAGCAAATGAAATCTTTGGTTTCAATGGTTGGACTTCAGAAATAAAGGACACTACCGTCGACTTTGTAAATAATTACTTTTAATGTTAACTACACTATTCACATAGTCTTCAATAGGCAGATGTGCTTGAAAATGGACGTGTTAACCTTGGTGTATCAGTGACTGTGAGAGTTAGCCTAAAGGATGGAACATTTCATGAGGTATAAAAGACAATGGGTTTCAGTCCAAGTGGTTATTGACAACGTACTGTAGGACATTGGCTACGGATCTGCAGAAAATAGCAAAAGCAAAGCAATCGCATTTGAGAAAGCCAAAAAACAAGCAGTCACAGATGCCACAAAGCGAACTTTGCGCAACTTTGGCAACGCGTTAGGAAATTGTATCTATGACAAAGTTTATTTAAGCGGTATAGCAAGGATGGCAAACCCTCAAGTAAGCATCAATACTAATTGTGCTTATCTTATAATTAACCATCAAAGAAAGATCAAATTTACTCCAGCCAATCTTTATCGACACAGTCAATTCGATACATCCAAGAGCGCGTCTACGTCTGATGCTACTACTACTAACTTTAGCGCGCCTACTACTTCCACTGCAAACGTGCGGCAGTCAAAAAATATCACAAATACCAAACCTGAGATTGTGGACACAAATGATTCAGTTCGATCAGCCCATGTACCTGCCACCACATCCTCTGCACCTCAATCTATACCACCTTATCAGCCTTTGATACCAGAGGATGGTTTTTCATATGGTAATATGGAATGAAATAATGACATTTCGATATTAATTGTAACATCAGAGGGTGATGATATGTTTGATCAGGACTTTAATGAAACAGACTTACAAGCATTAGAATGTAGAATGAATCTGGAACATCGGTAGGAACACACCCAGAGAGAGAGGAGCTAATATTTCATAAACTGACTAATTGTTCTAGTGAAAATTCATTTTCAATCCTTAGAGAGGAAGAATATGTACCTACAGGTAGGTCCTTTTTGAATATTTTAGTATGTCAACATATTGAACTCCATAATAGAACAGGAGAGAAATGATTTGAATGACAGAAAAAGGTAAACAAGACACATGAGGCTTATAAAATGTAGTCGGTAACATTTGTCAGAAATGAAACGACATCATCATCCACTACATCTCAAAGCAGCAAAAAAATAAAGATAGAACAATAGATTGTTGCTTTGTTATTTATTCAATAAATTATGGCTTTAACTGCACACATAATTCATTGATAGACACACTCCCTTTGGTTTGAATAATGGTTTATTAAATTACATTATGTGTTTGAAAGTATGATACAACCATGTCTTGTACATGTTTAACAAAGCTTTAAAACAAAAATCAGCTTAGAAAGAAGGGACATTTGTTCTTTCAGACATGGGAGGGTAGGTAGGGCCGATGTTCTTGATGACAAGATTAGCGAGATAATGACCAGCTTGAACACAGCGAGCAGGGTCTTCAACACCTTGGGCGTACAATCCCATGAAACCACCACAGAAACCATCGCCACAGCCATTGGTATCAATGATTTCGCTTTCATCGACCTTGATCACAGGGTAGCTATGACTTTTGTTACCGATAGCAGTGACAGTAGCATGAGCACCTTGAGTGATGACAACCAAACGGGGTCTGCTGTTGCTCTTTTCCAACTGAGACAATTTCTTTGCAATCTCCTCAACATCTTCAGTACCCCAGTTCATCTGTTTGGCATATGTACGAGCTTCGTCTTCATTACCAAAGAGGATATCAGTGTTCTTGATGACGGCATCAAGACGTTCCTTGAAGAACATGGACAAGAAGGGTGCGCTCAAGTTGAGAGCAAAGGTCTTGTTGTTCTTGGCAGCGTGTTCAGAAACTAAAAGAGCAGATTGGTATCCACCATCGTGAGTGATGAAGAAGCTGCCAAAGTAGTAGTATTTGGCTTCTTCAACATATTTCCAGTTTTCGGGGCTTTGAAGGAAAGACACTTGGAACTTTTCAGCGGCATCTAATCTTGTAACAAGAGAACTATTTTACACTAGCTGTTAGCATTATATATATATATATATATATATTGGTATCCACAGAACGCGTATTCCAACTTACCGGTTATGGCCAGTGATCAAGACAGCACAGACACCAGTAGGTGCTTCCTTGGTCACTTCATAGTTAGTAGTCAAACCATCAGCTTCAGCAGCCTTCTTCATGGTCTCGGCAAACTTATCATCAGAGACACAGCCCATATAGATAACAGACTTGGGAGGTAAAAAGAATTGAGCACCACGAGCCGTGTTTTGGGCAGCGCCACCAGCAACATAATTAACCTCATAGTTGTCAAGGATTTCCTTGTACAAAGGTTGGTGAGAGTCGTCGGCCAAGATAGCATCGTTTGCCTTCAAATTGTACTTCTTGAGAAGTTCCTCGCTGGGCTTACATTGAATATCCAATAAAGGATTTTCCATAGCAAGAAGTGTGAAAGACATGCTGATAATTTATTATTTGTTTTTGAAAAAAAAAGGTAAAAGAAGAAAAAAAAGTTTTTTAGTTCTGCAAGTAGTCCCTCTCTCGCTCCTCCTGTGTCTCTGCGCTGAGTTCTAATATTATATCTGATATTTTCATCTCTCTTTTGTTGGTGAGATCCCCCAATAAAAGAGCTTTTCGTGGTTAGTTCCTGTTGACAAATTCGTGGTACTTGAGATTAAGTTAGGCAGATATTTTTTATCGCTTGGATGATATTTATTAAGGGAAGAAAGCAACGTAATACACCACAAGCCGATATAGGTAAAAGACATTTTAAAAGTCTAAGGCGCGCACAAGCTAATAGGGCTTATAAATAAGAATCTTGCCAAACACAAGTCATCTGCATTATATATACATTTATACGGTAGCTTGTATAAACAAGCTAATTTAGGAATAACCGAACTACACACCAACATATCATATGAATTCAAAAGACACTGTTTATTGAGTTTTCAAGGATGTGTCTAAAAAAGAATAGATGGTCTGCACATCGTATGGAACAAATTAAGGATGCTTTATTATTATATTACAGCTTTATTTGAAGACAGACTTGTCGCTAATCTCGGTTTCTCGGCTTTCCTTTGCCATAGAGAGACGAGCATTACGTTCCATGTTGTTCTTTTGTCTAGCAGCATATTTCACAAGCTTACTCTTACGCATAGCAGCACGAACAAAGTTGGGATGAACGAATTCAGGATTCTCGAATACAGTAGGCCCACCAAAAGAACCTTCAAAGATTCTGATGGGAGTCATACAGAATCGAGGACCAATTTCTACTAGAGACATCTCGCCTTTATCTAAATGACTAAAGTCTGGTGTATTCTGCTTATTCTTTTCAACAATCTATAAAATTTTAATTTAATTACTATACACAGATAACTCTTAAGAAAGAAAGGCTTACCTGATAATTTCTGAACCAGATACGGTTATCTACAATAGAAAATGACAATACATGGTCAATGAAAGGCTTTGAGCGTCTTGATCCCTTGGGCACATTGAATATTTGACCCAGTAATTCTTTTAATAAACTCCAGTGAGGTGCAGAATCAAACGTCTTGTCAAATGACAAAATATGTCTAGATCCCTTGAGACAATTACCCGTCATCTTTAATTCATCCATCGTATGCAAGTTCTGAAGGTGGAATTTGGCAGAAGGGCCATTAGGTGTCTTGGCCATCCAAACATACAGATCCTGCTTCTTTCTGGTTTCAAAAAATACAGCATTGTTACAATTGTTGAGATCAGCCAATTCGTTCAAGATATACAAGTTGTTCTTTGTATCAAGCTTGGCGTCTTTTTTGGAATGAGGAAGTAAACCTTCAAGATCATTCATAAGATGTCGGTAGCTGTGTTTTTGTTATTAGCCTTTAACCTATTTACTATCAATATAAGTATTTACCGATAAGTGACGCCACGAGAGCAGAGCATCATGACTCTCTGTTTGTTAATTCTCTTGTCTTCAGAATTCTTCTTGGTTACTGCTTTATATGCTGACATTTATAATCTATAAAAGAAAAAGTATATTTAAAAAAAAAGCAAGTGGGATTTGACTTCCAAAATTTGTCCTGTGGCTTATGACTGCTCCCTTTTTGATTTTTATGCAAGCTCATGAGTTACCTTAGGACGGCGTTACCATACTTACAGACTCTTACATACCACTCTAGGCAGATAAAGACGAGTTTATTTGTTTGCTTCTCTATTATAGTGATAATGCAAAAATACTACAAGATGTGAACATAAATGCAACTAAATCTATGATTTAAATAAGGAGCGCAGAAGATATTTCGAGGTATTAGCTCTTACAATATTGACGGAGTCTAGAGGATGATATCGTTCCTGAAGATGCTGATGTTACCATGATAATTTTGTTTTGAGTGAAGGGATTACAGCGGAAGAAGCGAAGCTGATCAGTTCAGTGACATGAAAAACTTGAGCTTTCAGCTCAAAGAAGTAGGTGCCTTGTTATTTATCAGTTCGCATAGGCCAAGTAATATTCTGAATGTTTTAGCTATTCGAAACTGGATCAAGATCTCTTTTAGCTGACCAGTAAACATCTCTCCTCTCCCTTGCTTCGTCTTTGCCTCTTAAGCAAGAGATCCCAAAACAAAAGACAATAACTACGAGTAGCTGGTATCCTTCAAGAAAATTTGAGGAGCAGCAATGAAGAAAATCTTTTTATGATATGATGTTACTAATACATTGATTTCTTCTGGCAAGTCTTAAAAATCAATAATGAAATGTTTCAATGATATTTTACATAAAAAAATATAGAACACCGCCAACGCCAAATAACAAGATGGACCCCCGAGTACTATATAATCCGGACACACGCCGTATTAAATATTGCAATGAAACAAAAAGAGTCCTCACACGGCTCGATTTTTTCGTATCTAATGATTGAAAAGTTTGTGTATTTTCTAAATAAGGTAAAAAGTATTGAAAGCGATACTTCATTGGCTATATATAGTCTTTATGAAGGCAAACGATCAACGTTGTCTCTTCTGTGGATTTATAATATTTATTAAGAATACACTATTAGATTTGAAGAAGATGACGCATCATCATGATAAGAAGAACTGGTTGTTTTTAAAAGAGGTTCCCCGGACCATCCCACATTTTTAGAAGGGATTGTAACGCGACAGATATATTCAGGACGAATAAGACGCGCGTGTATCCATGATCTTTAATGCAGTCAAATAGTTCTATTTTTAGGTTATTCTTTCCTTTCTATCCCTTTTCTCCCCCTTTTTTAAATGTCCCATATATTCTATTTCCATATATAAAATTGTCAAGTAAATAAATCTATTTCTTTCTTTCTTTCTCTCTTTTTTTCTCTTTCTTTTTTATAAATATACATAATCATGTCTGTTGATAACTTGAGAGAAGGCTTTAGTCAACTTCACTTTAATACACCGGCATCTATCATGCAAGACAGACGTCAATCCCCTTATTTCAATGGTAACTGAAATAAACATGATTGCTATTGCATACTAAAGACAATAAAGGATACAAAAACAAGAGAAACCTTCAGTGCGTACCTAGTGATGATGAAGAAGAGGATGACAATCAAACGAGTGAAGAAGAGGACGATGATGATGATGACAATGTCAAAATAGCTCTATACAAGAAGACAACTAGATCGATTACCCTATCAAGTGATAATGAAGAAGATAATGACATAACAGGTATATGTTCTCCTTCACTTCTTCCCTCTCTTTCTTTTTTTTATTTTCACTTCACCCCCTTTATTGCCCTCCTTTTCAGAAACTATACTTGTTTTGTGGGTTATATTCGGAGTTGCTTACCTTTTTGTTATCTAGATCAAGCACCTAGGAAAACAAAATCGCATCCAAAGCTACATACTTTACGACAAACCCGCATGGATAATGCTAGTAATAAGTCTATAAACGAAGAAGGGGCATTAATAATGAGAAGAGTTAGTTATCAACAACAAATGGTGGATGAGGATGACGAGATCATTGGTCAAAATTTGAGGTACCAACAGCCGTATGATGCACTCTATCAAATGCATCACTATCAATATCATCATCATCAACAACAACAACAGCAGCAGCAGCAGCAGCAACATCATCATCAACAACAACAAAGAAAACAACAAATGCGCATGTCTGGTATGGACTTATTGATACAAAGAGAGCAAGAAAAGGCAGAAGCCAAACGTCAAAAACCCAAAATAGTGCCAGGCAAAGTAAAGATTGAGGGGCTTTTGGGTAAACTACCAGAACCAGGAGCACATAATATCAGTTTTCAGCAATTGCAGCTGCAACAACAGCACCAAGTAAAGACAAAGAAATCAAATAAACAACCGCTTCAATATCAGCTCCAACAGCAACAGCAACAACAACAACAGTTCATGTTTGACTATGGAAGGCCTGTCTCGCCCATGATGTACACTGTTCCTTCATCTACTATTTACCAGCTACCTACTATACCTATTAGTAATGGAAATTTATTCATGACTTATCCTACTGCCACTACATCAACTTCTACAACAACCTCTACCAACTCTAGACACGCCAACACATTTAATCAAAAGAATTCATCTAATCCTTCTCTACCATTTGTATAATGCATATCTAGACATGTAATAAACAAATAATCCTTTATATATATAAAAAAAAAATACAAACAGGTATGTATCAAGGACCATCCCTTTATGGTAACTAGATGATTTATTTATGTATCTTCCCCCTTTCACATTGTTTGAAGAAACTAAAGAAGTAAATAAATATGTATGGGATAGAGTTCAAATTATCTGTTATCCGAAATATTCTAATTGAAATGTATATTCATCCAAGACGCCATGGATAATGAATGCTTTAACTACTAGAGAATGCAGTTGGCATGCTAGTAAAATAAGCATTGTCGGTGCATAGATAACGAGGAGATGCATCATGTATTCTATTTGGATTTGATGCATAATAAAAGGTAATCTCGTGATATTAGCATTATGCAACAGCGGTAATCTTTGATGAAATATCCTAAATAATAGAACAAACTATAGGTTGCACCAAGTCTATCACTATCTGATCTCTTGTTCAATACGTCACTTGAACGTAAAGTATCATATCATATTTATATTACACTGTTGTTGTCATGGAGACAGTAGGCATATCCATGGGAAAAATCAAAGGTTTCATTTGGAACACTGACATGTTCATACTTTGCATGAGCAGAAAATTAACTTTTTTCTTCTTTCACTCCTTTACATTTCGCCCATCTTTAATTCTGAATTGCGTCCTAAAGAGGATTAAGCTTTTGATTGCAAAAGTCTCTTTAGAAAAATATACTTTTTCAAAACTACAAAAAAAAAGTAAATTCTAAATGCTTTGTCTTTCACACTTTTTTTTTTTTAATTCTTCGTTTTGGTTTTTCAAGGTCATCTTTGAGCAACAGTCGTGGGAACCATATGCACTATTTTTGATCCGCTCAGATAGAATTGAAGGGTCTCCAAAAAAAAAAAAAAGGGCTGCTCATACATATCCAGTCGTCTCGTATTCATTACTATTCTATTTCTCCGCAAACAAAGCAATCCTACCATTAGCCGTTGTTTTTAAAAAAATTTTCTTATTTTTTTTTTTTTTTGTTTCTTTCTTTTCCAGTCAAGTAAAGGGAAGATGATCAAAAAATACTTTTCATCCAGCAAGGATGAATCAATTGACACAGGTACAATAGTGGATCAAGTACACGAGGATAATGTACTTAAAGAGTCATAGTATATGATTATGAGGTGACAGCAGAAGCAAATCAAGACAAATTACAGTTTGGCATCGACAGATCAAAACAGGGATCAAGTTTTACTGCCTTCTTTAATGTTGTCTGTGTTGTCGCGGGTACTGGTGCACTGGGCTTACCTTACGCCCTTAGTCAAGGTGGATGGATTGGTTTATTCATCTTGGGTCTTAGTTGGATTTTATCTGTTTGTAATAGGCGTTTTATCAGTTCATGTTCAGTTGAAGCTGACTAACAATTAATATAGACACGGGCATTATTTTAATCAAATCCATGTATTATGACGGAACACATCGTTTGTCTTCTTATCAAGAAGTGGCCGAAGCTGCCTTTGGTCCCATTGGCGGCTGGCTTGCTTTCTTCTTTACAGCTATCACTCTAGTGGGAGTACCTGTCCTTTACCTTCTGCTATCTGGACTCAACCTGCACAATGTAGCCAAAGGTACATCTGCCGAATTGACATTTCCTATATGGGTTATCATCTGTACAGCCATTGTTGCTGTTCCCTTCTTATTCTTTCGCTCTCTAAAAGAGATTGGTATTCTCAGTTGCTTCGGTATGCTTTCTACGGTTATTGTTATTCTCATCGTTCTTGGTGTCGCTGTTCAACAGTATGTACCAGCAGAGCAGGCTCACCATGATTCTGTCATCTGGGATATGTTCCCCATTGCTCTTAGTTCCATCGTATTTAGCTTTGGTAAGGAAAACACAAACAAGTCAAAGATAAGATATTGATGTTATTATATAGGTGGAAACCCTGTATATGCTCATGTAGAAGCAGGTATGCGTCGACCTAAGGATTGGAACAAGGTCTGCTTTACCGGCCTTACCTTTTGCGTCATCCTTTACTTCCTTACAGCCGTTCCCGGCTACTATGTATACGGTACAAGTGTCAAATCGCCTGTGTACGACAGTTTACCCGATGGCGGCCCTAAATCAGCATCGATCATCATCATCACCATTCATTTGATTCTGGCAACACCTATTCTGCTGACATCGTTTGCTATTGATGTTGAAAAAATGCTCAAGATTGGTCCAGATCACCGTTCGTTTGTAGTCGAATGGATCCTCCGTTGGTTATTCCGTGGAGCACTGATTGTGGCTATTGCTGTCATTGCCATCTTTGTGCCCTTCTTTGGCGACTTTATGTCTCTTCTCGGTGCTTTTTCCAACTGTGCGCTAGTCTTTATCTTTCCCGTCATCTTTTACTATAAACTGACGGGTATTCGAGGCAAACCTTGGTATGATTACATCTTGGGCTTCTTGACTCTCTTGCTTGGTATTGTCGGTTTAATCTTTGGCACTATTTCAGCTATCAAGGCACTGAACAATGATTTTAAAAACCAAAACTCATAGACACTTTGTAATTTTATGTTGATTCCCCTTTAATAGAATTGTATGTACATATACATGTTTAATACTTTAGGTTTTGTTATTTTTCTTTATTTAAAGAACGCGGTATATGTACTTGCAGTAATCAATCAATATTTTTTTACTGGCAAACACTGTCAGCACCAGAGGCCTTGGTATTCAAGATTAAAGCAACAATAAGACCATAAAGGCCCAAAACTTCGGCGAAAATCAAGATCAAGATCTACAGAATAGTATGAGTATCTTTATGTAAATCGTTATTTTCCGTTCTTTTTTTTACCATGCCGACAAACATTCTGGGTTGTTGAGCAGTTGCACGTACACCAGCGTCACCAGTGATACCAATGGCAATACCAGCTATTAAAAACTAAGTGTCTTTTTCCTCTTTTTTGTTATAAATGAGCTTACCGGCAAGACAAGAAAGACCAACAGAAAGACCAGCAGCCATTTGAACGAAACCGCTAAAAAGAGTTTGCTTCATAGCAACTAGAAGCCAAAAAAAAAAAAGTCAGCGACTATAGAAAAGTAAGTATAGAAAACTTACGGCCACCAGATAAGAGTACAGAAACGACAACACCATAAATACCCAAGATACCAGCCATGACAACAGGGACAATACACTTCACGAGTAAATCGGGACGCAAGACACCCATAGCAGAAAGGCCGACACCAGACTTAGCAGTGCCATAGGCAGCGCCGAGACCTAGGGATGATATGAGTATATGAGATAGAAGGGTATTATAGTATACTTACAGCTAAAGACAATAGCAGCAGCACAACCCATAGTGCCAAAGAAAGGAGCATAGACAGGACTAAAGAAATAAAAACTGTCAAAAAGGGAGTGTTTCATCTTGATTAATGAAATGGTTTACCAGTATTCACTCATTGTATAAATATTCTTAGGCTATTTAATAGGTTCAAGTTTAGATAAAAAAAAAAGAAGTATAGTAACAGTATTTATCAGTGTACCTTTAAAACGTAAAACGGAGTAGTGAAGAGAAAAGGAAAAGATAGAGTGTGAGTGAGAGGAGAACAGCAAATAAAAATCCTCGTCGCGCCCGAGAATGACGACACTGCGGTATTCGAATTGACAAGTACCGTTTCAAGTTTAGCAGTCAATCAGTCATTTGGCCAAAGACAGTACTTCCGCTCTTAATTTACCAAATGTTTGAATTATTTTGAGCATTTTTGTGAGGATAATTACCCAGAAAAATTAAACTAATTTCATCAGACATAGTCCAAATGTGCAAAACAAGAACAAAAAACCAAAGTCAAAATCAAACCGTTCTTTAAAGCGTAACAAAGCCACATCTTCTGTTACACCCACACGATCCAGTAAAAGACTTACAAAATCCCACTAATTGCATTCATTTAATGATGCTCTTAGTAAACATCTATTTACTTCATTCTCCCAATATAAACCAAGTCTTTCAAACGTAATCTCAAACTGGTAGGGGGCAATGTCGTATTTGACCATGTCTAATACTAATCGTTACGTGTGAGATTACATTTGACTTAATTACATGTACCTTAGTTAGTACTCCGACCTCTTTTAAAACAACCTAATTTCTTTTTGCTATGAGCTCTTCCTCCCTCGCTTCGAATAAAAGGATAAAACAGAGACTCATCATTTCTTTGATTCATTCTACACATTTACGCGAGTACTAACAACAACCAATACCTCAGTATTGATCGTAATTTTGCATAACAGGGGTGATACCGTTTCGGCTGACTGCAGAAACGCGGATTTAAATTATAGGCTTGATTTGCGCGTAATAACTGATACTGAGAAAGGTCCCATTGAAGCTACTACGGGCGAGTTTGCAAGTACCAAGGCAATTACTGAAGGAAAATTATACAATGACAAACTGAGATCAGTACTAGCATTCAAGTGTCACTTGAACTCGTTGCTCAAGAAACTACTATATTTGCCTCAAAGTCAAGCCAGTGAAGTACATATGCCAATATTGCAAATAATGGGCCAGAATATCTCTCTGTGTGTCCTCTCACTGATTGACAAACAAGTATATTCTGTACAAAACACACTGGACGCTGAATACCCAAGGACTCTTGCAGGGATCAAAACTGAAGGTATCAGAAAAATTATTGATTTATTAGGGCAAGTTGAAGTAAGTTGCATAAAGGGTCAAAAAAAAAGCCATAGATATTTGATTTTTCCTATAGTATATGATGGACGGAATAGAAAAAAACATGAAGAACTATTCACACAATACAAACAGCAAGATGAAAGGCATTATAGGTAAAGGCAAATGCATTCGTCAATTCGAAACCGAGGCGTGGACTTCAAGCGTACAATGGGATACCTATATCTTTGATGAATAAAATAAAATTTCGAGAGTATATTCAAATTTATACCGAGAGACATTTAACTACTACTATATATTTGAAAAACATTATTTTATTTGAGCGCTACTAAAAGAAGTACACAGTATCTAGCGGTATATATTTAATAAGTGTGAATGTTATAACGGCCAAGCTTGCCCTTCGAGCCTAGATGAATGAAGTACTAGTTGTGTATACTCTTTTTAGTATTTAGTAAGTGTGCATGGATGAATAGACGCTGTAATTAAGTAAACAAGAGCATTGAATAATAAATGTGCATGTATTTGTAATGATCAAAATAGCATACATATGGGCCTTTAAGATTGATTTATGTTAAATGTCAGCTTCTGTATGTGCATATTTTTTGTGTTAATGCAGAACACAAAAGTTGACATTTGTTTCATTACGAAAATATTAACGGATTGCTTACAAATGCAGTTTTTTTTATTAAGTGGCGAAGGTAGAAAATCATAAAATCAAATTGGGCACCTGATAGAATAGCGTATATGTTTGAAATTATTGCTGCATACCTGAAGCACGCATAAATTGAACATTTGTAAAATATGATCTAGTATTCTATAGATATTTTTCCTAAATGTCTCAATAAAGGAATCTTTATAATCATTTTGACATTTGACCAGAAATTGCTGACCTTATTGTGAAAAGCTGGTAATATATTTTCAAGACGCAGGGCAAATTAGCTTCGAATACCTGATCAAATTAGTTTAATTTTTCTGGGTAATTTATCTTCACAAAAATGTCCAAAATAATTCAAACATTTGGTAAATTGAGGGTGGAAACACTGTAGCTGTTTTTTTATTATTATTATTATTATTTACAACTAAATGACTATTGCTGTATAGCTACATGCTTACTCCTTCTTCCCAGTAAAGTGGAGTTGTTCATATTTAAATCAAACGCCTTTTTGATAGGCTTGGGGTACGACTTATGGATGGATAGTTTACCAACACCCTCATCCAACTGTTGAGATTTTAGTTTATCCGCAATTTGATCTACTGCACTTTCATCCTCTTCTGTATTCGATTCATCCGACACATCGTCATTATGATGAGACCGTAAGCCAAATGTATGCCATTTTGACCTCTTGTGTTTATTTTCTCTTCTGTATGCACGCTCTTCTCCTATACGATGAACCGCGTATGACACGTCAAAGACTTCCTTCATCGACGAAAGACCAGATAAAAATAACTCCTTTCGTTTTGATTTTGCTGGTGTAGATGTGACCGAGATGGTTTCTGTAGCAAGTGAAGTTGTGGTAGAAGGAGGGACAATTAAATCAGGCGAGCTGCAGATACTCGTCTTTGTTACTGGTTTATGTTGATCGTCTTGTACGACAGGTGTATCCTAAATATCGTTTGAGCGCAAATGATTAAAGTCTATTATATAACTATATTACCCATCGATGAAGCCAAGGATGAGCTAGGAACTGATTAATTGTGTATCTCTTTTTAGGGTTAATTTCTAATAAGTGCTTGACGAGATCTTTGGCATCATCTGATATATGATCCCACCAAGGACTCAAAAAGGTATATTGACCCTTGGCAACCTTTTCTGTCAGGGTATCAATGCTTTCATCATAGAACGGCGGAAACCCACAGAGCATGGTATAGAGAACGCAGCCCAGGGCCCACATGTCGACTGACTTTGAATAACGCTCATCTCTAACGATTTCAGGAGCTGTGTATCCAACCGTACCACAGGGCGTCATCGTTTGCTTATCCCACACAATCTTGGATAGACCAAAATCAGCAATCTTGACTTGGCCGACACCACCGCCCCCTAGACCAGGTACAAATTCACCCTCATCCTCTTTAGGCTCATCTTCGTTCTCTGGTTGAGTAGAAAGTGGACTAAATCTGCGTTCCATAAATGGTATAGATTGAAACAATATGTTCTCAGGTTTAATATCTCTACAATAAAAAGAAATGAGGAAACATGCCAGCAAATTGCCCTAATCTTACCTGTGAACAACCCCTCTTTCCTCATGCAAGTAACGAATACCTTCAGCTACTTGTTTAATACAATGACGTGCTAAATCTTCACTAAAGTAAGTCAGCTGGACGATTTGATGAAATATTTCACCGCCTTCCATTAACTCCAAGACTAAAAAGTAATGCTACCATAAAAATGAGAAAAAGTGTAGATAATGATATTGTTATTATTACTTCTTTGGTTTCTTTAAATAATAACAATTTGACAATCGAAGAATGATTAATAGTACGCATGATTTGCACTTCTTTCAAGACACTTGCTTTCTAATGAAAGGTTATACATGTATTCATTCTCGTGACATTTGTATTTACCTGAATTTGATTTAACTCTGATTTTCGTATGATCTTAATTGCTACGTATTGGCTTGATTTCTTATCCAAAGATTTATATACAATTGAAAAAGCGCCTCTACAAAATATTAGAATATATATAACAAACATGTATAATCTACTTACTCTCCCAGTTTCTTTATTAGCGTATAATCTTCTAATCCTTCATATTCTGGTAACCTTGATTTTGCTATTGTATCTTCTTGCACAATACGAGATACAGTCTCTAATTTATGTACCTTTTCTTCTGACTTTTCATTATTGCGAAATATATTTTTTAGTTGATTAAACACAGACATTTTTTAATTACAAGAAAAGGAGAAAAAAAAAAGAAGAGAAAAAAATAATAATAAAAAAGCTTAACTTTATATAGAAGTGCTATTTTCTGCAAAAAGGGGGAAAAAAGAGAAACAGAATCTCCGATTTTAGTGGCACAAAAAGGGCATTAATGTCTATACAGTGGACTAGTTGAGAATCAAACAGTGATGGGGTAATAGACTATTGTTATTTTCAGATACGTGATGCATGCCATGATTTACCAAAACAATATTCATAATCACTTACTAAACATTACTTTATCCACGGATGTCTCTGATTTTGGATGATCATTGGTATAATGATGGTAATAAGTTGAGTTGCCATTAATCTTTACTTTTGTTTGCAGCATCGATTTCCTTGGAACTTTGGCGCAGCATATGTTCAATTTGCAGAGTAAATCAAGCTTCACTGCGAGCTTTTTCGCAACTTCATCAGTAATCTCTTCATTATAGAAGATGCACAGAGCATCATCCCGAGAGATGCTTGTCATAGAAATTATTGATCAAGGTTGATCCACGAGAAAAAGTTGATCAATAAACCAAAAAACCCTTTCCTTCAGACAAACCTTGAAGCGCGTTAACGGACACAAGCAATCCATTGTATTTCACAGGAAAGGGCTCTTTGTATATTTTTTTTTCCCCAAAGAATACAACAAAGAGAATATGATAGGTCTAACATCAAGGCTCGTCTCTATGAGGGATTTGAGTCTTTGTTATACAAGTAATCCGAGGCTGCCAATGCTCATGTCACTGGCAAGAATGCAATCTGATCCTTTAGAATATCACAGGTACACTTATCGCTGACAAATGGCTCAGACTTGTAGTTTTGCAATCTCTATATTTTTCTCTCTTTTATGTCGCTGTCAATAAGTTTTGCTCGTTGTCATTGTTGAGTAGATGTAATATTTTTTAATATTTATAATCACTTTGGCTTGAACCGACAAAGTACACTGTAAATTTATGACAAATGCTTTGGCAACAAGAGAAAGAGAGAGAACAGAATCAAAGCTCCGATTTTAATGACATAAAAAGGGCATTAATATCCATAAACCAAGGTAAGCCAACTTTGTATTTTAAATATCTAAATTTGTTCTTGAAAGGTAATCCAATGACGTGCATATGCAAATGATTTACCGAATTAAAAGGAGGAACATGAAATCCAAGTCTATTTGCTTTAATTAGTATTAGTATATACGGCTGTTATTAAAAGGTACCTGATCTGCGTTTCATCCTCAGGGTTGAATCCTTCTTCTTTTAGTAATCTTTTTCCTAATTCAGTCATCTCATGTACTTTATGTATTTATGAGTATATCTTATATATACATGATTCCTTTTTCTATTCATTACATAAACTAATATGTTCTCTAGTCAAGTCTTTGATTGTTTCAATATGCTCTTTTGGTATAACAAGAAAATGAACTTTGGCTGATGGTGACCGATCTCGAAAGGCAACTAAATGTTCAGTCTATTGAATTCCCTTTTGTAAGTATTACTATTCTCTTTTTATTATTTACTTTATTACTTCAACTATTATCCTTGTCTCTCCAATATTGTGAACAATATTACAAAACACACAAGCATCTTGACTACCAAGACAGCCACAGAGCATTAGGGAAAAAAAAAAAAAAGTAGTAAAAAATATAGACTCAGGGGTAATCTTTTTTCGTCCTTACTTGTTTTTGTCTCTTTCTCATATCATCAACCGAACTCATTTGTTAGATTAAAATTGTTTATTAATAAATAAGCTCTTGTAGTAATTATTTCTATTTCTCTTTTCTCTCTTTCTTTCGGTTGGGAAACTAAAACTCATATCACTTTCTTTCGAAATCACTCTCAGGTGGAACATTATCTTTGGGATGCTTAGCCTATGAAAACAGTGTTTAATATACGTCATAGCGTTGCTTGTTTTTTTTTTTGTTTACTTCAAAATGTTGAACCAAGAGTTTGTAATTGGCAAGTGCAATCAGGCATTTAGGACATTTGATCTATTTTATCTCTTCTTGTTCAATTTTCACTTTTTATTAACTAATCAAAAAGATACATTACCTGAAGACCAGCAGCACGAGCACCTAATTGAGAACCTTTATTTGAGCGTTCAGCAGCTTTCTTTTGAGCTCTCTGTCTGTTTACAAGTCATTAAATTAGTTGCAGCTTTCACAGATATCGTACCTTGCTTGTTCCTTTTGGGCGCCACGGGCCATATTTAACACAATTTGAACCTGGAATCTGACTCTTGGAAATTTTATACAGACGACTGAGATTTAAAAATAGATGATGCTCGTGACGATGGTAAAAAGCTGGTTATTTTCTTCTGGGAGACTCATGGCGCACTCCCTCGCGCACTCCCTCGCACACTACCAAATCTCAAAACAGTGGCATTGCCTTCTCATGGAATAGTACGCAAGGAGTGTACGAGATGCTAATAGTTGTCTTTGCAATTATTAGTGGGTGCATTTTTACAATAAATAGATATCTTTGATATCCTTACGGTTAATTCTAGAAACTACCACCTGATTCACTTAATATAAAATAGTAAATTCATAGTTTTTTTTGAAAACAGTTTTATATCACTTTATTTCGCAGAGAAGGGAACCTTCAAGCCTCTGAATACGCACAACGCTTTTAAACTTGTGATAACATGATTTCAATTTCGCGCACCTACGAAAAATATCACGTTTGTGATGATATTTATACTAATTGGATCGGCATAATATAATAGCAATAGGAAACACACACTCCTCGCGTACTACTCCATGAGAAGGCAGTGGTACTGTTTTGAAATTTAGTAGTGCACGAAGGAGTGCGCCAAGAATCCCCCTTTCGTTTATGTTTAGGTGGCTGCGGTCATTTCGTCTATTGCCGAGTCTTTGAATTCTCAACTCCATGTGTCCCAAATGGGATATACTCAAATTGACAGTGCACTGTGTTGTTAAAAATCACTTTTGCCGTAAGATCTTTGATTTTCCCGATGGGAAAGACCCTTTTACAGAAGGAACATAAGGATATCTTTTCTCAAATTTGTAAGCATCCAAAGACTTTTTAGCACAGTTCTCAACTCAATGTAGTCGAATTCCAACTTGCTGATATTCCAACAGCATCATGTGGAAACACTCTCCACTTGTCTTGATATTTATTGGAAAGAGTTAGGAAAGCTGTCAGAGGGCTACATGAAGCGTACTGTTGCCATACGGTTGACCAACCAGCTTATCCCTCCTTTACTGCATCCTGTTCATCACACTGATAAGATTAATTCTTATGTGAATAGAAAAATAGAAGAGGTTCGTGTCTTCTAGTGTTTTTGCAAGTAATGACCAATTTCTGTACAAAAGAAAGAGCTCCCCCTTTTTATTTTACTTAAAACAATGCAGTATTTATGTAATTTCGTTGTTGATGTCCCGCTATGATCACATGCGGTAAGGTAGTATCGATCTTCAACTAAATTTAGCGACGATAATGTATATATTACACGTCGTAACAACACCATCAGTGCAACCAAAGACGACATGCTTGATGCCACGTGAGCGTACTACTCAGAGCTCTACTCACCAGTGCCCATTCACTAACCAGCCATCGATGAGCTTTCATCAGCTATTCCTTCTGATACTCGTCTCTCTACTATGGCACAAGCACCCTGATCGCTTCCAAAATATTTGATGATTTCCTTGACGGCTATTCCAAGAGCCCTAAGCATAGTAGTCCGAAGGCAGATGGGCTGTCATATGGAGCCTTGGGCTTGTTGATCACCCGCCTTGCTTGTCGTGAAATTGTCTTGACTGTTTTTAACAGTGCGTTGGCCTTGGTCGAATTTCCGAAGTCCTGGCTAGAAACTTCCGTCTCCCTTCTCCCAAAGAAGGGAGGGGGGATCTATCTGATTTGAAAAATTGACGACGGATATCTCTTATCAACATTGATGGTAAAGCCTTCACTCACAATCTCAACTCATGCATCATCCCCGCACCCATTTGTTGATCACCCTTTATCAGATGAGCTTTCTCCATGACCGCTTCATAGCGGATAATAGGCTACTCATGAAGCTACTAATGGAGCACGCTCGACAGTCCAAATCGTAAGCTATTGGCCTGCTACTCGACCAGGAGAAAGCCTACGATAGAGTACACCTAGACCACCTCCGTCAGGTGCTTTGTTATTTCAGCTTTCCGCCGAGAATTGTCCGTAGTCTGCCATTTTGCTCTTTACAGTATACTTTAGGCTGAAAAATAACAGCTTCTTTTCCCGGTGTCAGGGCTTATGACTTAAAGAAGATCCAAGACGGAGCACAAAGAAATTCGCAAGGTAAGAAGGAAAAGATGGAAGAACACTATGACAGAAATGCGTCTGAGACTAAGAAATTCCAAGTTGAAGACAATGCGTTTATGAAAAATCACGTTCCTAAAAGTAAGTTTGATGAAAAATGTTCGGTCTAATGGACATGTTAGGGCGTATAGCTTATTGGGCATCGTCTATGCATTAATTTTATTACAGTTCTTTTGTTCCTTGGGTGCACCGCTTGTTATTTAATCAGAAAGAACAAATGCAAATAGTTCAGTTATTTGATCCCAATAAAAACACCTTTCTTTACCACAAGAATTGAACCTTTAGCTTAACAAAAACACTTGAAGTCTGAGCCTACTTCCATATTCCCAACCACATAATAAAATTATATCATCACAGAAAAGGCGACATAAGAGCACTATGATCCACAACAACAATCCTTTACACAATTCGAATCTGCCATGATATGATCTATTGGCTTGGAGATATCAAATAGAATGTATTCAGAATAAAATGGGTCAAACTAACCCGTAGTTTAATAAAAAAAAAATGCTAATTACTGTCAGATCCTTGACACTTTACTACGTAAAAATCAATTTTAGGATACGTATCGTATGAATGCTTTCTATACAAATACTGAAACCTTTGACCTTACTTTAGATCCTGGGCCTTCAGAACATGATATAGATATTAAAATGTGAGAGTCTATCATTGAAGCTCTTTTTTAACTTTTTTTTTTGTAACATAGATATGATAATAACAAAAGGAAGAATATAGGTACATGCCGATGAGCCTTCATACAGCCTCTTTCGTAATATCAAGACATGAAAACAGGAATACTATGTGAACCAGCCATGATCAATGAGAATTGAGCATAACGCGTTATCACTTCAAGGATGCCTGTAATATCACTTCTTTTTATTTATTAATTCGATATGAAGCTATATGCTTGCACAAGTTCGAATGATGTTGTAGACGAAAAAAAAAAGAAAAGAAACTTGAGAATTTGTAAGCCAGTGATAATAAGGGTCGTCTGATATACATGAAATATGCCGTCAAAGTGATAGCTAAAGGAAAAAAATGTCTTTGATCAATACCCTGAAGGGATGCTTGTATGTGCAGTAGGTAGTTAAGATGTTTAAGATTCTTTAATGAATATCCATTATTATTTTCATTTAAAAAAATCTCCGGCGATTTTGGAGGGCCTGTGAAGGCGCTTTCTCATGCAAAAGGAAAGATAGGAGCAGTAATGCATGTGAAGACATTGGATGGCATGTCTGCGCGTGGGATGATGATAACCACTCGCCCCAAAGAGTTATCTCCGGAAAACCAGATAAGGTGCCAGAAAATGCATTAGTTCCTAGTATGAATGACAGTGGGTATCCATGAGATAGTCCAACAACTAAATTCAACCAACTTCACTTGCTTATTTCGCTGACTAAAAAAATAAAGCAAGTGCCATTGAACTTTTGATTAGAACATTTTTCCTTTACTGAAATGAGTCAACATTAAACTTGATCATGAATAAAACGAACATCAAGGGCATGCGCTGTTGTGTCTACAAGTAAAGTATCCATGACAACAGTAATTATAAGATCGACAAAATAAATACATTTGGTCAACTAAATGACAACATTTGTTACTACAGTGATAAGCTACTCTGTCATCACTTTACTCCCCCCTAAGACTTATTGAGTCTCTTTTTCTTTCTTTCTTGTTATTCTTCTACTATTTTATCTTCATATAAGGCTTATTTTTATCCATCTCATGCATTCATGCATTTATATTCTTTTTCATAGTTATAAAAACTTCTTTTCTCATCATCCAATAAATCACATATTTGAAAATACCCTTCATTCACTATATGCGAGTATCCATGATAATAAAGTCATTAAGTGAAGTATGTCACGTACCTTAACAAGCCATTCTGTTTCGAGCGCCATTTAAAATAGCTTATGCAGACTTAGAAGATCCATTGCTTTACTATAAAAGTGAACGTATAGTCATTAAATCTCTCACAATTATAATCGTCGCCAATTTTGGTCTACACTTCACAAGCAGAAGAGAAAAGGATAAGGTCATAACAACAGAAAAGAGAGGATAAACATTTTACCTTTTTTTCATGTGCACTAAAAATAAAAACAAAAAAAATTACAGATTCTTATGCTTTCCTAAGCCAGCAACTCAATCGCCTATGTTTCATACTTGATAAACAGGTTTTGATACATAAGGGTTAGGACGATTTGTTTTTGGTTCTTTTTAGCAAAAAATAGTAATTCATTATTACTTTTATGAAACAAACCAGAGTGGCTAACCAAATAGATCAATCATGATTGATTTTCTTTCTTTGATTGACAAATAACAACTGTAATGGAATCAATTGCATGTGTTCCACAGAATCGGCAGCCTAGTGCTCTTTGAGAAAAGCCTTATTTTTTGTTTACTATCAGCTGCATCTTTAAAGATGCCGTCCCCTCTCAACTTTTTTCCTTGTACATTTAATTCTCACCTTACTTTTTTTTTTTTTTTACTCATTCTTAAAGAAAACGACCAGAAAAATAGGAAAACGCGTATTGAAAATAAGAAAAGTGAAGCAATCATAATAAAAAAAAATTATGTGTGTGTGCGTGAGGTCAACTTTATGTAAACAAGCGGTCTTACAAAAGAAAAGGGCCTGTGAAAAAAATATGCAAAAAAAGGGAGGAGGCGTTCGGATGCTCGGATGTGTTCTAATATGGAAGAGATAAAGAATAAACTATTTATTTATTCATACTTTATTGGAGAAATGAGGAATAAGTCACTTACTTTCAGCCTAAACAACATGATTCACGTAAACAAAAAACTATAAAAGAGATCATTCTTTTTCTTTTTTTTTCTTTTCTTTTCTTTTCTTTTCTTTTCTTTCTTTCTTTCTTTCTCTTCATTCTTTATCTCTTTCAAAATCCTCTTATGCTTTTATTATTTCTTATGTTGAAATGGTATAACAACATTTAGATGGTCTCAAAGTGTATATAACTAATGCCGTCGTTTAGAAAATTCACTTTTGCTGGCTCTATTTCATGGTTCCTGATGCATCTTACTCTATCATAATGACCTCTCACGGGCTGAAGCCTTAAAGAAATCTCTGCTGCTCGCTAATACTCCAAAAGTGCTTGCTACTGCTTATCAATACACTCAAACGATCAAACGATCAAATACTCAAACAGATACTCAAATACCTACTCATGCTTATCAAATCTCTGGAAAGAGCAGTGAATGCCTGCTCATGCTTATCAATGTCTACAAATGATCATCAGTGCCTGAAAATGCTAGTGAATGCCTGTCCCATGCTTATCAACGTCGGAAAGCCCCTAAAGAATTTTGCTCACGTCTATCAATGTCTGCTACTAATGAATACTGCTTTGGAGCAACTACATATTCAAGTCCTGAAGCTACAAGAAACATAATCAATCAATCTACTTTGCCACTATCCGCCAAACTATATTAAACTCTGCTACAAGAAAAGAAGAAGAAAAAACAAAAAAAAAAAACTAACCAGACAGGTCATTACTTCTCTATGCTGGATCACCCTAAGATGCTTCTATTGTTATGGCTCTGCCTCTACAGCTGATGAATGGCCCGTAAACCCTCCCTTGCTGCTGAGCTCGATGGTTGCGATGCTCCAAAGGTTCAATATTCCGATGTCTCCACGGTCATCACCCCTTTCGAAATGCTTCGTCCTAGGTACTTAGAAGTGCACTCTTTGTACGTTGAAGCACCTCTTTCGTTGAACTTACCGTGGTATGGTTTTGAGATTGACTTTTTATTTTTGAGTTTTGAGCCTTGAGTGCTCCTTATTCATGAAGGGTTTACACCGTGTAGTCTTCTGGCATGCAGTCTATGGTTCTAGTCATCTTGGGCTTGAAAGCTAGCGATAATGTGGCTTTCTGGACTTATGGAAAGAAAAAAAAGAAGAAATCTCTATTTGCTCTCTAAACTTGGCTATCAAAACAAAAGTCTCCACTTGCTCTCTTAACTTGGCTATCAAAAGAAAAATCTCTACTAATTCAAAACTCTCTCCCTCTCTTTGGAAATCAAACTATTGATTACTTTAATAAAAACTTCATTCTATTACTCCTACACTTTGACTTTTTGTCCTTTAATCTTAATAAAATATATTCACTTGACACACTTTCAGGTATGTAACTTGTACTCAAGAGCAAAGTAAGATACCTTTCAACATAATTATTTTGCATTCTTATAAAATGAACTTCTTTATTTCCTAATCGTCTCTGGAAATATAAAAATGTAGGAAAACGCAAACATGTGCTATATCCTTGGGTTTAAAGCACCTAAGCACCTTGTGAAATCGGAACACATGATTGATCAAAGGATATTAAGCGCCTTTTTTACTGTCATACAAACGCATAGTTAGGCATCATGATAATATCTTGTTTAAAAGTATATATTAAACTACTTTTAGTCTTTACAAAGCGTTTATCCTCCCTTTCTGAAAAGAAACGAGGCTAGGCCAGTCATTGATGATAATAATTTTCTACTGAGGTAAGTATCAATACGTTTATCAGGTCTATTAGGGGATACCACAAAAATTCCTTAGGAGAGTGAGGTGTCTCCTAAGAAAACCGTACATTTATCCAATGTTCTATACTAATCACTGCTTTTAACTCTGATAGCATATATATTCTCTGCCATGCGATTGTACACTAGTAATTACTTTTCAGTATAGTAGCCTTACTTTTGTATCTCATTTTGGGAGCGATACAGCCTTTTCAGAAAGTAAAGTCGCGTTTTTACAATTTTATAATACAATTTATACGAAAAAACGATAAATCAGCGCGACATCTCTTTCTGGAAATAGTATATCATTTACCACCGTCTGACTTAGGGCAAAGTTTCTCAATGGCATTTACCACCTCCTCTCTCCTCTTAACTTCTTGCGACCTAATCCTTGTTCCGTACCCTTCTTACTCGTTTTCCTTTGCTTCTTTTCTTCCTTTTTTCCCTTTGATCTCAAAAGGGTTTTTAGATTCTATGCACTTTCTGATCTGACCTGGGCGCGACGAAATTATATAGTTTCAATGCGCCCATAATGATCTTTTTATTTTCTTTAAATGTATATCATTTACCAAATCAGTCATTTCTGAAAAAAAAAAAAAATCCTTAGCATGACTGTGTTTGAATAGTGAAAGGTCATACAAATCTAGAGTTTTTCTGTTTTGAACTTATTTTCATTGTAAATAATCATGGCTACTTTAGCAGACGAACTCGCAGCAGATCTTGATTTTACTGACGAAGAAGAGGTTAACTCTGATTATGATGAGGAAGAGGAAGCTAGGAAAGAACTTGAACAACAAAAGGAAGAGGAGGATGCTTATGAACAAATGAATGTGGATAATGAGACTGTGAATGATCTACAAGAAGATTCAAACAGCATCAAGAAAACATGTAAACTATTGTATAGCAAACAGCTACAAGATATTCTAAAGGTTAGATCATACAGCTACAATTCAAAAAAAAGGATGACTCATGTGTATTATATAGAAAATTGATTATTACAAGGAACAAAATCGAACATCGGCTAATGTGATTGGTCCCACGGAAGAAGATGAGGAATATAAGCTTATTGTACAGTCAAACAGCATAACAGCAGATATTGATAATGAAATACAAAATGTTCACAAGGTAAAAGAACGGCCATAAAAGTACAGAAGAGGAAAAACTGATCCATGCTTAAATAGTTTATTCGCGACCACTACGCTCCCAAGTTCCCTGAGCTTGAGACACTTGTACATAACCCTTTGGACTATGCACGAACAGTGAAGACCATAGGCAATGAAATGGATATTACAAAGATTGACCTTCGACATATCCTTCCTTCAGCTACTATCATGGTCATCACAGTAACAGGATCTACAACAAGCGGTCGAGAATTGACAGCAGAGGAATGGAAGCGAACAGAAGAAGCTTGTGACATGGCCCTGGACTTGGATGCAGCTCGAAAAAAGATTATGAGTTATGTAGAGTCCAGAATGACAGTGATTGCGCCCAATCTTTCGTATGTTGTTGGAACCTCTACTGCTGCTAAATTACTGACAGCGGCAGGTGGACTTTTGGCATTCTGCAAAATTCCCGCGTGTAACGTTCAGGTGCTTGGTAACAATAAGAAAACCAACACTGGATTCTCGACAGCTCACATGGAGAGACATGCCGGTTATATTTACTACTCAGACATTGTAAAGTCTGTGCCTCAGGATTTGCGCAGAAAGGTGGTCAAGATTATATCAGGCAAGGCTGTGCTTGCTGCACGTATAGATGCTACGCATCAGTCGCCTCATGGAGATGAAGGTCGAAGGATGCGAGAAGAAATTGATACCAAGATTGAAAAGCTACAAGAACCTCCTCCATCTAAAGTAGTGAAAGCTTTACCTGTGCCAGACGAAGGCCCTAAAAAGAGAAGAGCGGGTAAACGAGTGAGAAGACAAAAAGAAGCATATGCCATGACCGAATTAAGAGCTGCACGTAATCGTATGGCATTTGGTGAAGCAGAAGAAGAGGTGGGCTATGGTGACGAAACAGAAGGCTTGGGTATGGCAACTAAGCAGATTGGAAAAATCAGAGCTTCTATTACGGACCAAAGAAGCAAAAGTAAGAGATTATATAGAAAAAAAAAAAAAAAAAAAGAAGCAAGAACTGTAGTAACTTATTTTTACAATAGTTAAAACACCAAAGATCAAGCCTTTCAGTAACCGCCTTTCTGGTACTGCCACTTCTGGTCTAGCTTCCTCATTGGCTTTTACACCTGCACAAAGTATGGAATTAGTTGATCCTACTGCTGTATTAGAAAGGTCCAAAGAGAAGAAGGATGATGAAAAATACTTTGGTGGTGGTGCATTTTCAATCATTAGGAAATAATAAAAAGTCATAAGTAGAACAAACAACTGTAAAAGCCTCCTTTGATAAACTTGAGTTTAATGAAATTCAATTTTTAAATGGATAACAATGATGATGTAGCAAACTGTTGTCCAATTTTTAGACTAATGTATTGTATGTCTTGACATCTTATGTATAATTTAGGTGACATAGAATGAATAAAGCATTCTTGAAGAGTGTTGTTGTTGATAGCATATAGTTTTCCATCTATGGAATCTGTGAATATTTTCACAGTAATAGGATCATTTTGATATTTCGATTTGTTGAGACTATATGGAACATCTTGCAGGTGAAGATAAAGATACTCTAGAGAGGTTGAGGGCATATCCAAAATAAAGCAGTCGTTCTTTTGGTAGGATGATAATGTTCCGATGCTTAATCTAAATCGTCGAAGAGAAGGAAATAGGATAGATAGTTGTAAAAGTGCTTCTTCTTCGGCACTACCCGTAGCGATAGACAGTGATTTGATAGAGCTGGCTTGTAGTTTCTTTTCATCTTCAAGTGAAATTTCATATAATGCATGTACCGTATAATGTAATTCTTTGAGTATTGGGCAGAGTCGAAGTATGTCCTTGAGTGGGTTCTCATAGCTACGTACACTGCGTGCCATTTTCAGTGATAAACGCTCGAGACCTGATCCGCAGTGTTCAAGTAGTTGATGTACTTGTATATCTTTTGTCTTCAAGTCACTGTTTGGACTATCCTTTAGCTGCATTTCAGTTAAAATAGCTTCCATCTCATTCATAGAAGTTGGATAAGCTATTCTAATCAACGGTGCTCCTTCAGCATTTTTCTGTATGATATCAATTTGTCTAAAGTCCATATATAAGCTGAGTGATACTGGTCTTTGGTATCTTAGTACCAAGCTGGTAAGTTCGAATGGAGGAAGTAATAGCTGAATATGATACTTGGGTATCCTTTGGACATGTTCCAATAGTCCACAAAAATAGTCTTGTTTAACTCGTTCATAGCCTGATAAATTGATTGTCATTTCCAAATATTCCAGTGCAGGGAACTTGTCCTTGACATAACTCCAAATACTTTCGTCCGCTGGCAGCATGAGGCCTTCTATTGATTTAACATCTGGACAGGGTGTTACCAATGACGGGTCATACTTGAATTCATCAAAATCCTCCAAACTTACAAGGTCAAGTGCACTTATGGTCGGTACCCTCTGAAGAATGTCATCCAGATGCTTTGGTTTTGTAGGGTCCATCAAGACAATCTTGTTAAGGCAAGGAAAGTGGTTTAATCTCTCGAGAAAATCCCTTCCAATGCCTTCCATGCAAAAATCCCTCGATATGGCCACTTGTTGTATTGAATGCTCCAGCTGAAAGACACATAGACTATAATCAATCAAGCTGAAGCGGTTGATAAAAGGCCTTGCTACCCGCTTGAGGTTTTTCCAGTAAAAGATAGCGGCGCATGCCAACTCTCTATAAAACTCGGGAACTGCTCCAAATGCACTCACTTCTTCGACATTAGGGCACAGTTTGGATATTTCTAGTAAGTAATTACGGCTGTTTCGATAATGCCTTTCCTCGTACAAGAGAGAGAAGTGAATGGACTTGGTTAACTTTGTACGATCCGAGGGAAATGATCTTATGGATTGAACAAATTGATCAATATGTCGTTCACTAAAGGTTAATCTTTCATAAAGTACAAGTTGGGCTGATTTGCTCCATTGTTTACATGTTCGTTGGCACTGACTGACATCTTTTAAACTATGTAAATATCTATAGATATTTATTAATATTTCGGCTGGAAGATCACTCCAGTTACTCATTACAATATTGTAAAAAAAAAAAAAAAGAAATAACTTTAAATTGAGACTGAAAGATATACAGTCTTTATGGAAAGAGACAACGTCTCCTCTGAGTAAGCATAATTTAGAAGCAAGTTGATTAGACTTTCTTTTGTAAAACTGATAAGGATAATATTTTATTCTATAGATTATTGTTGGCAGTAAGGAATCTTTTCAGATCCTACTAGATAGTTACAGACATTCTTTTTTGTTGCTGGGTTCTTTTTAATGTTGATATTGGTAAGAGAAAAATCTTTACAAAGCCCATGCTTGGAACAGTCGATACTTATGACAGGTAAATCTTTATTGGAGGTAGTTCTAGGAATACCATTAAGTTTTTTCTCTCTTTGATTTTACTTTTTTCTTACCCAGTTATTCTATCAATAACAACGTTACTGATAGTCAAGGATTGATCATTGTTGCAATTCTTGTTTTGCTCACAAAAGTAATGGGTAGTAATTGCCACAGGGTTCTCTGTATCATACAATTGTACATTTTGAAAACGAACGTCACTTACGGCACCCTTTCCACCAGGAACAGCCTTGATACGAATACCATTCTGACAGCTGTGACATTCATTGTTAGTAAAATGAATGTTACTAACAAAATCAGGCTGTTGACCACGACCAAGAGAGCCAATACTGAATCCATGTCCTTCATAGCATTTGATACCTGTGACGGTAACGTTGGTGACAGCTGCATTGATCGCTGTACAATCATCACCAACAGTGAGTTGAGAGTTTCTAAAGATGACATTCTTGGAAGATGCTACACCCCAAGCATCCGTATTTCTAGCAAAATTTTTACTAGTCGAGCGAGTATTTAGGTACACGTTTTCGAAGACGACATTATCAGCGCCTGTAATTGCGATATGACCTCTGGGAGCATTGAGAATCTTGAAGTCACTAAATACCGAGTTGGTAGAAGTAGTACGGAGCACAATAGGGGCTGTATTATCCAATTTGTCGTACCTATTGAACTTACTGTCAATAGTGCACACAAAGTAAATATAATATTACCATTACCATGATTGACCATTTCCAACAATCGTTCCTCCGCCATTTAGATGGACGTTATCACCGGATATTTCCAAGTAAGCCGATCCGCCCTTGAACTTGGGATCATAGGGAGGAAGGACAATCTTGCCAGCAAAGTCAATGTTGACATTCTTTAGGCCAGTCACCTTAATTAAACTCTTGATATTATATGTTTTCTCTTTTGGAAGAGAGACAGTGCCACCTGCCTTACAGTCATTGAATGCTTGAATGATAGTGATTGCATCATCTGTCTTGTTGTTCTGAGCAACACACACTTTTTGGCCTGAAGCAGAGATAGCAAGGAGAAGGATAGCCAAGAGGGTTAGACTAGAAAATAGAAATTGAACCATAGTAAAAATAGAGTCCAATTGCCATTATCCTTCTTTATATATAATCGTATATTCTCCAATTCCCATATTGTCAAACATTTACTTTAATTGAAACATATAAAGCACGCTTTAGTTCAACATTCATAACTGGGCGCTGTAACACAGCAGTTGTCTATCGTCCATTACTTATTCTCTTTTTGGCTATTAAAAAAGAGTACTCTTTGAGTTACTACATCTTATTCGATTATTAGACAACCATTGAATCCACTTACAAGAACAAGGGAAATAGAACGACAAAAGGTGAGTGATCAACGCCCTCATTGTATCACGTTTTCCATAGAAAATAGACTAAAACAGAGAAAATTATATAAAAATGTTTCTGTTGATCACTTGTATTACATTAGTGAATCTGTCTAAAACAGGCACTGATACAATAGTTAATTTTGTTTGACTTTGTTGACTTTGATTTATTAGTGGCATTGATGGTACTTTGAGCTGAAATTGAACGACGTATGATTGGGGAAATTTTCTCAATGCTAATGTTGACGAAAAGAAGATCAATATGCAATGCTAGACTCTTCAAGTCGCATCCTATTCATTATGCATCTTTTATAATAAGCCATTCTCCATTGAACTATAATTTGATGTGTATTTTTAAACGTGACAGTAAAAACGATGCAATAATGGACCTCGTTTTATCCCTGCCACTCTTGGCCTTGAGATATACTACAGTTTTATAATTTTCTGGGGCTGAAGCTCAAGTTTATTAAGCGTGAAATCAAAAAGACAAGAACGTTTATACTAACTGCAAATATATTAAAAATCAAGTGACATTTCATTATCCTTTTTTAACAATTCCATCATTCCAGGAGGCATCAAAGGCTTTTTGATCGTTTTCTCTTCTCCTTCCTTTGTTGTGATCGTCTTCAATTCTGCAATGTATCTAAAAGGCATCGTCACTGACTCAGTACGTGAGAATCGAATTTCAGGATAATCAATAAATGGTATTTCCTCAAATGGAACTAATTCAAGACTGATGCGTGAGTTATTTGTCCTTTCTTGAATGATTAAACTCACCTTTATCTTCAACAATCATCTTGGTCACATTGACAGCTGTATCTGTCGTCATTTGAAGTGGTCCAAGACGTCTACCTTCAAATCCCAGTTTACGTAATTCTCCAGTGCGATCTATATAATTTTACATGAATATAATTGAGTACAGTCTACAGCTATAATTTACCTCTTGGAGGATGATCTCCCAAGATACCACCAAACAAAAAGTATTTGAACTTTTCTCCGTCCTCAGGCTTTAATTCTGATTTTGCTCCTGGATCCAACAGACAGATCTCTTCCTTCTTGACACCAGGCAAGTTTAACACGTCCAATTGGTAACATTGAGCAGATCTAAGCTCTTCAGGCATGCCTTCATTTAGACACTTGTCAGTTAAAGAAGTAAAGTACAAGTGATCTGGTCCAATATTTTGAAGCATATGTTTATATTCCAAAGCACACCATTCATGCATGGCGTCTTCCATATGTTCGATAATATATGAGCGTTTGTTGGACATGTTGATAAAAAAAAAAAGTTTTATTCAAAGGGGTGACTTTTTTGACTTTTTTTTTTTTTTTCCTTTTTCCCTTAAATGACTTCTAAAGCAACTCAAGAATATCGCCATTCGTTCATCACGTTAATCTCACAATTATCTGAAATTGAGCAAAGAGGACAAGAGTTATTTGACAAAATGTAAATAATTAAAGAAAGAAAGAGAAAAGCATACATTAATTCGCTCAAAGTGAATCATCAGCTTTTATGCCACATGAACCTTCTGCAATTCGAGGTAAAGAAAACTAGAAAAAGAGATTAAAAAAAGATAAAAGAAAAGCAACTTTCTTTTTTTATTCATTTATAAAGCTGATTTTGAACATTTAATCAACATGATCTCTTCACTCGAGACACATGCCAAAAGTACTGGACTATTAAGTATCTCTGGACAACCTGATATAGCGCGCAATTTAGCCACACGTAATGCAGAAACCTTGCAGGCTGTGGATACATTCTTTCAGGAAAAGAGTAGACTATTGACAAACATTCGTGCCGCTGTGAACGCGACTTCTAAATAAAGTAAACTTGTTCCTTGAAATTCGATTATCGGTCCTATAAAATCAATACACGTTCAGCCTATTTTTTATTGTTCTTCTTTTCTTCTTCTTTAAACATCTGAATGAGAATCAAGTTTGTGTTTCTCTTTTTAGCTTTACTATTAAGCAGCTTTGTATTTGCTGCACAAGAGAAAGAAGATGATATTGTACAGAAGATTCAAGACGCCGGTGACCACGAAACGTACACCTTTCAGGTAAGAAAGTACCAAAGTTGAATAAGCTTCTGCCTTGTTTATTTACTTTTAAATCTTAGACAGAGGTCTCACGCATGATGAATTTGATCATCAATTCACTTTATAAATCAAGAGAAATCTTTTTGCGTGAAATCATATCGAATGCATCTGACGCACTGGACAAGATTCGCTTCTTATCTCTTACTCATCCTGAGGCGCTCAAGGCGTCTCCAGATCTTCATATTCAGATCAAGGCAGACCCTGTTCACAAGACACTCATGATCAGAGATACAGGTATCGGTATGACCAAGACACAGCTCAAGGAAAATCTAGGCACGATCGCCAAGTCAGGCACTTCTGAATTCTTGGCCAAGATGCAAGACAACAACAAGGATGCCTTGAACCAGATTGGCCAGTTTGGTGTTGGCTTCTACTCTGTCTTTCTAGTTGCAGATAAGGTCACTGTGGCAAGTAAATCAAACGATGAAGAAGAGCAATATGTCTGGATGAGTGAAGCTGTTAATGATTTCACGATTGCTAAAGACCCAAGAGGAAACACACTTGGCCGTGGCACAGAAATCACGCTTTATCTAAAGAAGGATGCAGAGCGTTTCTTGAATGAAAAGACGCTGAAGGAACTGGTACGCAAATACTCTCAATTCATCACTTTTCCTATTCAAGTCTGGAGCGCACATGAAGTTGAGGAACAACAGGATGACAAGGATGAATTGGATGAAGGGGAGAACAAGAGTGAACCCAAGAAGAAGACAGTCTATGACTGGGATAGAGTCAATACTCAAAAGCCTATCTGGACAAGAGATGCCAAGGAAGTAACGGATAAGGAATATAACGAATTTTACCAATCTCTGACTCTTGACCGTGACGAACCTCTGGGCTGGTCTCACTCCAAGGGCGAAGGTGAACTCGAATTCCGCTCTTTACTCTATATCCCTCGCTACATGTCTGAAAAGTTCTATCAAACAATGCAAGACATTAAGCCAATCAAGTTATTTGTAAAGCGTGTATTTATCTCTGATGAGTTTGATTTATTACCTAGATGGCTCTCTTTCCTTCGTGGTGTCGTCGACGCTGATGATATGCCATTGAACGTCTCTCGTGAAACATTACAGAAGCACCGTAACCTGCGAATTATCACTCGGCATTTGGTCAAGAAGGCTCTCGACATGTTTTCTCAATTATCCCAATCTAATCCTGACAAGTATACTGCCTTCTTGACTCAATACGGCGCGATGCTCAAGTTTGGTGCTATTGAGGATACAGCCTATCGTAAAAAATTGACCAGTTTACTTCGTTTTGCTAGCTCTCATAACACCACAGCCTACAGCACTAGTTTGGATGATTACATCTCACGCGCCAAGGCTAATCAAAAGAGCATTTACTTTATGACAGGCAGCAGCGTCTCTGAAATCGAGCAGTCTCCGTTTATCGAATCTCTCTTGGCTCGTGGCTACGAAATCCTGTACTTTACTGACCCAATTGATGAAACCTTTGTCGAGCACATCCCGGGCTACAATGGTAAAATGTTTGTTAATATTGCCAAGGGCGATCTAGAATTGGAAGATAGTATGGACACAAAGGAACAAGAAGAGAAATATAAACCCTTGGCTGATTGGTTAAAGGATATCCTCTTTGATCATATAGATAAAGTAACCATCAGTCAACGTCTTACGGCCTCTCCCTTTGCTATCGTTGCGCCCAAGCATGGCTTGAGTGGACACGCTCAACGTGTGTTGGATGCTCAAGGACATAATGTGAAAAATCCGCAGATGGAAATGGTTTTGGAGTCGCTTAAACTTCAAAAGAAGATACTAGAGATTAATCCCAACCATCCAGTGATCGAAAGGTTGTTGAGCTATGTGGAAGAAGATAATATGCCTGAAGACATGACTAATTTGGTTCAGTTGATGTTTGAGACAACATCTATCCGAAGTGGATTTCCTTTGAAAGATATAAACCAATTTACAAGCCGTGTCGAAGGATTATTACGTAAGAACATTGGGGTTGCCATGTCAGAAGAAGCAAAGGTAGAAGTGAAAAAGGCTAAAGAGAAGACAGAACAGGAAAGATTGAAAGATGAAGAGATGAAAAAGACAAATGTTGTTTATGATGATCTCAATGAACCTATTGAACATGATGAACTCTAATAAAGTTACTTTTTAACTAAAAAATTGCTTTCTCTTTCTAATAGAGAGGATTATTAAATCATCATGGCCGCACAAAGATGTTCTATTTAGTATCTTTCATTCTTTTCTCATTCAGTAACCTTGCTATGCATAGTTTTGGTGGTATATTTTTAACCATTATTCATACAAGATATATGAATAAAGAAGAACAACTTTCAAAGATTAAAAAGCTCTTCCAAAAGCTTCAGTTTCTTGAGCTTTCACAAGAATTTTGTTTTCTTCGTTGGTGTTACGCGCTTGAGTCTGTCGATTTAGTTTTGATATGATGCCCTTGTGTTGTCATCATTGCTGTCGAATGAAACCATTTGGGACGTGACTACCGTACTGCCCATAAAGCTAGTAGATTACCTCTCGGCACTGATTTGAACAGCAAAGGGATGGCCATGACATTAAGTCTAGACAGAAATCAAACTATTACATCGGGATATGACTTAAACAAAAATTAAATCGACTCATTGTATTAATAAGTCATTCAAACATGTTTAAATGCTAAGATTATTCAAGTATTTCATAGGCTTGCCAACGACAGAAAACGTGTATAAAGAATGTTTATACTTCCAAATGAAATTTGCAATGACGGAAGAAGATGGCTTTCTTCGAGTTATACAGTATTTCCAAAAATTATTGACACTGATGCCAAGAGTAAAATTCGCGTTCGTTAAACTCTATTGTCACGTAAACCATTGGCTGATTTCGCTTGCTGACAAATTGAATGTCGTATATGTAGGAGCCCTGTCGTACAAAATATGAGTATATTAGACATGAAAGCACCGTCAGCTCTCTTTTTCATTAAAAACCGAGTATTACAATATGAGCTTTCAAATTTTCTACGAAGACGGGCACGGTAATGCAGTTGATGAATACGGTAGACCTGAGCCTATGGACTATATCATTGACGAAGAACGATATGCTTTAGAAACAGTTAGTTCACACACTCAGTATTTGTATAATCAGCCTCAGGAGAATAATCTCGATGTAGGCTCTGTGGCAGATGAAAATGCAAAAGATGACCCAGATGTTTGCATGAAGGAGGCGTCGAGTAAGCGA